TAAAATTATATATTATAAGATATATTACCTAATATACTTAATAGCTTTCTAAATACTTTGTTTTTATAAAGTATTAGAGGTTATTATAGTCTATAATAACCTCGATTATAAATCTGGACTCTTTAAGGTAATAGTACTAATACTTAAAAGCTTTAATAATTATAAGTAGCTTCCTATTATAAGTACTATAATTATATTTGGCTCCGGAGAGTTTCCGGAACTAGAATACTATTAGATACTAGTATTTTTTCGGGCTATTATTAGAATTAACTTATTATAAAATAGTACTAGTAATTGCAAATTTTAATATATTAGTTTTAATACGAATATTCTTAGAAGAATTAAAATAAACTAGAATAAGTATTATAGTAAAAGCTTTTTTTAAAGTCTTAAAGCTTTTAGCTACTTTATCTATCTATATAAAGGAACCGGATTTCCGGCCCTTTTCTATTTCTTTTAAGAGATCTATTAAGCCTATAGTTACCTAAAAATAATAATAGATAAACCTATAATAGAAATTAGTAAATCCAAGAAATACTTAGATATTATAAAATAATTTTAGTTCTGGCTATTTAATAATATTATAGACCCGTTTAGGATCTATATAAATACTTTCTATTCTAATAAGAAAGCCCAGAAATTCGACTTCCTTAATATTAAACTCGTATTTACTGAGTTTATAAAATAGATTATTTTTATATAGCCTAGTAAGTATCTAGTAAATATAATTATAGTATTTACCTTTATTTCGGGAATAAATAAGGATATTATTTAAATAAATAACTATAAAATAATCCAGGAGCCTTATAAATATAATATTAATATATACTTAAAATATAGCTAGTATATTAGCTAGCTCAAAAGGTATTATAAGATATTTAAAATAGCTATAGTAGGTCCTAAAAGCTGTTTTTTACTTATATCTTTTATAAATTCTTATCTAATAATATATATTCTTGAGATCTAGCTTTATAAAAATCTCGGCTTTTTGGAGCCGGTTAAGAGTCTTATTAATAAGAGGAAGCGGATACTAATTCTTGATTATAACTTAATTAAATTTATAATAATTAATATAAAGATATAGTTCTTTATCTTTTTTGGGAATAAAAAGAATAAGTACTTCTATTAGGCTTTTATTAGGCCTTATCTAATATTTATAAAACACATCCTATAAATACAGATATAATACTTCTAGTTAGGTCTCTAATAAATTATATAAAGGCCTATACGGGACTATACTATTTGTATTAATAGAGTATTTAATACTACTAAGATTAGGAAATTCCGAAGCTTTATTAGGGTTAAAAACTTCTGAAAAGTCTTTATATTTATTATTTCGGAAATAGATAGGTATTTCTAAGGCCCCTTTCCGGAAAGTATTAATTTGCTATATTAAAAACTCCTATTTAGTATTATTAGAACCATATAATAAAATAGAGACCTAGTAATTATTATAAATATATAAAGCCTATTATCTAAGATAGTTATATTTACTTTTTATTAAGAATAAGACTTAAGGTACTAGTTCAGGATACCGGTTAAGCTTCTTACTAAACTCTTTTGGTATTAGGATCTTAATATTATTAGGCTATATAAGTATATATATTTATTATTTCTTAATATAATTTATATATTATATAAGGGTTATTTCATAAAATTCTATACTAAAGACGAGGCTATAAGAGCTAATATTCTTATATCTATAGAACCGGAGCTTAAAAAAATATATTTTACTATAATTATTTATAATAAATACCTTAAGATTATAGGCTTAATAGACCTTAAATCTATTTTTATAAAAGATTATAAATTCTTAGTTATATTTAGCTAAGGTAGTAAAGCCCTAGCTTTAAATCTAATTATTATTAAGGAAGTTATAGTTTGATCCGGTATTACCGAATCTGCTATATATTTCTGAGGTACCTATTTCTGGCTATATTAATCTTATTTAAATAGTTATATAAAGTAATATATCTTTTTTATTATAGCTAAAATTATTAATATTTAAGATTTGGCCTTTTCTTTTCCCTATTTCTTAGGAGGGTTTCTTCTAGAGTACTTCTCTATAGTAATAGCATTAATCTGCTTTTATAAATACCTTGACTCTTCTATGGTTTTGGCCTTATTAGGGTTCTGCCGAGCCTATTTGGTATACTTGAAATACTTTATATTTCCTAAGAAGTATTCTTTCTATTTATAAATCTAATAAACTATACCTGAAGTAGAACTAGTACTTTATTAAGGCCTTAAAGGGGCCGAAGTACTACTTGAGGATTTCTTATATAATTTTCGGAATTTATTTTTCCTTTTTTAATAGCCTTATAAATCAGAATTTGCTAAATTAGAGTTCTTAGGGGCAGAATTACTCTTACTAGATTCTCTTGCCTTTACTTTCTTTAATTTGGAATAAGTAGTATATTTTGCTTTCTAAGTTTTCTTAAGCTATTTAGAAACAGATATTACTTTATTTTTTGAGAGAATAAATATAAGTATCTAATAAGTCTTATAGTTAGATAAAGTAGTATTAAGAGTCCGGATCCGGTTCTGTTTAGGGTATAGGTCCTAGTTAACTTTAAGACTAATTATCCGAGTATATAACTTAGTAATTATCTTACTATCTTTCTAATAAAGATCTCGGAGCTTCTTAAAGGCATCTTATTAACGGGTTTAAAGTATTTAGAATATATTGGCTAAATAGGCCTTAAATTACTCCTAATAGACCTTATATAATAGTAGGCTTTGCTTTATTATAGCTTCCCAAGTATTATAAGGTTTATTCCTAAGGGTATTTATAGTAGAGTTAATTCTAGAAAAGTATCTATTATAAGTCTAAGATTAGGTTCTAAAGACTGCTTCCTAGAAGGATATAAATATCCTCTATTTTTTAAGGAACTTTCTATAATATAAGTTAGGCGTCCGGATCTTAAAAAGCTTCTTTTGGTCTAAATATATTTTTAGGATATTATATAGTAGCTTCTAACGAATAGTATTGAGATTATTCTTAAAGCTTATTATATTAGGAAAGGGAGTGGGTTCTAATCCCATTTTAGAAAGTTCCCTAGTAGGAATTACTAAGGAAGAGGAAGTAGATTTATAAATAGAGTTTCTATGAGATATAGTAAACCGTAAGGTATTCCTGAGGGTACTCTTATATTACTCTAACTATAGGATATACTAGTTAATTGCATTTACTAATTCTTGCTTTCGTTAGAGTGCTTCGACTTTAGTATATAAGCCCTATTCTATAGCTTGGGCGGCAGTAATTTGGATATTAATCTCGGTATCTTAATTATTACCGGAATTATTTCTATTATTATTACTGGCTTTTGGAGGCTCCTGAGGGGCCCTATTAAAAGTATTAGATAAGCCTTTACTATTACCCATATCGGAGTTAATCTGGTCGACTTCTTTTATAGGAATAGCTTTGGCAAGGGGTTATATATTTCGTAGATTCCGAAATATAATTACTTATTAAACTATCTTCTTTAAGGGTAGAGAGATTAGCTTATAAGGTATTTGTTAATAGGTAATAAGATAATAGAATAAATTAGTATATTATAAAACTATAGTATTAAATTCAGTATAGAACTAATCTCTGTCTCTCCTATAAGGTCTAGAGAAGCCCCCTCTAAATAGGAGGCCTTAATGGCATATATATAATTAATAATTTATAAGCCTAATATATATAATATAAATAGTAGTTAGTTGGGATATTAAAGGGCCGCCGATCTCTTTAATTAATACCTGTAATATCCGAGGTTTGTTATATGCCTTTAAGTCACGTGTGACCCTGTATATATTACATTTCTATTAAACTTGAGATTATAGTTAAAAGTAAGAAATTTATACTTCTTAGCCAAAAACTTAGCCTTATAGAGCTTTAGTTACTTTACTTTTATAAAATTATTAGTTCTAATAAATAAGGTATTATTAGTTTAAAGGCTAATAATTCCGAAGGGTTATTTACTATAAAGGAGGCAAGGGTTATAAGTCGACTATTCTATAGAAAGCTCGTTAATATAGTAGGAATAATAAGTCTTAAACTAGTAGTTTCTAGCTTCCGATATACTATATAGTAATTTTATAACCTTTAGAATAGAATTGTCCTTTAGATTTAGCTCTCTAATAAGCTTATAGGATAGGTTAATATAGAAATTATAATTAAGTAAAGTTATTAATTAGATATAAGCTTATAAAATATTATATAAATATAATTCTATAATATTTATTATTATAGTAGTAATACTAAGGATAATTCTCTAACTAATATATTAGATAGTAAGTAATTATATTAATATTATATATTTCTTACTATTATTATAAGCTTAGATAACTAGTCTCGACTTTTTAAGCTCTTTCTCTATACCCTTATTCTTAATCTCATTAATAAACCGGAAGTTAAAAATATATATTTCCTTTAATACCTGAGATCTAGAAATAACCTCAAATATATTCTTTTCTAGGAAGCTAGTAATTTTAACTTAACGGGAATTCTTATATAGTTTATTATTCTATAGGAATATTATAATATCCGGGGTCTTATAAGGATATCCTTTACTATACTTTAATAGAATAGTAAAAATAGTAAAAGGAATTATACCCGTATTACCTTTGGTCTTATTATTAGGTTCGGGAATAGATTCAGGTTCGGAGCTATTAGTAATAACCTTAATATCTCCTATATAAAAGGGCTTTATAGAAGTTAAATAAAAGGTAATATTACTATATAGTAAAGCTAGTATATAGTTCTCCCTATTAATAGCTACTAGCTTATATAGTCTATTCCAATTACTAGATTAACTAGTATTTCCTTTATATTAAACGAGAATATTTGAATTTAGAGATAGTTTATAGATATTAATAATACTAGAACTATTTCGGGTATTTAGAATATTAGTAATTTAATATCTAGCTCAAAGCTTCTGAATTTCTACTATTACTTTCTTAAATACTATTAATTATTATAATATAGTAAATAATAGGATATTATATTCGGTTATTTAAGGTAAAGTACTATAAACTAAAAGGGTTAGAATAATACCATTAGGTCCTATAGAGTTATTAATAGCCTTAAAAGCTATTTGAAATACGGTATCCTTATTAATTCCATTAACTTTGGCTATAATAATAAGGTAAATATATTAGATCGGGCTATAGTAGTATTCTATAATTCTAATAAAGTTATAAGCTTCTATAGGAATAATCTTAACCTTAGTTTCTATAGTATTTATAAGCTAAGCAAACTCTTTACTAGTAAACTACTTTCCGGTATTTACTATAATCTAATTAAAAGGGCCTAAATAGTTATTAATCTAGTATTACTTAAATATATCTCAGGTATATATTATTCTAATATTCTAGAGCTATTAGCCGGCTTAATATTAAGTACTTTTATTAATAATATAGAATATAGGCTTACCGGAAATATAGAAAATATTAATAATAATAGAATAGTTAAAGCTAATATTATCTCTTAGATTAAACTTGAATTATCTGAGTAATTAGCTATATTTCTGGTATTACTTATAGTACTTTATAAAATACTTAAGGGCTTCTATATTAATATTATAGCCTGCTTATTCTAATATATTTCGGAGCTTACTAATAAATAAATAACCAAAATAATAATATAGATATTATAATTTAACCTCTATAAAAAAGCAGGAATTATAAGTAAAGAATTCGGAAATAAAGCCTTATAGTATAGTATTCTAAAACAGGAAAGAATATCCGAAACATTATACTATAAATATATATTTTCTGGTAGAAGTAATAAAGTAATTAGTAAGATTATTAAAATAGACTCCTAACTTATCTATATTAGCCAAACTAAATAAAAATAAAATCTTTAAAAATATAATATAGAATTATACTTATCTAATTAGTATACTTACTATTATAAATCTAATAGAAAATATAAATCCAATACTAAACTAGATATTAATTTGACCTTTAATAATTTTATTAAGTTTAATACTATTATTAATCTACTAGAGAGCTTGAAATTAGTTAGAACTAGTAGTTAAGTATCTAGAGGCTCTAGTATTAATTATGATTCTATAAAAGCAATAAGTATTATATCTTAATATACTATTAACTATAAAAGTCTAGGTATTTTCTATTAAGGGTTTAATAGACTTTAAGGTATGGTTTTTGCCTATTATCTAATATATAAGGGAAAGAGAAATAAGGTTATTTATAAGGGTATTAGCTATAGTTATTAGTAGAATAGAAGCGGCAGGAGCGGCTAAAAAGCTCTTAATTAAAATAAAGTAGGAATCTAAATAGTATTTCTTTTTTTTATTTATTTCTATTAATAAAGCCTTAAAAGCATTATTTACTAATTTGTCCTTATTACTCTTATTACCCTCTTTACCTTTAGCTTTAGTAATATACTATATATAAGTACTACTAAAGCATTTATTAAAATTATAGGTATTTCGGGATCTGAATTAATAGATATTTCTATTCCTAAATCAAGTCTTCTTAGCCTTTTATTTCTCTAATATATATTTCTATAAGCGGTATTCGGGTTTCTTATATATAAAATATAACTTCGGAATATAATTATTATAATTATAGGGCTTAGAGTAGTTATTACGGGTTCCAAAGTTATAGCTAGGTCCGTATTAATAATTTCCGGAGAAATAATAGCTTGGAGAGTTCTAAGAATAGTATTATTAATTAGTAAAGAAGATTTAGGAATTAGTTTATTATTTGCTCTTATATATAGTAATAAATAACTAGAGCTTATTAATAAGTTAGTCGAGATTTATAGGAGGGTCTGAGATTATATATCTATATATCCGGGAGCCTTAGTAAAAGGTAATAATTTTATTATAGAGAAATTCGGTATTTTATAAGTTAAATATAAGACTATACTATAGTTAATATAGTTTATTAATTAGTAGTTAAATAGTCTCAAATATTATCTTTTCCGGAAATTTAGCTATTATAGAAGCTAATATAATAGTATTTCACTTATTTAAATTCTGATATTTGAATCCAGGGCCTTTAAAAAAGCTATAAATATTAATATAAGCCTTTTTATATATATATTAAGAGAGCTAGTTATTATAGAAGTAGTCTTAAGCTAGTTCCTTTAGTATAGTAGGAAAAGCTCGTATTAGTATCTCTTATAAAAGCTTTATATATTAGTAGATATCGAGGAAAATAATAAGTTTATAATTAAAATTACTATTAGATCTATTATATTTTTGCTCTTTAGTATAGATCTTAGTAACTTTCCTAATAAGTCTTATAATTAAAGGGAATTAGGAGTTATTCGAATATAGTTATAATAATAGTAATAGTAGGAATATACTATTTGCTTCTAGAGTTTCTATACTAGTATATAAATCTGGTAAAAATATAGAATATAATAGTAAAGGGAATAGTAAAGGAAGTAATAATAATATAGAAATATTAAAGATAATAGGTTCTAGGTACTTATTCTTTATAAAAGTAATAAAGCCTAATAGGATCGGTCTCTTAATAAGATCTGGTCTAACTACTAATATATTTTTATTTAACTATATATATTATTTTTTTATTTTTATAATAGTATATAGGGTATTTATAATAGTATTAATATTACTATTCTATTATATAAATATACTACTATACTAAAAGGTCTTATATAGATATAGTATCTCCGGGAGTTCAAACTTATTAAAGTTCCTTTAATAAGTAAAGTTCTTGAAATTATATCTAAATAGCTCCTAAAAATTATTATTAACTATTTTATAGAGAAAATATTAAAATAGCTTAGTATCTAAGAATTTAGTTATTTCGTCCGCCTTAGTAAAGTTCAGGTTAATCCTATATTTCTATTTTCTTATTAATTCCTTAAAATTATTATTATCTATAGAATAATTAGATTAGATAGATCTAATAAAGGAATTATCTATTATAGTATATTTTACTATTATATATTTTATAGGCTTATACCCAGTTCGAGATATAGTAGTTTATAAAAAGGGTAGGTTTATAAGATAGGTAGTTTATAGAAGGTATTATATTTAAAGTAAAAATTTTATTTATAATAAGAAATTTAGAAAGTAAAATTTAAAGAATAAAATATCGAGATTCCGGGAGAACTTAATGGTTCTAAAGCTCAAGAGCCCCAGGAATTCAAAAAAAAATAGTTTTTAAAAGGGTTTTATAAGAGTTAAATAGGAATAGAATAGGATAGTCAAATAGCTAACTGTTTTAGTACTTAGTAAGATCAAGTACCCTTCTTGCCTATATAACCGAATTATAGGTAATAGAACTAATAGATATTCCTTCCTTTAATATAGTATAATCAGACCTTAGTAAGATTAAGTATCTTTCCTGCCTATATAACCGAATTATAAGTAATAGGATTAATAGTTATTCCCTCTTTAACTAGAATAATGGCTTTGCCCCTAAATAACCGAATCTTAGGCAAGTATAGCTTAATTCTTCCTAATTTATATATATAAATAGACCTTATTCTAATTTAAATACAAACTAATTAGTATTGGTTTACTAGTAATATATAGTACTATTATATAGGTATAGAAGTACTATTTATATAAGGTTAGTAAAGTTATTCTTCAGAAGTAAGGATTATAGTATTATAGTATTAATATATAATCCCTAAATCTACTAAGCCTAAAGGGGTCTAGTCTACTAGTCGAATTACTAATAGGATACGAGGTTACATAACCATATTCCGTATCCCATATCTCATTGCCTATATCCCGTAACTATATATATAACTCCCAAAGGAATGGCTATACTAATATTAATATTATAAGATCTGGCTTTATAATTAAAAAATAAAATAAAGTAATTCTTATTTTAATAATTCTTATAAAAAGAAATTATTAAGGGCTTATATTTAATTAAAAGTTATTAATATAATAATATATATAAATAATTTCTTAAATACTTTATATAAAAAAAAGTTTTATTTTTTTATTAAAAAAATTAAAATATATTAATTATAAATCCTATAATATATATTTTTATTTCTTGAATTACTTTTATAATTTATTTTAACTAAATATTAAATAAAATTAATTTTATAAGTTAAATATAATAGTAAGTATATATATAAAGAGAAAAAGAAAAAAAATAGCTTATTTCTAAGTATATTATTTATATATTACAGAGGGAATTAAGGAAATACAATATATAATAATAAATCAAATAAGTATATTTACGAATTAAGAAGATATTATATAAGTAAAATATATATTAAATTACTTAATATTTCTTTTATAAGAAAAGCAAAGGTTAAATACAAAAAGGAGAGAAGAACTAAGAGATCACGTGAGAACATGTAATTATACCAAATGTCAGCCCAATTCCTACTATAATATAAAACTATTTTCTTATTAAGATTTTTCCTAAAAAATTAAAGCTTTATAATTAATTCTTTATATAAAGTTATTATATTTTAAAAACTCTTAATATTTAGCTCAAGTATTATAAATATAGGTGTTTTTTTATATTATAGTTTAAAAAAAAGTAGGCTTATAACTTAATTATTTAAAAAGTTATTGAAATTTTAAAGTTGCAAGTTTTCACGATTTTTGTGACGGCGCTGGCTGGGGTCTCATGGGGTTGGCTGTCACTTGACTGCTTTCGCCTGTCAAGCCGGCGTTTCAGTCGTTTTAGCTACTACTTCTTCTCCTTTCTCCTCTCTCAATGCGTTCAGTGGGGGAATGAAGTGCGATTCTCATCAGACTCCCCCTTCCCAAAAGGGTGAAAGTGAGACCTCTGCGAACCGTAACGAGGAACGAGTAAGTGGCTGATGCCTGAAAGTGGCTGAACAGTCTCCATCACGTGCCGAGCCTTGCGCAGCCAAAACATCTTCGGAAGAAATCAAATAATAACCCCTTTGGAATGTTATTCAGTGTCAGTATAAAGATATTAGCCCTCAAGCTAAATTTGGAAACGGGCAGCAAACAAATTACTTCAGTGTTGAGTGTTCCAAAGGCTAGACCTGCCAGTAGTTTATCCAAAGTTTTCCGAACCAACTCCTTTCCAAGCTTGATTTCCGTTCGACGCAAGGGAATTGAGTCAATCTTTGAGGACCTTGTTCCAATTATTGGCTCTGCAGCCTCTGCTAGAATAATATTTGAGAAGGGACGGGGGGAAAAAAAATATTGCGCTTGATTGGGGCCGTATGCAAGGGGCGAATAGGGCACGTCACGTGAAACATTCAAGTCCTCGGCAAGAACCAGTAAGTGCAGTCTTTGTTTATCTTGCCCGGGATGCCAAGCCTCCAAAAAGTGCTGAAATTGAAGCTTTTACTTTTTCTAAATTTGAGACGGCTACGAGGAGGCTTGAGACGCAGGTATGGCGGTTGGAGTCCGAAGTTCGGAATTTTCAGAAGTTTTTGACTCGACTCCGATGATAATCACGGTGAAAAAAGAACGGCAACAAAAAACCCGAGGAATTTTCAACCGCTCGATTATTTCAACAACCTTTCCGGAATTTGGGAAACGGATCGTGAAGCCGGGAGCCGAACTGGATTGGCCTAGAGAGAGTAGCCACCAAAACCAAAGGCCAGTCCCTCAGCTGGTGTGTGCTGGGAGGACTAGGCGAGAAGCGCTGAAGGGCTAAGCTTTAACGTCAAATCAGAGAGCGCGGATGACGCGATGGCGCGATTTGATTTCAAGTAGAATTAGGAAAGGACCGGCACGTTCATCCCTTTCAACTTTAGCGCTGATTGTCGCCTGAAGTTTGTTGTTCCTGAAGGGACCCGTTCACAAAAACAGGGGATGTCTCAGCCACAGCATGACACTCCCCTCTCGCCACAGGTTTGCTCAGAACTCAGCTCGACTTCGGACTACTATTGATGCGGCACGCACGTCCAGCACGGCAACACTCAATAATTCGCCTCCCAGTATCAGATAGTTTTGCCCAGATACGGACGGTCTCCTGAGCCTCCTCTCCTCTACTATCCCCCCCTAGTTCAAAGCTAAGATCACGGTATTAATAACACTACGCCTGCACGGGCCCTGCCAAGGGTTGATAGCGAATAAAGTCTCTTCAAACCACCTGGGATTCCCTATGTTGGGGATATAAACGAGGTTTTTAGGGCGGTGTTACCAATATCGTGACTTTAGCTTCGAACCAGGGGGGAAGTACTACCCGGTACAGCATGACACGCTACATGGCTACATGAGTGTGGCGCCTGTCAATGGCGCCCATTATCAACGATGGATCGGATCTTCCCCTGGATCCTTCGACGATGGACCATGCCCTCCCTGTCCACTCCCTTTTAGTCCCCTTCCTGCGCTCCCTTCAGTCTTTCCCATCATTCTTTATCGGTCTTTTTCAGTTTGTCTCCGGGGCAGGATCTAATTCTTGAACAAAATTTGTTCGTCCACTCTTTACCATGAGATTTCAAGCGATTGCAGGCTTTGCGCTCACAGCGTTCTTGCCCTCTCTCGCTGGTGCAGTCAGCTCTACCGATGAGTACCAGGATGCGGTACGTCGTTTGACGGAAGGCACTCTCAGCGAGGCTCAAAGCTCACTTATATCAGGATACCGCCCAGTCGGGCTACATGCCCAACCATAATATTGACCCGACAGCATTGAGCTCTTACGGGCATGCTTGGACATACACATCTAATGCTGGTGAAGGTTTCAGCGCCAAGCCTCTCACCTACACGCCAACTGGATACTCCCATGAGCTGGTTATTATCGCATCACAAAAAAACATTGTTCGAGTCATAGATGGCATTTCTGGCCAACTACTCTTCTCACGAACTCTGGACCCTCCTTTCCAGGCTTCCGACTCCAGTTGTGGTGATATCTCGCCAACGATTGGCATCACAGGAACACCCATTATCGATCCGAGTACCGACATCATGTATTTCTTCTCTAAAGGATACAAGAACGCCGCAACTGGCCCTGTCAATACCCTTGCTGGTACGTTTGAAGCCTCTCATAACGTTTGCCGACCTATGTGATGTATTCTGACACTATTTCAGGCCAATACAAATTCTACGCCGTCCAACTACCTGCGTTGACTGACATTCCTGGTTACCCCATCATCATCGATGGCCACTATGCTAACAACGACCACACTCGCTACTTTGTTGGTGGAACTCTGTTGCAGCGACCTGGTCTGGCAATGATTGGCAATAGTATTATTGCTGGTTTTGGTGGCCACTGCGATAATTTCAACTACACAGGAATGCTCGTGTCAGTTAATAGGTTGACTGCCACTATCAGTAACATTCAGGCAATGGTAGCCTCGCCCGGTGAGTAGTCTTGTCTTGTACCATTATCCGTCACTGGAAGTGCATACTAACAGGGGCTGCACATACACAGGTGGCCCAGCGGAACAAGACAACTACTTGAAGCAAACAGGCGGAAAAGCAGGCATCTGGCAAGGGGGGATGGGTCTCGCCGTGAATGGAAATAACGTTTACTTCGTTACTGGGTATGTTTGATACCAAATCTATCCCGGACCATAGGCTTACCCTCCATCCAGAAATGGCGTTGGCGCCGGTATCAATAAAGGCACGACTCCTTTCAGCGGCAAATTGTACTCCAGCACACTCGAACAAGTCGTAGCAAGATTCTCTGTAGATCCCAGCTCTGGCTCCCTTACACAAGCAGATTGGTTCGAGCCTTACAATTTTGATACCCAACTAGACGGAGGTGACCGAGACATGGCTTCGGCAGGTGTCGCCCTTTTGGACCGCAATACGTTCAATGCACCCTCTGCAGGCGTCAACGGAATTGCTGTTGCCTCTGGTAAAGATGGCATTGTACGGAATCTATCTCATGACCTCCCACGAAATTAATCCCAGCGCTAACACGTCTACCCAGGTCTATGTCATGAACGCCGACAATCTTGGTGGCTTCTACAATGGCGTTGGTACACCTCCTGATGCTAGTATGTTTTTGAATGCCCATCTGTGTTGGTGAATCAAGTATACTGACGATGGGACAGCTCTGCAGCAAATTGCCGTATCTTCGGGCTCTTTTTACGGAGGCGTTGGAAGTTCTCCGATTGATGGCGGCTACCTCTACTTTTGTCCCACTGGAGGTCCTCTCTATGCTTATAGTTATGGATTGGATGGAAGTGGCAATCCACACTTCACTCTGGCTGGACAAATCCAAGCAACGGGAACCACTTTCGCTTGTAATGGAAACCCAACGGTCACTAGCTTAAACGGTCAACCAGGTTCTGGAGTTGTAAGTTGAATTTCCTTTATTTGCCGCGTATGAGTCGTACCAAATGGAGCTAACTTGATGGCCACAGGTTTGGCTGTCTGACGTAAACGCAGGCTTGGTTGCCTTTCACGCTGTCCCTGTGAACGGAGTTCTTGTTCAAATTCCTCTCGGTTGGTCGACTGGACGACTTAACAAGATGCAGCGACCGTCTTTTGGAAACCGCAGGGTCTATACAACGGAAAATAATATGCTCTACGCAATCGCGCCTCCAGCTGGATCTTCGACCACTTCGTCAAAAGCTTCGACTTCAACCACAGCCACAAGCAGCTCTTCGACCTCGAAGATTTCAACTTCATCATCCCAGTCTAGCTCTACTGTTCTGACTTCCAGCTCCACCATTGTGTCTAGCTCAAGCACCTCCTCGGTCTCCTCGACATCCTCGACCTCCTCAGTCTCCTCGACATCCTCGACATCCTCAGTCTCCTCGACCTCTTCAGCCTCCTCGACCTCCTCAACCTCCTCAGATCCCGCAACCTCCTCAACCTCCTCAGTCTCCTCGACATCCTCGACCTTCTCAGATCTCTCAACCTCCTTGACCTCCTCGACATCCTCGGATCCGTCAACCTCCTTGACCTCCTCGACATCCTCGACCTCCTCAGATCCGTCAACCTCCTCAACCTCCTTAACCTCCTCAGACTCCTCAGCCTCCCAACTGTCTACAGTTTCAACGTCTGCAACATCCAGCTCACTGGCATCAACATCTAGTTCAAGCGTGGTCTCCAGCCCAACCCAGTCTATATCAACAACTTCAACTTCTTCCGACACTCTTTCTAGCACAAGTACATCTACCTCAACAAGTGCGTCTCAAACCCCAACTCAGACCCTCAACCCGCTGGAACCAGCAACTATTGCCAGTTTTAATTACATCGGATGTTACACCGACCTTGCCGGCGGCATTACTCGCTCTCTGAGCTCTGCTGCGTTTGCATATGATCCTATGACCCTCGAGTCTTGCGCTGCTAACTGCGCCAACTATGATTTCTTCGGGACTGAGTATGGGCGAGAATGCTATTGTGGCTACACCTTAGACCCTACACTGAGGGCTACTGAGAGCGACTGCAACACACCTTGCTCCGGAAACTCTTCAGAAATTTGTGGAACGGGTGCTCGCCTATCTGTGTACCAGAACCAGGTCTATATTCCCCCTCCTTCTCCGCCTGCGCATGAGGCACAGTCCGGAAACTACAGCTGGCAAGGATGCATTATGGAAGTCACAAATGGTGGACCTCGCGCGTTGTCTGACTTTGCCTACTACAATGACACAATGACTGTCGAGGCTTGTGTTAACGCATGCTCTGCATACACTTACGCCGGCATCGAGTATGGACGTGAATGTGTGTATCTTCTTTCCTTGTCTTGATACTAAAACTGATAAATATTCAGGCTACTGCGGCAACACCATCAACCCCGGAGGTGGTCCGGCGCCAACAACTGACTGCAGTTTCCTCTGTCCTGGAAACTCACTCGAGTATTGCGGTGCAGGTTCTAGGTTAGACTCTATTCCTCCCGGCAGTGCTGAAACCCCGATCTAATTGTGTTTCCCCAGACTTGATCTATACAAAAACACAGGCCCCTTGTCTGTCTCTTCCAGCTCTTCGTCCAGCGCTGTAGCTTCAAGTACTTCAAGCATGACCTCCAGTGCCACTTCCTCGAGCTCCACGACACTGGTTACATCCACTTCCTCGAGCTCCACGTCGTTGGTTGCATCCACTTCCTCCTCGAGCTCCACGACGTTGATTACATCCACGCGATCCACTACCTCTGTGTTTACTGCGTGCTCGACGATCAAGACAACCGCGACGACTAGCGCAAAAGCAACGGCCACTTCGAACCCAAAAGCGATTACGAGGACATACAACTGGAACGTGGGATGGGTCAATGCTGCCCCTGATGGTTACACCCGCGCCTTGGTCGGCATCAATGGCCAGTGGCCATGCCCAGCCATCACTGCTAACATTGGTGACACCATCAAGATCAATCTCGTCAACAACCTCGGCAACGAAACTACGGCTCTGCATTTCCACGGTTTGCACCAAGGCAACACCACCTTTGACGACGGTGCTGCTATGGTTAGCCAGTGTCCCATAGCGCCAGGCGAGAGTGAGTTGCACCACCTTGTAAATGTGCTATGGATAACTGACAAAAGCCAGCCTTTGTATACCAGTTCACTCTCAAGCAGTCCGGCACATACTGGTACCACGCTCATGTTGGCGGCCAGTACCTTGGTAAGCTACCCTGATCTCTCGCTAATTGCCATCTAACATCTGTGTGCAGATGGATTCCGTGGCCCTATCATTATCCGCGATAATACAGCCCTGGCAAACTATGGCCGCATTGATGGAGAGTATACGTTGTCTCTCACTGACTTGTACCACGTTGAGGCGCCTTATCTGGTCAACTACTTTTTGTCGGCAAACAACTACAATGGAGCAGAGCCTGTTCCAGATGCTGCCCTCATCAATGAGGGTCAGAACGCCAAGTTCAACATCACCCCAGGGAGGACATACATGTTCCACGTTGTCAATATGGGAGCCCTCGCTGGACAGTTTCTCCAGTTTGACCAGCACAACATGACCATCATTGAGGCTGATGGTGTGTACACTCAGCCGTACCAAGTCAGCCAGATTTTTGTCGCCGTCGCCCAGCGATACACGGTCCTAATCACGGCCAAGTCCAGCAACTGCCAGAACTTTGCTATCGTATCCCAGTTCCTTACCGACATGTTTGATTCCAGTTCCACTCCTGCTGGCCAGCAGCCTACTGTAAGTCCGCATTCGATTGTCATCTTGGTCAGATCACTAATGGCAATAGTGCACGGCTTATCTGGTCTACAATTCTGCTGCGCCATTGCCAGTGCCATTCACACTCAATGTCCAGCCATGGGATGACACTCAGCTTGTTCCGTGGGATCAACAACCCATGTGGGACTCGCCCAACGTGAACTAGTAAGTACGATCATTTCCAAATCAAGATTAAGGCTGACACTTGTGGGAAGTGTCTACCTCACGGTAGATTTCGAACAGAATGACTGGGGCTCCAATCGTGCTGCGGTAAATGGCTTGACGTACATCCCACAGAAGGTAAGCTCAACCACCGGTGGCGCCACTTGATCACCACGACTCACTTTAACTCTTCAGGTCCCAACCTTCTTTACTGCCTTAACAGCACCAGCAGCATATCAAATGAATCCCCAGATCTACGGCCAAGTCAACGCCCAAGTTCTCCAGTATGGGCAAGTCGTCGAGATCGACCTCAACAACCACGATTCCCGTGCTCATCCATTCCATCTCCACGGCCATGAGTTCCAGATCATCAACCGTGCGGGCAACGAGCCTCAGTGGCCTGGTCTATACAGCACCCCTGCTGCGCCCATGCGACGCGATGTTGTTGTCGTGTATCCCGGTGTAGGAGTTACGCTACGCTTCATAGCCAACAATCCTGGTGTGTGGCTCTTCCATTGCCACACTGAATTCCACGTCGAAGCCGGCATGACAGCAACTTTCATCGAGGCCCCGGATGTCATGGTCGCAGGCAACCCATACATCCCCACAAGTCACAAGAGCGTGTGTGATGCCCAGCACATCCCTCGCAAGGGCAACGCCGGAGGTAATAGCAAGAACTGGCTAGATCTCTCCAATGCCAACACCGAGCCCAGCCAAACGTACTTCGGTGCTTTGATCAATCCTCCTGCCGTCAACCCATACACCGGTCCAAGTTAGAATGGTGCTGTCCTAGATAAATACAGTAGTTGATTCCGTGTTTCTAATATTTTCCAGTGTGGTTTTAATTATATTTGGGGGTCGTTATGACCAGGTCGATAATAGAATGTTACAAGTACTTTCCTTCTAAATCCTTGACTTTCTACTTCAAAGAGACCAATTTGGAAATTTCATCATGGTCATTTTTAACTTTTCTGTCCTCGGGACATGGTCCAGAGAGCTCTACACCATCGGAAACGATTTCCAGTAGGTAATTGCCGAAGCAAACAAGGTACCAAGGTTAGTTTAGGTAATAATAACTAGCGGGATCTGTTCACGCCCGTTCGTCAATACGAGCGGTTTACCAATCGGGCGCTACGATTGGTCAATCGGCCTTCCGATTAATCAATCGTAGCTCCCATTGATCAATAGGAAATGGAATACGATTCGCAAGCCACAGTGGGTCCCGATTGATCAATAAGGGGGCCAATTGATCAATCGAATGGCCGATTGATCAATCGGCTAATATTGAGATCTCGGGAATAGCAAAAGCTTTACTATACATGCCTCCTACTACGTCTAGGCGCTCCTATAGCTACCCTAGCCCTTTTTGGTACCCTCCCCTCCACTTGATCACCTGATTCTCCTCCTTCTCTAGCTCCATTCTCACGTGCTTGCTCCTCAGCTACTCTCTTCTTTGCTCTCTCAGATGCTCTTCCAGCCTTCTGAACTGATGCAATTGAACCACGATTATTCTCCTTTGCTACCGCTTTAGGGAGGGTGATTTTATTCCTCTTGTGGGTTGCACCAGTAGTAGGTAAATCAGGATAAGTTAATTGGGAGGTGATTTTATTGAGGGCACTATACGGCCAGAGAGTAGTAAGCTCGCCATACTTAGTAGCTAAGCGGTAGCCCTATTTTAATTAGCTTTTATTAAAAGTAAGGCTTATAAACTATATACCTTTGGAGTCTTTTCCAGAACTCTTACTGGAATTCTAGCCATTTCCGTACCGAATCTGTATTGCTTTGGGATCTGGAGGGTTGCAATCTCTTGAATATCATATTCAAGAGCTTTGGAATTCGCTCTCTTTACTATATTCTCCTTCTGTTTTCTCATATGCTCCGTAACCCTCCTAGTTAGCTCAGATAAAATCATCTCCTCAGCTACTTCCTCCTGTTCTGCTTCCTCATCCACGAAAAAGCTATCCTCTCCATCCTCTCCATTCTCTCCATTCTCTCCATTCTCTCCATTCTCTCCATTCTCTCCATTCTCTCCATTCTCTCCATTCTCTCTATTCTCTCCATCCTCTCCATCCTCTCCAGAAGCGCTACTCTCAGTAGTACCTTCCATAGGCCCTATGGCCCCTAGGGCCGTATGTATGCGGCGAGCACTCTTCTTATGGTCTAGGAAATCAGTAGGTGGCTTTCGTCCAAACCAGACCTCGTATGGTATATTTCCCTTAGGAAGAGCTGGTATAGCTGTGGTATTAATTACCCATGCGATTAAAGGAAGTAACTGTATCCACGATTGGATACCAGTATCCGCTCGTACGGCCCGTAGTCGTTTTTTGAAGATTCGATTAGCCACTTCAATAGAGCCCTGAGATTAAGGGTAATAAGCTCGTCCGCAAATAATCTTTATCCCTCTCTTCTTACAAATCTCAATTACTTTCCCCTTAAACTCACCCCCATTATTACAGGCTAAAATGGAAATATACCCATTATCATTTAGCCATTTGATAAGCTCGTCCGCAGCTTCGTCCGCAGTCTTAGCCTTAAGCCTACGGATCCATACGAACTTAGAAAAGTGGCATTTCAATTGCCAGATCCACGTATATTCTCCGTCCCGATCATGCTATAATAGTATTAGTAATAGTAATACTATAGTATTAATAAAGTGTGAATAAAAAGGTTCGGAATTTACAAAAATCGCAGGAATTGCGAAAATCGCAGGAATCGCGAAAATCGCAGGAAAAGCTTAAAAACGCACGAAACGCACGAAATGCAGGAAATGCAGGAAATACAGGAATATAGGGGTAAATCACATGACTTAAGGGACACTTATACGAAAATCCATTAAATCCAGAACCATACGCTCGCCAGGATAATAAGATTGGATAGGTATAATCCCCTTAGGATTCTTCTGAGCCTTTTCCTTATTGCAGTGAGTACAGCGGGCACTTATCCAAGTGTGGTCGTTACGGGATGGGCCATGCCAAATACGTCTTATATACTCAAATATAGTATTAAAGGCTATTATATAGGTTATTAGTATAAAAATTAGTAAATTCAAGGGGTACTTACCTGTATGCATTAATTTCTCATAAACAGTAGTCAAAACCTCAAAGGCATTATTATAGCAAAGGGTATACCGGGCTGGAATAATCTTATTGCGGCGGGTATCGTAGTATTCCTTACGATATACCTGATTATCCTGAAGCTCGTATAATTGGGATTCGTGCTTAATATTAGCCTGGTAGCGCTTCTCTGCTTTTATTCTACTAGGGAGTAAAGTATCAGGATTTTGCAACTACCATCTGATATCCATACGCTTCCTAGCAGTAAGAATTTTCCTACTACCGCCCTTAGCAAGCCTTTGATCCCATGCAGCTTTGTCTTCAGCGGACCAATTATTAGTAGGGTCTTCAGTAATAGGGGAGGGCAAAAACTGAGTACCAGAGGAACGTACTCCTGGTGCAGTAATATCAAAATATTGCTCTGCTCGGCCATAGACACGTTAACGAGGTGTACGTAGGGCTGGAGATGAACGAAGGGTTGAAAGAGACATATTGGAAGTAAGGTAATTAATTGGGAGATATATAGAATCAGTAATTATGCTTGGAAAGTAGGTACTTGTACTGTAAACTATGTACTGTGAACTGTATCTAGGTAGTAAAAAGGGAGCAGAGGCCCTATACATATCTAGAAGCTCTGGAGAAGTGTCTTTACTCCTATTATATACTGAGAACTAAAGGGTTTCAGCCATTAGTCTTAAGGATATATTATTACATACTGAGAACTAAAGGGTTTCAGCCATTAGTCTTGAGGATATATTATTACATACTGAGAACTAAAGGGTTTCAGCCATTAGTCTTAAGGATATATTATTATATACTGAGAACTAAAGGGTTTCAGCCTCCTCAGCCCCGAAACCCCAATATTACCCGATTGATCAATCGGCCATTCGATTGATCAATCGGCCCCCTTATTGATCAATCGGGACCCACTGTGGCTTGCGAATCGTATTCCATTTCCTATTGATCAATGGGAGCTATGATTGATTAATCGGAAGGCCGATTGACCAATCGTAGCGCCTGATTGGTAAACCGCTCGTATTGACGAACGGGCGTGAACAGATCATCCTCGGAGTCGCCATAGGGGCCGTTAAGTTTCCTATGCAACTTTGGTCAACTTGATGTACTTTTAGCGGGTGCTTCTCTGAGCCCTATATGTTATTATTTTGAATGAGTGGTGCTATTTCCTGAAATTTAACCCAGCTTTATATAATGACGTGATTTGAGATAATACTAAAGAATTTTTAATTGGATTGCTGCAAATTTGGCCGTATTTGTACCCTGGGCTCTTGGTAAGTTTACAACATTCTGACTTGCTCTGAAGCAGAGACTGACAGTGTCAGTTCCATTTATGAACAGACTTGGTATACGGGACCAATAGCCAAGATCATTGGGGATCTAGGTTTTGAGGTTGCTGGAATACTATCTATCATTCTTTATATTCCCTCAAGGCATTTAGAGATCAATTACAGTGGAATGACGAGGTGGTAGCTCTTACCTGTTGGTGGTTGCTGGTTTTGGTTACACTTGTCGACATATTCTGATTTCAATCTTAATCAGATAGATTTGCAAAATGTTTAATTGTATGATATATAAGATAACTTCGAAAATTATGGGAAAAACTCTGCTCCCTTGAACAGACTGTTCTTCTTGATGAATCCAGACGTGTCTCAAGCTGTGTGGGCTGGTCCGAACCACTCCAGCAACATTTGCACTGCTTGGAGCAGACACATGCCACTGGGCGGGATGGCTCCGCCCATCTGAATATAACCCGGTGCCGGCCAACATGTCTATATTTGATGGAGTTGACCCCTAAATTCCAGCTCCCCGTCCGTGCTCAATGTTCATATCTTTCCATCCCGCCGCGGCAACGGAAGAAGAGGCTAGAGTTACACTTTATTACAAAGCGAGTGACAGAACACCATCTGCATTCACCAACCCGAAAGTTGCAAATGTGAGTGTTAAAGGTTTAGAGGAGTTCGGTGCTCTCCCGGACGTACTCAACTGTTTAGCTCATGATTTTGGGCTGCTCGGCGTCTTGCCACTTCTGAATGACAGCGAGCAGGACATAGGAGACTGGAAGAGTAAATGATATAAGGAGACGACAATGTGTAGGTTTTTGACCGAGTTGTGGAGAGATGGAAAGCAAGGGCGGCCGAGGTTCCCTCTCTGACCTAAAGTAAACAATTATGACCCCTGAGCTTAGCGAGTTGCCACCTATACTTTTAGCGACCGTAAGCCTGGAATAGGCGAGATACCCCTGAAAGCCATGTCATTTCTAGGCCCATCGCTTAGCCCCTGAGATGACCTGGAACAACAATCAGGGCTGTTGAACGTAAGGTCACGTGGGTAGCAATGTAAATCTGTGAAATGGTACTGAATCGACTGCTATTCTACCGTGGTAAGTAGCCTGTATATATATCCCCTGAACTCTCTAAATAAGGTGCAATAATGCCCTATCTAGCTAAGCCTTTAGCTACATCGGCAACCCCGATATTCAGCTCTATAGGGGCCTTAGGCGCCTAATTCCACAAGGGCGACAGAACGGCCGCCACTCTTCTGCCTGTTTTTATCTCGTCCAAGTCCCTGAATTCAATACCCGCTCCCTGCAATACCGTTGGGGTTATCCTCCGTCCCGTCTTGGCAGTGTTGGCACGCTGTTAGACAAGGCAGGTTCTTTCCAAGTCTCACGTCACCAACTCTAGGTACTTTCTCACCTCGAATCAAACTTATGATTAAAAGATGCAGGTAATTGCCAGCCTGGATGAGTCCTGGTACACCACTGTTTAGAGAGATTCAAGGTAGCAGAGTGTGCCCTATCTCCCTCGATAATTGCCATGATTGTCATGCTCGCCCAAACCAGTGGCGACGACCGCAAGCCTAGGCAGTTTGGATGTGCCAGCAATGCATTTTACAATGCACGAAAATGCTCAAACCACAAGACTGAATATTATGGAGTACTAACTTCCAGATGAAATGCACGAATGAACAGAACTGAGACCCATGTGAAGGGAACCGATGTGGTGGTGGACGTCCGAAAGCACTTGCAGACCAGGATTGAAGGCCTCTCCACGTGGTCTCGACTTCCGAAATATTGTGAAGAGAAAGGCTCTGGGGAACAAATCAAAACTCGCATGTGGAGAGTCGGTGGCGCGCTGAAAGTCTGAAGCGAGCACCATTCAGTGATTGAAATCTCCGATGTGGACTCGAGGTATTGAGAAGAAAGAGTATTCATGCACGAAGTCCTGCAGCTTCATTCCGATTTCCTACCGTTGGCCGCCACTCGATTGTCAGCACACATTTTCCCCAGCCGACCACTTGTTGTGCCGAAAGCACTGGCTCCCAATCTCCATCTTACTGGGATGTTCAATGCAAACTCTGGAGACAATGTAGGATTGTGGGCCCAGAACAACAACGAGAGCCATTGCAATACATGAAGGTATCCTCTTTAATTAGTTACGATTCACTAACAGCAAGCCCTAGGGAAAGATCATAGTTCGTGCTATCAAATCGTGGATGATCGCTGGGGCGAGACTGCCACTAGACTGTTAACAGCAACTGTGAATTTGATACGAAACGCGAGATCTGTTGGGTGTCGCCAAGCGGGCGTTGCTGTCCGAATACGCTGGGTCCCGGAATTCCGGGGCAGGAAGAACTACCGGCAGAAGTAAGACCAACAGATTTCCAACAGGACCTGGAAAGCACCGCTCGGATACAATTAAATTCGACGGAGGGCCACGTGGCAATATATTAACTTTGCATTGACGGCCGCCCCTTTGGCAGCGGGAGGTTCCACGCCTCAGCAAAGCTTATCATAGTCCGCTGCACGGGCTGAGGATTAATGCCTCGAAGGCATGGGAGACGCGCGGTGAAATAACTGGGGATGGGCTCGGTTGCCGATGCCAAGAAAACTAACATGATGCCGTCGGTGAGGGCAAGACTGGTGTGGAAAGGCCCTATCAAGCTTGATTTCCCTCGAGGATTCGCAAACATCGGACGGATACCCGGGCCCTTCCCTCTCATTATACGGGAATGGAATTACTTGATGCGAGCCGGCTCTACTGGGCGGTATGTGTCCCTACGTAAGTACCAGATTTCTTCTAGGAGTACCTTATCAGCAGTCCATGAGATTGATGCAAGACCAGACATACCAATGGCATCACATCCCTTCCCGGTGGTCGGGAGGCTAGTGAGCGGTTTCCCGACAGCCATGTCTCGGCGTAAGGAGGTAAGAACGTCTTTATATAGTCCGGCAGTTCGTTGGAAGGGGGACATCGCCCAGCCTTATGCAAAGTCCGAAGAACTTGTGTCAGACCCAATCGGCCCTTTGTTCAGGCTGTTGAGAGGATATGGAGTGGACAGGTAGACACAGAACGAATTAAATAAGAGGTCACACGCCATCAGAAGGTCCTATTCGCTAGCAAGTAGCAAGAAATAAGGTATAGCAGTCTTAATAGAAACTGGTATAAATATGTCAAACACATATTCGCCGCTTCTCCCCGACCTATTTAAGAGGCACTCCTTCAGGGAACTCTCAGGCCCTCTTCATAATTTCTTCTTTATTAATTGAATTTATCGGAAATGGCCTGCCTCAAGAGAAAGGGTTGAGACCCAGCGAGCTGTACCGTGTGAACAATGCTAACGAACTTGCATTTCACCAGACTTCGGAATCGAAGGGGAGACGGGAAAGTTTCTGCCAGCAGGCGTTTGCAAGATATCTACTCTAGTATGAAGGGAATAAATGCCACCAGATTACACACAGACTGTTGCATTCGACCGCAGTCGAACACCATGCCTTGCCTGCAACATTTCACAGATCACAACATGACAAGCTTGAGGTTGTCTCGAGATGAGATGAGTTAAGGTTGTGGCTGAGCGGCCGCTAGCTCCTTTCGCCTAATTTACAGCCAGATCGCATAAACAGAAAAGAGAATTCCAGCCTCCTCTTCTCCCAACGTCCTCATCCCCAACTCCAGCTCCCGCGACAATTGACCGACACCATGGGTTTCTCCAAGTACACTGCTCTTGCTCTTCTTGCTCTGCGTGCTGTTAGCGTTTTCGCTGCGGATGCCGTAAGTCAATGGGCAGAACCCCCACCCTGCCCAGCCCCAAATGGCTAACATCATCGTTTGCTAGGTCGAAGAAGAGCTCGAGACTCATGCCGCATTACCCAATCTTGCCGTCTCAGTTTCTGCATCCTTCCCCAATGCTGAGGTCTTTGGCGTCAAGCTCATCAATGGGCACGCGACACAGGCTGTGTTGAGTTTCACGAACAATGAGGCAGAACCTGTCCAAGTAGCTCTCATCGGAGGCGCGTTGTCCTCTTTGCAGCCAATCGCACCTGGACTTCACCCCAGCGCAGCTATTGTCCGCAATATCACTGCAACCCGCTACGATGTCGAGATCCCAGCTGGCGAGAAGCAGACGCTCCCATACACGTTCACCACGGATCTCCACCCCCAGGACCTCCGGTTAAACTTGATCGCCGTCATCTCTAGCCAGGCGGGCAATGTCTACCAAGTTCAGGCTTATAACGAGACTGTCAGCGTTGTCGAGGCTGCTACCAGCATCTTTGACCCCCAAATGTACTCCCGCTTTCCCGCCAGTTGATACACTCATGCTAATTTGTTTGCAGCATCTTCCTGTACCTCTTCCTCCTCGCCGCCTTCGCCGGAACCCTCTACTTCGTCTACAAGACCTGGATCGAGACTCTCTTCCCACAATCCAAGCGCGGGGGCAAGGGTGGCGAGCGCGCCAAGCGCTCATCTGGCGGTTCCAAGAAGGCCGTGGCTCCCGAGGACCAAGTTTCCGTAATTGGTGCAGATGGACCGGCTGTTACTACTGGTGCTGAGGCTCAGAAGGCGTATGACGAAAGCTGGATCCCGGAGCACCACTTGAACCGCCCGACTGCCAAGCGCGTCAAGAGCGGTGCCTCGTCGAAGCAGAAGACTCGCGTTGTGGCCGAATAACTCACAGAGTCGAAAGAAGAATCAATGAATCGGAGCAAATTGGAGAGTTCAGCGAATCTGTACGTTAGGTCGGCTGGATAGGGTATATATCATGGATAGCAGCGGCATTCGGCGGCGCTCAAGGCTGGGGCGGACGAAGCAAAAAGTGCACTTGTAACAATACAAAAGTCAATATCAAAACAGGTGTGGGCGAGCAAATAACTTCTCATTTAGTGGCCGGGAAGCCAGTTAAATCTTGTATGTATATTGACAAAACTTTTCCTAGGACAAAAGAACAATCAAAACGTCAAGAAGAAGAAACAGCAACAGCAGCACCATCCATGACCCCCTCCAACGCCTCCTTCTTCGCTTTCAACGCCGCAAAATTCCTATTCATCGCCTTCTGCGTAAACTCCCTCCCGGTCACAGCCTCATATTTCTTCAGCGGCCCCTGGATAACAGCATCTGTACACGGCTGGTTGAAATACGCCATGCTATACCTCGGCCCAAAATAATCCTCGCCAACCACCGACGGCGTCTTGACCCTATGGAACGTACTCTTAAAGCGGTCGTCGCTCCAACTCATCAGCAGATCCCCGATGTTACACACGATCTCTCCTTCCTTTGGCTCGACCCTCGTCCAACTGTCGCCGATCCCGAAACTCGTCGAGGCCTCGCGCCCAGGACAGATTTCGAGTCCGCTTTGGCCGGGTCGCTGGAACAGCAGCGTGACGAAATCCCAGTCTACGTGCGCCCCAGCACGATAATATCCCTCTGGAACCGGGACCGTGCTGTCGACTTCGAAGTAGTGCAGCAGGCGGAGCACCGTCTGGCTTTCGGCTCTGCTCACATCATGCGCCTTGATGAAATACTCGTCTTCGAACCCCAGCCCGCGCGCGAAGCAGAGCATCAGTTTCTCGCTCACGCTCTGCGCTTTCTTCATGAACTCCAGCGCAGCGTCCTTGAACCCGGGGAGCGTGGATTCCGGAAGCCAGCAACCGGCCATGTTAGAGCCGAATTGCATCTGGTAGCTCTCCTTGCGATCCGGCATTCCCGTAGACGGTCGGACCTGCGCGTTTTTCTCCCAGCCGGCGTTGAGGTGTGAGAAGGGGACCGTGGATTTGGTGGAGTCTGGGAGGGAGAAGAAGCGGGAGGAGTTCTCGAACATGTGCTCTATTTCTTTGGATGAGATTCCGTGGTCGACGAGGCCGAAGAATCCGTCGGTTTCCGCGGCTTGGATTAACTGGGCGGTAATCTCTGAGATTCGGGTGCCGAAGTCGAGAAGGGAGATTTTGGGGATGGTGCGGTTGGTGTATTTTGTTGGCGCCATTGTGCGAGGTTGGTGTTGGAATGGAGAAAGAGGTTTGTTGTTGGTGGTATTGGTGAGAGGTATGTAATGCTCAGTGAGCTCTTGTGATGAAGTGAAGGGTGAGATGAGGTTGAAGTTGAAGTACAGGTTAAAGATGACTGACCAAGGTATCTGTACAGCGAGGCAGCTATTATTTATGTCCTTCGCTTCTCTGTTCTCCTACTCACTCCACTCCGCTTCCCTACTTTAAATATCTTCTCTCGGCCCCGACATTAGGATTTGGTCTGTCATGAAAACAGACTCACTGGTCTGGAAAAAGATGAGGGTTGAAGCCAGCCCCATCTTTGATACTTTCGTATCGCGGTACCCTCCGGAGGTGGAGAAGTCGATGATTGGGGCGATAGTGGGGCCGAAATGGGTTATCTGCGGTGGCTTCCGCGAGCAGATTTAGGCTGAGATGGGGCTCGGCTGTGTCACGAGGGGTTGAGTCATGTGATACGGGCTGAGAAAGGGGGTCCCGGACTGTGGCAGCTTACGGGTGGAGAGATAGGTAGGTATGTTTTGAGCTCGGTGATACCATTTCTGTTCTTCTTGCGAGACGTGGTAGAACCACGAGTGTGGATTTCTAGTCAAGTTTGGAGACGAACATATGTTCAAGAGTCATCGAAGAACAAATACTTTTATTCGCACGCTAAACATATTTCCACCCCTTCCTATTCACAGCTTTGACACCAGACCTCTCTCTAATCCCTTGGATCGTCCTCTTCGCAGCCTCGATAACCTCCCCCTCATCCATCTTCACCAATTTCCCCTCACTTACCAGAACCTCCCCATCCACAACCACCATCTCAACCTCACTCCCAGAACACGAATAAACAACTACAGTCATGGGATTCAATCCCCCCAGCGCCACTTGTCCCTCATCCCAAGGCGCCGCGTTCAACCCCGGCTTCACAACCACGAAATCCGCCTTCTTCCCCACCTCAATACTGCCAATTTCCCCTTCCAGCCCCAACGCCCTCGCACCATTAATCGTCGCCATCTCCAGCACAGCCTCCGCCCCAACGAACTCCGCATCAAGATTCGCACCTTTGTGGAGAATACTCGTTAAATGCATCTCCCGGAACATATCATATGTGTTCCCGCACGGCGCGCCGTCTGTGCCGAGGGAGACGTTGATACCTCCTTCCAGCATCTCCGGCACCTTTGCAATACCGGATGCGAGTTTGAGGTTGCTGTTTGGATTATGCGCTACTGTTGTTCCTGTAGCTTCCAGAATCGGCAAGTCGTATTCGAGATCCAAGTGCACCATGTGAGCAAGGACTGTCTTTTTCCCGGTCAGCTTTGCTTGGTGGCAGAATTGCATCGGTGTTAGGCCGTAGCTTTCGCGGTAAATGGCCAGATCGCGCGGTGCTTCTGCGCAGTGCATCGTGAGTCCTATATCGCGCACTTTGCAGGCTTCTCCGATTCCGAGGTGCGAGGAGAGGGGTGAGCCGCGCGGTGTACCTGCTGCGGCCCAGACATGGAGGCGGCCATTGAATGTCCCATGGTGCTTTTCATGAGCTGCGAGCATGGAGGAGATGGACATCGACGCCACGTCTTTATCTCTTGGATCGGTGATGTTGAGCTCTTTGTTGCTTTCCTCGAACTTCACGAGCTTTCCCTGTATTCTCGTTAGTCTCTGGGATCTGTAGGGATAAGGAAGGGGAGTACCAAGCATGCACGGATACCACTCTCTTCCACAGCTCGAACGACATTCTCGAATCCGCTCCGATGCGTCAGCATACTCTCCAAAAAGCAGGTCGTGCCACTCTTCAACATCTCTGCAATCGTTAACCTCGCAGCAAAATATCCATCATCTGTATCATAAGATGCCTCCAGCGGCCAAATCGAGTCGCAGAGCCATGAATGTAAGGGGAGGTCTTCCGCGAGACCGCGGAGGAGGGACTGGGCCAGGTGGGAGTGCGTGTTGATGAGGCCTGGGATGAGAATGCGACCTTTGAGGGTTATGGTCTTCGTGTTTTGGGGGAGAAAGGATGGTGGGAAAGAGGATGTCTTTCCTACTCCCACGATGCGAGATCCAGTCACCAGAACGCCGCCATCAAGGATCACTTCTCGGGCGGGGTTGATGGTGATTATTGTTGCGTGTTTGTAGAATGTTGAGGGTTCGGATGGCATTTTGCCTGTGAGTTGCAAAAGTCTTTGAATAGTTGAGTTAGACTGATGTGAAGAGGATCGAGCAGTTGAGCTTCGAGCAGATTTCAGGAGAGATGTTGTGCCGGCACACTCGGCCGAGAAGCAGCCGAGCTCAATTCAAGGGGAATCTCTACCAAGTCACTTCCCCACGCTGAAGGCCAACTCCGGACTCGAAGTCTTTTCAAAACGATCAATCAGATATCCCACTTGGATAGGAAACCACCGGTCATCTTAAACCCCCAGCTGTCAGATTTCGATGTCTGCACTTGACCAAAATTTCGGTGGAGCTTCCCCAGAATCAGACCCGCGACCCCTGTCTCGGTGGCCTCCGACTCGATAAGCCCCTGAGCGCCTCCCATCCAACGCCGCTGATTGGCCGCGGCCACTTCCTGACATCTTATCAAAGATCTCCCTCCCACTCTTCAAGCGTTGAGCTTCAAAAAATAAAATAAAACCTCTAGCCCGATCGTGGAGCAATCCCACTGTGAGGAGAGTGAAGTGGAGGGGGAATACTAAAGCACCGAAGAGCCCGCGAGATTCAATTGCAAGTACTGCACAGCCTCAGTTCAGCAATTGAGCATTTGGCAGCTCTCATTTTTGGCCAAATTTTACAGGCAGTTGCTGAGATGGAGACTCCAGCTAGCATTGAGAAGCTCGGCCGGGAGAATGATGTCGCATATGCCTCGTCGTTCGCGGGCGAGGTCGAAGTACCTCAAAGGTCAACATGGGCATACTTGAAGCACTACTTCACCAGCCGTGAGGGTTGGGTCGGCGATTATGTTTGTCTGTTCCTCCCTTCCCACAGCGCCAATCTAATACAATCGTGCGTAGGATTACCTCTACCTCATCACACCCAATATCTGGCCCCTGAACCGCAGATACAAAGACTACGAAGCACCCTTCTACGGGCTCAACGATAAGATCCCAATCCTCCTCACCCTGCTCCTCGGTCTCCAACATGCCCTTACAATGATCGGATCCATTGTCTCCCCACCCCTAGCTATTGCAGGAGGGGCATTCAACTTCGACGCCGAAATAACCCAGTATCTCGTCTCCGCGGCCTTCATCACGACCGGCATCGCCACGGCCCTCCAAGTAACCCGCATCCACATCACCAAAACCCCCTTCTACATCGGCACCGGCCTGCTCTCCGTCGTCGGCCCAACCTTCGATATCTTACCTATCGCATTCAACTACACTGCCATGCGGTACAAAAACGGGACTTGTCCGACCGCAGCAGATGGCACGCAGTTGCCGTGTCTTGATGCCTGGGGTGCGATCTTGGGAAGCATGTTGTGTACGGTGTGGATCCAGATCGCGATGTCCATGGTCCCGCCCAAGAAACTGAATAAGATCTTTCCCAAGATTGTAACGGGGACTCTTTTGCTGTTGGTCGGGGTGTACCTCATCAACAGCGGGATGCAGAATTGGGGCGGGAGCAGCAATTGTAATAGTGAGACGGGATTCTACGCTCTGTGTCCCAACACCGCTGCGCCGAAGCCTCTCGTTTGGTACGTCTTCCTTCTCTCATCTCAATGTCCTATGCGAAAGAGAACATTAGATTGATTTGAGTTTGATACAGGGGCGACCCGAAGCTCATCGGCCTCGGCTTCTCCGTCTTCGTGACCGTCATCATCGTCGAGCAATTCGGCTCCCCACTCATGAAATCGGCATCCATCATCCTCGGTCTTGCGATAGGGTGTCTCATCTCAGGCCTAACAGGCTACTGGTCGCTCTCCAACGTCCGCGCTGCTCCACCCGTGACCTTCCTCTGGGTACACACTTTCAAGCTCTCTGTCGACGGGGCGTTGATCCTCCCACTCCTGATAATGTTTATATGTGAGGCTGTGTCTTGTATGCCTGATATCCTCGCCACTGCTGAGATAAGTAATGTGGATATTGAGGGCACACATTTTAATTCCCGCATTCAGGGAGGGATTCTGTGTGATGGGCTCGGGAGTTTGGTCTCTGCTTTTGGGACAGGGCTGCCGATGGTCAGTCAAGCGGGTAATAACGGCGTTATCAGCTTGACGGGATGTGCGAGTCGACGCGCGGGGTGGTGCGCTTCTGGATTTTTAGTTTTGATGGGAATGTTTGGGAAGTTTGGCGCGGTGTTTGGGAGTATGGTATGTATTTTCCCTTCCCCCTTCCTTTCCCTCCCCTTATCTACCCTTTCCCAGCTAACACAATGTTTGACAGCCCCCTTCCGTCCTCGGCGGTATGCAAGTCTTCCTCTACTCCACCATCGCCGTAGCCGGCATCCGCGTACTCGGCCTCATCACCTGGACGCGCCGAAACCGCTTCATTCTCACCGCATCCCTCGGAATCGGATTCATCGATATCGTACAGCCGTCCTGGTTCGCGCAGATCCTGGATTATAGCGGAAGTAATGTGCATCTTCAGGGTTTCGAGCAAGGGCTGAATTTGATTGTGGAGACGCCTTTTATTATCGCGGCTGTTATTGGGGTTTTTCTAAATCTGGTGCTGCCGAGGGATGGGAGTGAGATGGATCGGGTGGTGAGGGACTCGGCGGGGCATCCGGTGATGGAGACGAGGAGAGAGGAGTGATCTGAGGGCTAAAGAGGATAGATCAAAAGTTCAAAACAAATACCAGCCACATTGCATGTGGAACACTCAATCTTCTCTCCTCGCTGTTTCCAACGTTCCTGATCAATTTCCCTTCCTCTTACTTTCCTCCCCTCTTCCTTCCTACGTCAGAAGTTCTGAGGTCTTCTTTTCCCAATCCTTTATTAAATTCGAGATGTTCACGTCTCTTCCTACCTGCCAGGAATAAAAACAGGGCGAAATGGAAAACGCTGAACGAATGGACGGAGATGTTCCAGTCACGTGAGAGACAGCCTACCTACCCTAGTCTAACCAAGCCCCACATCTGTAAAGCTACCTCAGGGTTTCACATCCTGGTTCTCGCTTCTTTTTCATTGCAGTGAGAGCGCTTTGTGCCGATCTGCATCTTCTCAAGTATCACGTGACACGAAGGTTCCTTCCTCGCATCGAGATTGAGGTCTTCCACGACAATCCTTTCCTTCACTACAGCAACCCCATAATTTAATCATACGAAGCACAACAACCACCGTTGCGCCACACATGTGCAGACCATTGTCTCCTACTCTGTCGCGAGAATACCCTCACGACGACGTCATTTTCGCTGGCGACAAGGGGCACTTCTCTGCTTCGCATTAATGTGATATCCAACCCCTCAACCCTCCTCAAAAATGGCACCGGCGAGCATCTAGACATACTATAATCAGTGCCAATGTCTCTTGAATTGCCTCGGGGCCGAGACGGGTCCCAGCCTTCCTCTAGGTGACGTACCGTTCTCCAATTTGTCGGTTCGCTACCTTTTCATGTTTGGTACACTAGAAGCTGTCAAGATTATACCCTATTAGGGGCCCGAAATCCTCCCACCCATGCATTTATATGATAGGTCACTAGAACTTTAGGTCTTGGATCGTTCAAATATCTAACGGGACCTATTCCACGACGGGATAGCATATCGTCATCGAAGTCCCGAAGAACCTCTAGAAACTGTCACTGCAAGTTTATGTGAGTTGGGTACTAGTGCATTTAGCTCACACAGTTTATTCCAGCCCTTTTTAAAGTCTAGATGCCCAATTATTGGGTGTTTGAAGCTATCAAGTTTATTTCCCCCGCCTGACAACCACCTTCCTTGGAAGGTAGCCCACAATCGTTCTTTTCCTTCTGCACAGGCCATCGTGAAACGTCAGCCATCAAAATGAAATATCCATGGTCTGCTAGCCGCTCAAACTCAAGTGCCTCCTCTGATCCAGAGGCAGGAGGCACGCCCCTCGAAGATATGCCTCGTCGTTCCACCGAAACGCAACGGCGGAATGGCTTCCGCCAGTCAACCCATCCTGACCGCGGAGAACGAATCCTTGAGGACATTAGAAATGGACAGTAAGTGTTTAATCCAGTCCTTGTCGCACGTTAGAAACTGATCAAACCAGCTACACCTGTTCAATCTGCCTCGATCCCATCACCCCAGGCAACGCCTACGAATACAGCATTTGGCACTGCCCAGAATGCTACAACGTAAACCACTTCCGCTGCGCCAAATCTTGGGCTGAAGCTAGCAGCCGCAACGCCATCCTTTCCGCTCTTCTCGCCCTTGGAAAATGGAAATGCCCGAGCTGTGCCGTCGAGTGTCCAGAGCCGAAGGCGCGATGTTGGTGTCAGAAACATTCGTTCGGTCTTCTGGGTCCAATGTCGAGTGAAAGACCGAATGCGTGTCTTGATGCTTGCGATCGAGCTAGTGCTTGTCCACACGGGGAAAGGAAACCTTGTCTCAAGCTGTGCCATCCTGGACCTTGTAATGTTCCGTGCTCTCCCTCCTGCGCTGGCCATCCAGTCACCCCCCCGACTCCCACGGCATGGAATCAATTCTGGACTCGGGCTCGGCAACAATCGACGGGCTCATTCAGAGGCCTGATCTCCCTGTTTGTCATTTTGGTTATCGGTTATGCTTTGATGGCTATCTTGTTATACTTTCATATTGGCTGGTGGACGAAACCGTTCAAGTACCCTGAGATCACCAAGAGCGCCTTGTGCTATGAAAGGTTGGGTCTCGCGATAGCGGGGGTGTCGGTTGTTCTGCCTTCTACCTTCATTATTTTGTCTACGCTCTTCAAAGGAGCGGCGGACTTCTTCGTCAACACTCTGAACCTCAACTCACGAGAGACGAACCGCGACCTCAAGGGGGTTACCAAGAACTTCGGCGCAATCTTTCTGTTCTTTATCTGTGTTGGAATTTGGATTCTACCGGTCATTGGGTAAGTTTACACATATCTAAAGGGGATTTAAAGCAAGCTAACCGTGAGTAGGTTTGCGGGTGGTCCTGATATCGCCTGGTACAATCAGATGAAAAGTACTTGCAACGGCTTCAACACTAGGGTTGCAATGTATACCTGTGAGTATTGCTCTCACCCCTCCCCTGTTAAATATCTCACTAACGCCGTCCTAGCCGGAAAATTCGATGTCAAAAGCTTGTCCTCTAACATCCCAGCTTATGACATGTATCTTGGCTCCCACCTCAAGCCCGTTCTCAAGCCCGTTTTGGGACCAGGTGTAAAGAACATCGCCAAAGTCATAAACCACTTCGAATTCTACCAACGCCTCTCCATCTCACGCACTACCCCCACGTCCCCCGACGACGAATTCCAACACCTCGCAATCGACGTCGACATCCCAAACAACCTCTACCGGATCCTGAAGCTCAACACGTCCGACACAGAGAACGAGTACCTCGCCTACAACTACAAGGACTCAGCTACCGAACTGCCCACCTTCCACCCTGTCTCGGAAGCCTTAATCAGCGTTGGCAGTTTCACGGCAGTCAGTGCCACTCAAAAGCACATGTTCATCCCAGAACTCAACATCGGAATTGCAAACATGCATCAATTCGTCCACGACTATGACCAAGAACCCTTCGTGAAAATCTACCAGAACCTGTCTCCCTACTGGCGTACTTCCATCGCGGGCGGCCCTCCCACCCTCCTCCCAGCCGAGCAAGACTCATTCCGCAAAACTCTCAACGAGCCCTGGGATTCCAAGAACCCCGTCCCGCTAGATCATCAACTCATCATGCGCACGGCGTCCTTCGGACACGGCAGACAGAGACTGGATATGTGTGTCCAGGAAGATGGAGGTGAGGAAGGAGTCAGTGTTGGTGTGTACGAGGATCTGTGGGTCCCGTTTGCAATTATGGCGGCGTTTAAGCAGAGGATGTATGAGCAGAGTTTGGGGGCGGAGAGTTAATTAGAGGCGGGGAGGAAGAAGTCGGAGTAGAGTGGAGACGGTGGGGTTGTGTGTTTGTTTCTGCCTGCTGTTTTTGGTTCCCATCCCTGGTTTGAAATTCTTCCAGTTCTTGGTGGAGACTTTTGTGTGGTGATTTGGTGATTTGTAATATAGGACGTATTCCTTAGGGAGTTGGATAGGGGGAGAATTCGCTAAAGATCCCTGTCTTTTCTTGTTTCTCCTTTAATAAGCGAGAATTGCGGGTATTAAAGAGGAAAAAAGATTTGTGCAGTAGATTTATCTCTTATGCTAGACAATAAATGTAATATACACACCTTTACGTCGTTTAGACTAAATATAAGAGATCCCTTCTTCATTTGGCATTCAGAAGTTTGGTTTCTTTTTTTGTTGTTGGGGGAGGTTGGGAGCCATGTACGCGTAAGGCTTGCTAAGTGCGACAGCGCACCACGACCCCAACACTGACGGCAGACTGGCCTAACGTAAGCAAAACCCTTCCGGGGCACACGAGGTCCTAGTCTTTCTCTTTTAAAGGCCCCGCGTTATCCTTCTTAGGCCAACGATCGAAACCGAAGGTTCAGAACAAGCCAAATATCCTCCTAATTTCGATTACCGGCTGATTGTTATTCGAAAAAATATCTAACCTGGTAGAAAGGCTTCTAGACCTACGCCCGGAGATAATCGTGGCTAGGATAGAAGAGCCAGCAGGACGAAGTCTGGACGCCAAGAGTAGTTTTTAAGACCCCCAAGGGATGTGCCGAATAGCGTAATCTTAGCCTTGGCCTAGAGTTAACAGTTAGTGATACAACCAGTTCCCTTGTCAACGTGAGTGTTTATCTCTAAGAGGTCGTCCTGTTAAATACTATTGGATAGTGGGATTGAAGGAGCCGAGGAAAGCCTCAGCGTAACTCTGCTAACTTCGGCTGAAAGCGCTCGTGCTGGCTTTGGGAAGTTGGTCGAGGATCCGGGAATATGGGGCGAACAACTTGCGGGTGCTCTCTGGTGGGTGAGTGTTCCAAGTGAGACTCAACAAATTGAACGCTTCATGTTCGAGGAGGGCGCGTAGTTATAACATGCTACCAGAGGAAACGCGGGGTTTGCGCCACCGGATCGAGGTTCCATGACATCAGCGTCTGTCGGCTCCATTTTACTCCGTAAAGATTATTTGACCTCAGTTATTAGGCCCGGAAGAATTTCTTTCAAAGCTCCTGTGGCGCGGTAGCATCCCTCCTGTAGAGGTAAGACGAGGAAAGCGTAGCCCAGCCTTAAGGGAGCTAAAAGGGGCCTCCTTGGGGACTGTCCGGGCCCTAAAATGGCTCTTGTGTGCATGCTCAGGCCGTGGTCAAGAATGCTGACCCTCGGCTTAAGCCTACTAACCCACCACTCACGATAAAACAGCAGCAATCTCATGTCCAAAGACGGAAATGGAGAATACTCATATCTACATTTGGATGTGGAAATAGCTGTTGTAGGAAAAGTACCTGTAGCTAGACCTGCATAACCTCATATACTTCCAAAATCTCTGCGCTCCTCCTGTTTCTTGATTAGCTGCTTCCTCAAGCCGCACATCTCGGTAGCACAATACTCATTTTCTAGCATTTCCAGAACCTCGAGCGCGCTCATCTCCGGATGCCACCGATCCGCTGAAACAACAGCACCAACATCCGCTCCAGCGTCCAAAAACAGTCTCACAATCTCAGCCCAACGAGTGGTACCTTGTGGGTCAATGTCAAGGTGCGCGATCCAGCCTCGACGGTGGCCGCGACGGAGGTGCTGGAGAAGGGCAACCCAGGGGGTGTTCTGGGCTCCGGCAGGGATGAAATCGGTGTAAGTGTGGTTTGGACCGGGGTTATGGCGGGAAGGAATTTGAAGGAGAGCGCGAATGAAGGAGAGAGAGGATAGTGGGTAGATGCTGTTTTGGCGGGAGCAGATGTACTCGGTTGCGTAGGAGAGGAGGGGTGTTCCTTCTCTTGTGTCTTCTTCTTCCTCTTCTCCGCCTTGTTCGTCCTCATCTTCCTCATCTTCGTCCTGCTCTCCTTGCTCTCCTTTCCCAGCTTTATCTCTCTCCTCCACCTCTTGATCGATCACCTCGTTCTCCTTGATTTCTCCTCCTTCTTTCGATGTTAGTTCGAGGGAAGCTGAAATGTCCCCCAAGACCAAGCCCTCCAACTCTTCCGGTACGTAATTGGCAATTCCAAACTTCGCAACAAGGTATAAATAAGGCTCACGTATTGGAGGCGCCTTCGTCCGTACATCGTAGCTATTAAACACGTGCTTCGCCCAATGGTCAGTGGGGTCTCCAAGTCTTGGAATCCAGTACCACCCAATGGCCTCGTCCAGCTCATTCAGAAACTGCCGTTGCAGAAGGGTTTGGCTAGGTTGGACATTCCTCGCATGTGTCATACACACGGTAATCTGTGGCCACCTGTCATTGAGCCATCGCCGACGCCATGGCCTCTCGACAGGCATCTTAAAAGCCATTATTCCGGCCCTTAGGAGCCGAAGGTGAGGATCAAAAGTACCCGAAGATTTGCTGATGAGGAGCTCGCGCACCCCGTCACCGTCCATGAGCCAGTCACGTACGGTTCGGTGGATGTAAGTGACTTTGTGTCCAGCCACTCTGCGAGTGGAGCCGGATGAATTCTCTTCATCTTGAGTCTCGATGCTAGTAGTTCGCTCGTTTGCCCCTTGGCGTTGAGGGAAAATACCAAGAAGGCCCCTGAACCGGTCTTCGATTCGAGTGCATGTATTCTCACACCTGCCCTGAACCTCCTCGTCGCTTGCCTGCTGCACCTCATTGTCAGATATCGCAAGTGAATCATCGTCGGAATCTAGGGCGAGTGCAATCTCCCAGACATTCAGAAAGTTAGCAGTTTCGTCGTTGATGAAACTTGCAGCAGTCTCTCTGGCGGTGATTAGCCGGAACATGTTGGCCGTCTCAGATTTTTCAACGGCGTCCTGCTCGAAGAAGAGGAGCTTTTCAAAGAGGTCTTCCAGCTCCGTTGGCTGCTCTTCAACAATGGCTTGCAGGTCATGGAAACCGAGGCTTGGCTGGAAATCTTTCAGTAACTTGCTGACTGTAAGCCTAGTCCAGAGGAAGACTCCGTCTGCCCGTTGAACAGTCTCGTCGAAGAGGGTGTCCTTGAATTCCGAATTTTCCTTTAGACAACCTCCGATCTTAGAATCAGCGCTAAGCGTATCAGAGACATAGCCATACATGTCCTGATAAGTCAGCTCCTGCAATTTGAGGTTAGGAACGGATGGCTGGAAGGAGCGTTCGAAAACGGCCCAGGGACGCGAAGAAAGGCACATCTTGACTCTGCCGCCATGCGGTCCTTTTCCCAAACTCTGAAAGAACTGAACGAGCACAAGGTGATTCCCGTCGAACTCGTCGAGGCCGTCAATAAATAGGCAGATCTTAGAGCTCTCTACCGCCGCGTCCACGAAGGAGCGGAATGCACGCATGAGTTCCGATGAGTCCCACTCGAGAGACAGCCCGATCCTTTCCCTCGTCGTCAATATTTGCATCTTCTGCCATAGATCAGGGAAAGTCTTCGGCATCATCGCCTTATTGTCAGAGAGAAGCTGGTGGAGGAGAGATCTGAGTAAGCCCGCCTGAGATCGCTGTTCTTTAGACCCACTCGTCCAGAAGAAGAAGCCCGCTTTGGAGATGGGGAGATCACCAGCCCATGATTTCAAACAAGTATTTGTCCTGGAGTGTCCGAACAGGAATCGAAAAAGAGTTGACTTTCCTGAGCCTGGTTTGCCGCTGATCCAGTATATAGGACCCAGGTCATCTATTGTTAGCCAGGTCGCAAAATGGTGCTTGATTTCTCTGCCGGTTTCGGGCTCGAAGATCCATTTAGCTGGTCAACTTTCTCCGTGACTGGCAGCACGCTTTGGTTCCTGGTGTTCTTGCCATTTTTCTCTGTTGCACTTGTAGCCCGGAGACGAGTGAGCTTCTGAAGTGGCAGTTGTCCGGAACTATTCAAGACTCAGACATGTATTAATCACTAAATCCGATAGCTACTCACGGGAAAGTAAGGGACCACAGATCCTGCAGACTTTGGATTCGCTCGCCGAGAGCCTCGACCGCTGCGGCTGGCCAGGCGATGCGCAAATCCGCACGGGGGCCATTGGACATCTCATATGCTTGCACTCGATGAAGCCGAACCAAAACATGCTGACCAAGCTTGACGCAGGTGCGGGGGAGAAAAACTGCATTGCCGTCTTGATTGATTTCAGCATAGAGTCGCTCTACCGTGACCGCAAGGTTAGTGGAGAGCTGGGAGATGTCGCAATTTCCATATGGGTGGTTGTTGTGGATTGCAACAGCAGCATTGTACAGCTCAGGCTCGGCAAAAATACCTGAGGCATCGATACCGGTATCGATAGTATTAGGTATTTTTCAGGTATCGTAAGAATCGATACGTATCGATACCTTATCGATTCTTACCCTAAAAATTATCTCTTTATTTTATTATTTTATTTATATAAGAATATATTCATATATAATTCCTTTAATTTCTAGTGTTTCTATTAAAAAATTTATTTACTATTATTAATAAAATTTAATAATATCTTAAATTTAAAATACCTCTCGTATTCGGAGAATTAAGCCCCGTATTCGTATTTCTTATCAAGGCACTAAATATATAAGTGAGCCTCACGAAAATCTCAAAAGCTCATTTTTACTTAAAATGGCCGCATTGAGATTAGTTCTAGCCTAAAGTATAAGATAAGTAGCTAGATAGAAAGCCTAAATTAAGGAGAATATTTGCGCTACCAAAAATTTTCTTATAAGGGAAGTAGTTCGAAAGTTAATTGTGATTAAAGGGGAAAATTAGGTTCAGGGAATCGATACTACTATCGATACTATCGATACCTTACGATTCTGGCATCGATACCTATCGATACCGGAAATTTAGGTATTTTTGCCGAGCCTGGTACAGCTCTACCATGGAATCAAGGAAGTTCACCGTCATCTCAGCAACCACACCGGCCGACAATCCAGTCGCCATCCTTAAATTTAGATGGGACTAATTTCAATTGTGTTTTCTATTCTATTCAGGTTTCTATAGACTGCCCACCACGTTGCACGGCGGTGGCGCAATTGAGTTTGTCTGGACCAAACTGCTTCGGAGACTTTAGGAAGCGAAGTACTGTTCCAGGAAAAGCTGGGGAATGCTCTGTTCTTATAGCCAGAATTTGTGGGGCTGTGCAGCTGGCATGCATGGCACGCGCCGCGCCCCTATTTGTGTGAGTCAGATGCAATCCCTGATCCCTAAGAAAACTCTCGCTTAATCGTGAGTGTACTTTACAATATTTGAAATGTTTTGAAAGAACTGTAGGGCAGGTAAGTAATCAAGTGGGGAGGGGGAAAAATTGGGCCAAAAGAGCATCGAATGGGTTCTTATATTCATATATGGAGGCCTTTCTCTTGGAATAAGGTTAAAGTGTTGAAGTGATAACACGGCACAATAACATTCTCTTATGATAATAGATATAAAAGGAGTCTGCCCCTGCCAACCCCTGTACCCCCTCCCTGTTCTGCTCCCTTCCCATTCCTAAAACATGGGTATATGCTCAAAGCGGTAATTTTTGATCTCGACTCTTTTTTAGATGCATAAGCACCCTCTCTGGGCAGACCCTAGAACAGGTGCTTATGTATTTGAGAATTTGATTCCCTTCTAGCCCCTTTCCCCGCACAATTTTATTGTAAAGTAAGGCTTTCTTTTCAGCTATTCTTTAGCCCCTGGCACGCGCATAAAAGGTGGGCAAGAAGCACGTCCCTCTCTTGCCCCTTGTAATCGCTTAAAAAGTATATCCTCAAGGCACGCTCGTGCACTCAAGGTATGCGCATATACTCCGTACGCTGTCGCGTGCCCCTAGCCTATTAAGGTCCTAGTATTAGTAGAGATAAGCTTTAGAACTCCCAGAATTAGCACGATGTCTAGTTCCCTAGCAATTCAAACATTCTCGGACGCTCAAGCCTCGATCCTGGACTTCTTGTTCCCAGGCTTCACCGGTATGTCTGCCGCTGTCCAAGGGTATCTCACCATTGACTTAAACGTCTATGTTCCTCTGTTGTGTTTCTTTGGGTTAATTGCGTTCGGTTGCGGACGTATTTGCCAGGCTCTATTTTAAGCCCCAATCGCCCGAGACCGTCGCTCCCAACCTCCATACTGCCGCGCTCAGCCGGCTCTAATCTCTAGGGCTCAGGAGTATTTCTGGATTTTGAGCATACGAATAGACGACTACAGTCCTTGGAACTTCTGCAAATGGTTCCTCAAAATAGAAAGGGCGTGAGACGGAGCGTGCCTTGGCGCTCTGCAATAAAGGGACTGATATATGGGTCAGACACTGGTTTTCCGAGAATTGAAGTCAATTGCTTAGAAAAATATCAGGATAGGTTGGAGCGAAGTGTCTACTAATCTAACTGTTTCAACTGCCCGTTCAACGTGAGTTCTTACGACCGTTTCTCACCTTTTTGAGCAGTAATGGGCCTCAGCATGAACACCTCCACAAACTCCTTCTCCCCCAAAACCTCCTTCTCAAAATTCACTACCAATCTATCCACCTCCCGAAATCCATATCGTTCATAGATGGGCTTTCCATGCGGACTCGCCTCCAAATATGTCTCCGTTCCCTCCTCATCCGCTTTCTCAAGACCCCACCTGATCAGCTGTCCCCCAGCTCCTTTCCCCTGATACTCCGGCCTCGTAGCAATAACCTCCAAATACCAGTGCTTCCGCCCTTTCATCCGCTCTGCATGCTGCTCAAGAAGATTTCCAAAGAAGAGGTTGGCAATCTTTATATCTGAACCTTGAGGCCATTCCGGTAAATTGGTTGTTACAGGGGCTGATGGATTGTTCCATTTGGCGTATGATACGATTTTTTGATTGGGAGATGAGGAGTCATATACACAGACGAAGCTTGAACAAGTGCCTTGCATTTCTTCAATCACGCTGTCGTACCACCATTTGAATGAAGCGGGGCCACGAGGGAAGATAACTAGAGAGGCGGCGTCGAGTGAAAATGCTGAGAAGTAAATTTCTGTTAGGGCTGAGGCGTCCGCTGCTGTCGCCCGGCGTAAGATGAGAGGCATGCCGACAGAGCTGTTTTCTGGTGAGAATATTGATGTGATAGGCGAAAACAGCAAGTAAGAATTAGTCGTGGATTTATGTCTTCCTAAGAAGCCCCAGGAGTTGGCGTTACGGATATCTCTAAAGGGTATCTTTACGAGTCTTCATCCCACCTATGGCACAGCCAGGCAGCTGGATTTTTGGCGATTTGTCAGCAACACCTACTGATCGACTTAGGTAAGTCTTTGGCGAGCGAGTCATATCATTCGAGTTCTAAGGCCTCACTGCTATAGAGGCAATCATCATCAGCATTGTAGCCGTTACGATGTATAAAGTTACATAAGGTTACAGCGCGGATCGGTACCTGGAATTAGAGCGACTAATGATCCCGCACATGCTATATATAACATATGGATAGATGCGACGCTCTTTTCGTCTAGATAGGAGCGAACCTGCTTATAATCTTGTCAGAGATTCAAGTATATTGCCATGTGGTTGAACTGAGTCGAATTAATTCGCAAGATGACTTCTCCCTTAAACTACCAAAAATGGAGGAACGTTCCAGCCTTCACTATTGATACAAGTAATAGTTGTCGTCTATTCCCGATTCCCTGGTTGAACTGCCTTTCCTCTACCACTTCCATCTGCACGGGTTACAACCCTTACTGGACGAATCACACCCATTATAGACCCGGTCTCGTCGAAGTTGTTAAGTTCGCAGTCCAAAACACTGCTCTTTGCCCTCACATTTTCCATTAGTCAAAATCACGCGCCAATTAGCTCGGGATCTTCGCACAAGGCCCTTTGAAAATCGTAAGCGCGAATTTATATTATAAGTTAAAGAGCTAGTTTTAAAAGAAGAATATATATACAGAGCTACTGAAAAAAAGGTAATAAAAAGAGTTAAATAAATAAGAAGAAAAAGCTTTGTAAGTGTGACGGCTGGTGTCACATGGTTGGTTTCAGCCAAAGGGGTTGGTTTCAGCTAAGGTTCCAAGCTATGGTTCAAACCAAGCTCGCTTCCAAAGCTCGGCGTTTCAGTGGTTTTGGCCATACCTACTTATCCACTGCCACACCTCACTCCTTCTCTCCTTAGCTTTAGATTCTGTAGGACATTGGAATTATAGATCTTTGAGCATCGTTCCATTGCTTTGTTCCTGCCATCACAGTAAGCTTATAAATAGAAAAATAGAAAAATAGAAAAATAGAAAAATAGAAAAATAGAAAAATAGAAAAATAGAAAAATAGAAAAATAGAAAAATAGAAAAATGAAAAAATGAATTTTTTTTTATATTATTTGCTTTTATTTAAAAGTTATAAATAAATAATTCAAATTATATAACTTTTATAAATAAAATTAAACTTATTTTAAGCTTTAGAACTTAGTTTAAAATTATAAGTAATATATAAATATAAGTTTTTTTTAAAATAAATTTTTATATATAAGCTTTATAAATAAAGATAAAGCTTAAGAAAATGTTATAAATATAAGTAAGGTTTAAAAGAATAAATTTGTAAAGAAAGAGCTTAATAATATTTTATATATATATAATGAAAAGTATATTATTAATATAATGAAAAGTTATAATATTTTATTTCAATAGCACTACTGCAGATAGAATCGACGAAAGCCATGCAACTTTATTTATCCTCTTGCATCTCTTAACTTCCGGATTATCTGAAAGTAACAAGAGGTCCAATTTCTAGGTCTAAACCCACCGTTTCTCTCTTTCCTCAATACTACGAATACCACCTAGACAAAGGATTGCGGCTGGGGTCTGATCCCAGATCATAGGCCGTGCCCTTTTTGCTAGAAATACGACTTCGACCTCCCCCACTGGGTGTTATCCAGTGACTTTTGCAATACCGATTGCATTGATGTTTCTGAAAGAAAGATTTCATACCTTCCTTTCCTAAATCTCCTGGTCCCAAATTCCCTTTTTTAGTCAAGACAATAGGATCTGTCAAGACGCTACATATAATTAGCCAACTGTGCTCTTAGTTTTAAAACAGAGACTTACAATTCATCTCGATATGCGCCACCCTGCAAATCGCAAAGCACGTACTCCCCATCCGATTCATGATATGAGAAGTGACTCAGGGCCTGCATTGCATCGCCCGATTCATCACAATCTGTATTCACCCATCCACTGTTGCTGTTGAACTTCTCGAACATATCGATGTACGGCTCAACTAGAGCTTTAGCACCTGTATTCCCACTTGTCGCTATAACTGGCCTAGAAACTCTCACGAGCCTGTCGCCGCCGAGAATTTTGGCTTTATTAAATGCCTTGGCGATCTTCTCCGTGACCCCAATGATGATCATTTCTTCATTGAAGTAATACTCTTCGTAGACGCAACCTTCCTTGAATTGTTTGATGATGGCGGTCTCCCCGCGACGAAACCCGTCCAGGTATTTGGCTTTCCAACAGAGTTTAAAGGTTCCTTCGGCGAAGGGGTACTCACCCAACATTCTGCATCCCCCTCCCCCAATAAGTCTTATGTGGGTCATGCTGACAAGTGAGGGTTGTGAAGTTTAATGTAGGACGGGGGTTGAAGATCGTGTCCAATGTTCTCCCTGTAAATTTGCGTCGATGTTGATGCTTCTGAAGTCTTGAGTTTAAAAAGGATGTGTCTGTTCTTGAATTTCAGATGAGGAACGGAGGAAAAAGTAGGGCTTATATATTTGAGCGTGTTTACTTCCATAGCTGAGTGATTTATGGAAAACTGGCACTGGTTTAGAAGATCACTGCCATGAATAACATCCAAGAGAGAAGTGCGTGCGGATGAGGAGGACACGATCAGTTGAAATATCATGGAAAGTATTCCTGGAAACCAGGAGCTACGGTGAATGAATCAAGGCTGAATCGGGCAGAAGATCGATGTAACATATTCACTCTCCAAGAATCTCTTCGAGTTAAGTTTCAAAAACTTCGCCTCCTCGCCATATGAGAAATCATGCCTACCGTGCTCAGCTGGTAGAAGTTGATGCAGCAATCAAGAGAGAATGACCGAAGATAAACCAGGGGCTCTTTTATAGCATTTCAATAAGCATGTCTAATGTAGTTTTGCGAGTTTCAAACGTTTTGTTTATGTCTGTCAAGAATATGACTTCATTTTACCTGGCTTGCATTGAATCCACTTTTTCTGCAGTGCACAATATTTTCATGGGTCCAGTTTTCCCGGAATTCGTTGAGAGAGATTTTGTACCTTTCGTTCCTCTCCTGGTTACCCCTACTCAGGTTACTGAAGATGGACTGGAACTATTTTCCAAGCTTGCTCTCAACCACGATGGCATGCTCAATTATCTTTCGTCACGGTTCTGTAGACTGACTAGGGGCACCAGATATCTCTGCGTCATTAACTGGTTGTATTATTTGCCAATGTCGGAGAATTGAAATGGTGATGTTTTATGCATATGATGTTTGGCATTATTTCATCCATTTCTTCATTTTTAAGAACTCCTCAAGACAGCTCATGTGCAAAGTTTCACATGTCAAATCCTACGGTATATTTGTTAATTTCTATGGTTCTCTCCCATCACTGCCTTACTCCTTCTCTTCATCAACGGCACCATACCGTTGAGCATATCAATCCAAAACCCTCTCATCAATAAATGTGAATCCGTTGAAATTGACTTGCATGCCAAGCGCAGCAGGAGTCGATGTAAGACCAGTCAGCCGCTCTGTTAGTCAGAGAAGGCGCATAGCCAAGAACGATGTGGTCAGGATCAAACCGAGGGGAACCCCATTCAGCTTTCGCCAGCGGGCGGGTTGAACGGTGGATTGGCGGTCTTTTCAGCAAGAGCATCCCAATTGATACCAGAAAAGAAAGCATGTCGTTTCAAGTCTCCCGCGCCATCAGTTGCTCCAAGTCGGTCCTTGGGATTGCGATTTAACGGCCCTTTGACAAGGTTTATCCAATCGGTACTGACAAGCCAAAAGAGGTGCCTCCACAAAAAGATCTCATTTACAGCAAAAGGGGCTGAGCTAGCCGCAATTATAAAGCCGAGAAAGTAGTCATTGCACGTGATATCAATTTGGTAAGTTCATTCCACTACATGCAGTTGATCATCGATGTATGTAAACACAAAGGTTCTCCAAAGGGTTTTCGCCAGCTCACGTGTGATTCACAGAATGCAAACAACACTGTTCCATCGCACTTCCCTGCTTCCTGACATATTCGGCGATGAGACCCTTGTGCGTTCCAACCAGCGAGAGAAACCGTTCAAGCAGAGATCAGAAAGATGGTAGGATCAAAAATCAATTCATGACTAAGTGGAAGCTGAATTGACTTGCTATAATCCAGACGAGCCCCGGAAGGTGGCCTGTGAAGGAGATCATGTGAAGATAGCGCAATGGAAGGAACAACCTCAAAAGCATAAGACGTCGACAGCTATGGAATTTCAAGGACGACCTAAAGCTCAAACAATTGTATCTCAGAATTACGACTTGCTGGAGACTTTGAAAGCCGATAGAAAACAAGATCTCCCGAGGTTGACGTCAGTCGACGTTGGCTCATCCGTTCCAACACCTCAACTTGGGTTCGTTAAACAACAAAACTTTCTCAAATTTCCTTCGGGAAGGCAATACCGAGTCCCCGATGATCGGAGGCTGCCCCTCGCATATTTTGCATCTGATAAGATGGGATCAGATAAGATTACGTGAATCCTTGTCAAATCCTACGCCTCCTACCCCCGCCACGAAAATGTTTTGAAACATCGGGCGTTTGTCAAAGCACACCATTTGCGCCCAAATCGCGCAAAGGTTTCTGATAGGCTTCGAGGAGGCGGGATAGTTGCGCGAAAAAGTACAGGGGCAGGATCTGATAAGATTAGTGGGGTTCCATCGGGCTGCTGCCGGGAAAGAGGGCTTACAAAGAAAGATGTCAACGGAGATCACACGACTTGTGGACTGATCTACAGCTTGGCGGGTTTGCTTCTCTGGGCGGTCGTCGGAAAAAGCAAGACAAGCACTTTGATGTGTTGGGGATCATTGGTTAGAAGTGCAGCTTGGCGGCAGTACGTGGCGAGACCCACTTTGGCCCCATTTCTTGAGCTGTGGGTATCTTTCTAGATGATGTTGGGCGGAAAATCTGATATACCCTGCTGTGTTATCAGTAAATCTGACATACCCTCCACCCGCCGCATTAAGCTGACCAATTAGTCAATGGGAACTCCAAAGCCATTAACGTCCCTATTAACTTCGCTATTGACGTCGCTATCGCTGTCGCCATCGCCCCCCTAAAGTACCCTGAATACCCTCAACTCTGCAACTTTTTAGCGAGGTCATCGCGATTTTAATTTAATTACGATCTATATATATTATAGACTTTATATACTTCTATCTATTACTCATTTATTTCATTTTCACGATTTAAATATACTGCTAGTGAGGTTTTTATTAAATTTCTATAGATTTTAAGGATTGGGAATAGCTATAGAGGTTGCAGCTATAAGTATTGCCTGGCAGCGAGGGAAGCACTATAACTATAGGGCCTTGCAGGCTTTCCGGGGCCCAAATATAGCGTACAGGCCCTATGAATATTGCTAAACTTACTCTTCCTACAGGCTGTGGAGCCTGTAAGGTTCATCGTATTAATTAATTGGCCAGCTTAATGCGGCGGGTGGAGAAGGTATGTCAGATTTACTGATAACACAGCAGGGTATATCAGATTTTCCGCCCTAGATGTTGTCTGTCTCAAGGCTTTTTTGCTTTTTACTATAAGGAGCGTCTTTGCCGAGACCGACTTGGCGAAATATAAGCTTTCACCTGAGCCGAATGACACGTCGAAAGCGGAAAGGAGGAATTTCAATTGGTGCTCAAGAAGCCAAGAAATAATAAGAAAAGACTAAATTATGGAGAAACTCCATACGCGGGCGAATAAATTGGGCGGCTGGAAACTTTGATGTGCCTGGGATGGTTGTTAGGAGAAACTCTTTCCCGAGGCTGTGGTGTGAAAAGTGAAAACTCTTTCCTGCGAATGGGGAAGGTTTTGCAAGGGTAGTTCGCATGGAGCGGGGTCCGTGTAGGTTATCAGATCCGCTCTTAGCGATGGGCGGGTGTGTCGGATCAACAGGCTAGGTGGCTGGTCGTCCTGGTTGGCGGCCGTCGATAGCCCCAAACCAGCATCACACCACAATCCACATTAATATTGAGGGATTAATTACTTCGTTCGCCAGGGAGCCCCGCCGTCTGGGTGGCCGATTCGAGGCACACTACGTTCTGAAATCTTCTTGGCATCCTTTTCTGTCAAATTGACAAAAGTCGGAGAGATCAACGGATCGGTGTTGAAACTGCTATCTGATTTCATCAAATTAAGAATTCAATATGCTAGAACCTCTTAACGCCAATTTCCCCACCTGTACCACCTTGTAAGAAAGATCAAATCAACCTCTTCACTATTCCTATCGGCCTCACATCATTGGGAGCCAGCTACTTTGCTAGCTGTCGGTTGTCCTCCGACAACGAACCGTCAGAATCATGGAAAACTCCACCAGCCAAGTGAGCTTGACCTTGGCGAACAATTCCAGCTCGTTCCTCCGCCGATATTGCTTGCTTCTTCTTCGCCCAACCTTTGAGCCCAGGAACCTTCGCTAATGTTGCCAGGGTCTGGGTTTTCAGCGGTAGTGAACCAGTGCGCTCCTCATACAATAGGCATGACACTGCAACCATGATACCAATCCAGTAAACATTGTAAGAAATGACAGAGCCATAGGTGGCCGAGTTTTGCCAGCCTAGAAGGGCATAGAAGACGTCCCACCCGTGGTCGGTTTGCGGACTGCAGCAGTTGACATGCCAGACACTCTGCGTGATGTCGTATGAGCCTGGCCCGGATCCTTGCTCTGCCACGTCACTGCCGACTTTCTGAGCGAAGGTGTGGAATTGCAAGCTCCAAATAGCCTTTGAGAACATGCCCGCTGCAATGAGGTACAGAACGCTGGTGGAGGCGATGAGGAATAGTTGGATGGACAGGACGTTTCCGCCCCGGTAGATGAGGTACCCAATCAGCAAACCGGCCAGTAAGCCAGTTATGACTGGCAGCGGAAATTCTGTAGCTGGCAAGCCGAGAGATACTCCTCCAACGAACACTACTGCTTCGACTCCTTCCCGCATTGTCGTGATGAACGGAAGTATGAACAGAGCATTCCTTTTCCCCCAAGCACCGAGCCAGGATTTGGCATTATGGTGCTTCGCCTTGTCGACAAGAGCGTGTGCAATCTTGAGCCTCCACTTCTCCTTCATTTTATTGACCCTCAGAAGCGCAAGACCCATGACTGTGATGATGACTGTGGCAATGAGGTAGAATATGCCCTCCCAGAGATCCTCTGATTTTGACCAGATGTCTTTGCCGACGCCGTAGAAGACTCCAATGAACGCACCACCGATAACCAGGCAGACGAAAACTCCTGATAATGACCCAAACCATACTTGTCGTACCAGTCGTTTGTAGATCTTTTGGTCTTGGTCTGGTTGGCCGAGGCATTGCTTCAGGAAAGATAGAAGCACGGAAACAATGATGACTGCCTCGAGAACCTCTCGAAAAACAATAAAGAACACCGACGGAGCAAATACGTTTGGCATGGCGACGGTTCGCAGAAGGAGTAGAATGTGGTAGTTGAGTTTAACGGGGGGGACAGTCGACGCAGATGGTATAAAAGGTTCCTCCTCCCTTGAGGAGCCGACAACACGACTGAGGTGGGTACCGCAGCGCTGTTCCGGCCTAGCCTGACGCTTCAGGAGGGAACTCCTTGGCCCTCTTGGCCCTGCATCTAACCCTGCTGATTTGACCCTAGCTCCCCACTCGGGAAAGATCTGATAACAAACGAGTCCCACTCACATCCCTGACACGCGCTCACTAGCACTGAAGTAATCCAATCGACCCTTGTACCGACATCGGCGACCACTTATTCAGGCCGTTGAAAGAACTTTTCTTCGTTATCTGATCATCCGATTGCTGCCATGTGGAGGCTTGGGCTCTGTTAGTGGTACCATGGGACGGATCATAGGCGGGCTCGGGTACCGTGGGAAAGCGCATTCCTCCACACACCCGTCATGCTGGCACGGCAGGAAATAACGCTGTTTCCTTGAAGAGAAACGTCCCCGGTGCCATCTTCACGGCCAACTCGTGCTCGCAATTCACGGGGTCCAAATATCTTCTGCGGAGCAGAACTCTCTTCAGAGGCCGCATCCGCATTCGTTGCTGGTATTCTGCTGCTATCAAGACGATCTTCAACCCCACCATCCTCTGTTTTATGCCCCTCAACAATTCACACAAAATGGCAATACTCCCTCATGCAGCCCTATTGGCAGCTATGGTGTTGCTATTTTTCGGCTATTCTACAGCAAAGACAGTCACATATGACTTCAACGTCACCTGGGTTACCGCCAACCCTGATGGATTGACAGAGAGAAAAGTCATAGGTGTGAATAATCAGTGGCCACTACCAATAATAGAGGTCGAGAAGGGGGATCAATTGGTTGTTAACATGCACAATGGGCTCGGAGACAAGAACGCTTCAATCCATTTCCACGGGATGTATCAAAACGGTACGAACGAAATGGACGGCCCCATCATGGTGACCCAATGTCCGATTCCTCCTGGAGCAGATTTCGTCTACAACTTTACTGTCAATCAAAACGGAACTTACTGGTATCATTGCCATGCCGACTATTGTTACCCCGATGGATATCGACAAGCTTTGATCGTTCACGACACTGAGTCCTACTTCTATGATCAATACGAGGAGGAATTTACGGTGACTATGAGCGACTGGTACCATGAATTAGTCGAGGGAATCGCTCCAGACTTTTTGTCAGTGTACAACCCAACTGGAGCCGAGCCAATCCCGCAAGCTTTCCTGTTCAACGACACTCTCAACTCAAATATCATGGTCAAGCCAAATACAACGTATCTCATCAGGCTGATCAACATTGGCGCCTTTGTTGCTCAGTACTTCTACATCGAAGACCACACTTTCACAATTGTCGAGATCGATGGGATATATACAGAACCAACTGAAGCGGATACTCTCTACCTTGCCATCGCCCAGCGTTATGCTATTCTTCTGACAACCAAGAACACGACGGACAAGAATTATCCCATTGTCACTGTTGCGGATTCCGCTCTTCTCGACGGCATTCCGTCAGACCTGAAGCTCAACCAAACCAATTGGCTGCAATACAATGCCGATGCGGACCATCCTCAAGCGGTAATGACCGTCGACGATGCCACACAGCTCAATCCTTTTGACGACATCACTCTGATCCCACACGACCGGATGCCGCTCCTACCAGAACCAGACTACACCCTCGAGCTGAGCGTTAATATGGAGAACCTTGGCAACGGTGCTGGCTACGCACTCCTCAACAATATCTCTTACACCGCCGCCAAGGTCCCCACCATCTTCTCCGTCATGTCCTCCGGCGACCTCTCCACCAACTCTCTCGTCTACGGCGAGTTCACCCACCCCCTCGTTCTCGAGCACAACGACGTTGTGCAAGTAATTCTCAATAACAACGACGGCGGTTCGCACCCCTTCCACTTGCACGGCCATGCATTCCAAGTCATCGACCGCGCACCCGCTTACGGCGCCACATTCTACGACTATGCAGACGGCGACCCAGTACCTTATGATGAGGCAAACCACACCGCGTTCCCGCAATACCCTGCTCGAAGAGATACGTTTGTATTGCCCCCACAAGGATATTTTGTCATTCGTTTCGTGGCAGATAATCCGGGTGTCTGGATGTTCCACTGCCACATCGACTGGCATCTCTCGCAAGGTCTCGGCCTGCTCTTCATCGAAGCACCAACGCAAATGCAAGAGCGGCTCAACATCCCTCAGAACCACTACGATGTTTGTAAAGCTGGCGGAATCCCAACTGAAGGTAACGCTGCCGCGAATACAGAGGATTATCTGGATTTGAAGGGCCAGAATAAACAAGTGGGGTGGCTGCCTGCAGGCTTCACGGCGAGAGGTATTGTTGCATTAGTGTTCAGCTGTGTTTCAGCTGTGGTGGGGATTATATTTTTGGTTGTGTATGGGTTGAGTGATTTGAAGTTTAAGGGGGAGGGGGCTGATGGTGCTGCGGAGACGAGTGAGGTTGCAGGAAAGGGTGCTGGGAAGACTACGGTCGCCGAGGCGTCGAGGGAAAGCTCGAATGAGGAGATAAAGTGATAATTTGGACTGTTATGGAAGAACTTGTGATGTACTCCAGAAGTTAGCACTCAGCAGCGAGAGGCCGAAATTATTTGCATGTATACAAATCTCCTTTTCAGAGAGAGGTCATATTGTCGGCATCTTGAGGTCAAAGCTTATTCGTCAATACTTTGAATATTCTAAGATTGTTGTTAAGGTTCTTTATTTGGTGACATTTCAGTATTGAGACTAGTTATCTTCTGAAGATTGGTGGTAGACTCTGTAGACCACAATTCATTAACCTCACCACTTCCCTCTCCCTATCTAAACATTGTCTACAAATAACCTGTCGCTTTGTAAACACATTAGTAACCTCGTGCTTTAAAGGTGGACTCTCGAGTACCGCTCTTTCAGTGCATTCTTTGAAATTACGGGATTTTGGCAGCTTGCAGATCTTGCAGATATCATGGATGCGTTGGCACATCATGAATGAGGACTCGGTAGCTTGGGGGATTTAACAAGGCTATAGAGATGCGGGAATATAGGCATGGAAGAAAGAACCCGTTACTCGAAATATACATGGAAGCAGAAACAAAGAACAGCATTTAGAAATACTTTTCAATTGTTCTATGTAGTGAATAAACTTATTAGGAAAAGACAAAGGAGGTCTGGGACAGCACTATGTTGAGGAATTACAATGGCTATTGATGACATACTCATAGTGCATAATTAGACAGTGGCAAAAGGTTTTGGGAGAATATCGCGTACGGACTTGGTACTAGCAGATTATCCAATATGAGAATGCTCTGCTGTGTGGAAGTGACGACGATTGAAATACTCCACGCAGAACCTGTTCCGGATCCCAAAATGTGGCTTGACGCCAATTCCAGGCTCCAACGATGTGAATTTCCTCCAATAAAAACTCGAGAATAGCCATAAGATGCATTGCCATGCCACTAGGGCATGTAGCTATCAGCAGCCCCTGTGCTATTTGTTAATGATTGCAAGGGCGAACTCTACGATAGACTTACCACAGTAACTTCTTCTTGAACATACTTCCCTACTTAGCCTTCTTTGTCGTCTTAGTCTCCAATTTCTCTCCCTCAGTAGCCTCCCTCTTAGCAGCCGCACCTTTTATGGCGCAGTCCAGGTAAGGAATATCACCGTTGAGCAATTTAGGAGACTCCGTCTCCTTCCCACTACAGATCTTGGTCTGTTCGTCGAAGTATGGACACTTTATCAGCTTGTATAGACCAGTACGTGCAGTGCAATCGATATGATTGCACACTGCCCATGTTCGCAGACACATTGTGTAAGTTTCTCGAGGTAGAGTCGCTTGTTGCGGGTTGGAGATCTCGCTCTGTGGGGATTGAGGTTTGGGGGTCGTGGATGATAGCTTGTGTTTTGGAGGAAGGAGAATGTTCGGTTTGTGTTTCTTTAAGGTACAACTTGGGTATGTTCTTCGAAAGTAAGATTTTGCTTTCAGGAAGGCGAACAAAGAGTTCGACAAAGAAATAAAATGACTTTGGCCCAGGTGATTCACCGAGGCTGCACACATGCCTCATTTGTAGGCTAAATTGTTGAACATAGCAATTGAAATCGTCATTCACTCTGGTGGTGCACTCTTTGGTATTTTCGATGTACTTTGTATCAAAATAGAAAATTTATTCCACCTGATGCAAATCGTGTGAAAATAGGGGGGCAAATCAGTAAGCGAGGGGCTCGGGTGTGGTTTTTCCGAGCCGAGCCGCTAAGATAACGAGAAATTTTTCGATATCGAGGTACTCCGGACTTTTCTACGAGACATACCAACTTCGCATCATCAACCACAATGGCGAAGAAGAGAAAGGCCTCGGGCCGCCCTGCTGCGTCAGGTGAAGAGAAAGGTTGGGGTCAATCCAAGGGTGGGAAGATGGGGCCGATTACCACCTACGAAGATGTCGCCGATTCTGAGGACGAATTTCACATCAATCGTGACAAGGTGATGCTGGATGCTGGACCAGATGCGAAGAGGAGGAAGAAATGGCAAGAACAAGGCATGTTTTGCCTTTTTGCAAGTAGTCATTCCCTACTAATAAACCTCAAGACGCCCTCCTCGAACCCTCCGACGAAGAAGTCTTAGGCTACTCCGAGAGCGAGGACGACGGGGACGAAGAACAAAACGAAGCGCCTCCCCGAAACCGTAATGTTGCAGAATCATCCGAAGACGAGGTTGCCGAGGAAGAAGACGAAGATGCTGAAGGATGGGGAACGTCGAAGAAGGACTACTACAACAATGATCAAGTCGAGACGGAGGCAGATGCTCTCGAAGAAGAGGCTGAGGCAAAGCGATTGCAGCAGAAGAAACTACAAAAGATGTCAGAGGCAGACTTTGGATTCGATGAGAGCGATTGGCTCGACGCTGGGAACGACGAAGAAGGCGGTGATGTGGTGACCGAGGTCCTAAAGGACGTTGAGATTACACCAGATATGACACCAGAGGAACGATTGAGAATCCTGCAGACACGATATCCCGAGTTCGAATTTCTCGCAAACGAATTTCTACAATTACAACCGGTTCTACAAGATCTGCAAAAACAAGTTGAGACCGAGGCAATGTCGAAGGCATCAGGTCCTTCGCACACGGTTGTTAAATGCAGAGCCCTGGTGGCTTATATGGCGGCTTTGACTATGTACTTCGCTCTCCTCACATCTCCCGCGAAGGGTGGGAAGACTGAAGGGCGTTCTCTTGATCCTGCAGAACTACGAGATCACGCGGTCATGGATAGTCTGCTTCAGTGCCGAGAACTGTGGTCCAAGGTCAAATCATTGAAAGCACCTGCGCCGGTCCAAATCAAGTCAGAGGATGGGTCTATGGAAGAAATTGAAACAACCGCGGCAAATAGTTTCCCCAACGAATCCATCGATGTGCCAGTGTTGAAGAAGAGCAAGAAAGAGCGGGCCCAAGCCAAAGCAGCCAAACAAGCTCATGCTCTGCGGGAGAAACAGATCGCGGAAGCTGAAGAAGAATTGGCTGATTTGTCAAGCTTGATCCCCAAATTGCGAAAGGCGCCCAGCGAGGCAAAAGTGGTCGCTGTTGCTGAGGATGATTCTGACTTCGGCGAAGAGGAGAGCATGGATGCCAAATCGGCTGCCGAGAAAGCCCAAAAGAGGAAGAGTCTACGATTCTACACTTCTCAGATCGTGCAGAAGGCTAACAAGCGGGCTGGTGCTGGGAGGGACGCTGGTGGTGATGCGGATCTGCCTCACCGAGAACGATTGCGCGACCGTCAGGCGAGACTAAATGCAGAGGCTGAGAATCGAGGGAAGAAGTTGGATGAGTATGGCCGAGGCGGGGCCGCTCTTGGTGGAGATAGCGATAACGGTGAAGACGGTGTTGCGGAGCAGATGAGAGACGAAGGAGACGAATACTACGATATGGTTGCCAAGACCTCAAAGAAGAAGAAACAAGACAATACGGAGCGAATTGAAGCAATCAAGAAAGCCAAGGCTGAAGGAGCTATGGTCCGCATCGTCGAGGGTGAAGTTGACGAAGACGGCAAGCGTGCTATTGGCTATGTGATTGAGAAGAACAAGGGCTTGGCACCCAAGCGGAAGAAGGACGTGAGAAATCCCAGAGTGAAGAAGAGGAAGAAGTTTGAGGAGAAGAAAAAGAAGTTGGCTAGCACGAGGGCCGTGTACAAGGGCGGGGAGGAGAGGGGTGGGTATGGAGGCGAGAAGACTGGTATCAAGTCTGGTCTTGTCAAGAGTATCAAGCTTTGATGGATGCATGGACCTTGTATGGTTTGAATCGGAATACAATAAGCTTTTTGACGATGGTCATTTGCTTAGTGGAAACGACATTGCGAAGTTCGACTCTGCTGCGTCTGATCCCAGCATAAAATTTCGAACAGACCTGCGCCAATTTGACTTCTGATTTCCTTTGTCCTATCTCTCCGCTTCAGTATATTGTGTTCCCTGGCATAACAAGTTACAGACATATCTTTTCTACATTTTTCCATCCCACCTGTAAAAAGTGGTGCCGCCAGGTGGGGTCAGGATCTCCTGATGACTTTCCGTGTACCTGCAGACTTCGGGTTACGCCCACAAGGAGATCTGCGCATGCCAATGCCACGGTATCTGGGGCTGGCAATTTCGCGGTCTTCTGGTATTTGATTAGGAGTTGAGCATGTAATTCGTTTTTTCGATTGGGGATAGAGCCGCAGCTTGACCCAAGGCTCGACGTCGAAGCAGACCCGAGTCCTTCCCAACCTTACGGGATTGCCACACAAACACAACATGGATCGATGCATTTGAAATCCACTGCTTACTTTCTTCCAAAAAAACTGTGTTTTGGAACCGATCCTCCAGGCCATGGACAGGTGAATAGGCTACGGGTCTAGCCTTGCGAGATTGTAGACGAACGCGAACAGCTGTTGTTCCCATCACCACGAGATGCCCTGTATTGTAAGACATATTGATACACTTCCACCTCGGTCTAGTGGGAACTTTACCCTCGTAAGGTTTTCCCGGGAAAATGTATTACCATGTGGGCCGAGCAATACGGACAAGGATTCCCCAAACTATAGCCGCTTCGGACCCGCACCGGTACCTGCTGTATGGAGGGTGACTACACCTTCAAGCCATGGGAGAGATTTTGATCGATTATTCAAATTTCTCCTCCTGGAGGTGGATCTTGGAAGATTGCGAAAATCTACAGGTATGAGCCTTCGAACACTGATTTCTCTTGTCAGATGTCCTACGGGCTCTTGAACATCGGAGCTATCTATTTTCCTAAAGTTCCAGGAAGATCCGAAACATTGAAATTCTGCTTTTTGTAACTATATGCTCCGGCGATATACTGGACACTCAACTTCTATCCACTCCAACTCTACTCAGACACGGAGGATCAAGACATGCTAACACTCGGAATTGCTCAGACCCTAAGAAACAAATTCCGCGACCAAATTCGACATGGAGGGTCGTTGCCATATGAATACGATGTGGCTCTTCAGTCATTGGAAATGGTTCTTTCTCAACAAATTCAAAATGCGGAAAAGATCTTACAAGACAGCTTTCCTCAACGTTCCGGATTTCGAGATCTTTATGAATTCAACTACAGCGGAATTAGTGGAAAGGACGTCAGGTGGAGGCTGAGGCATGGAAAACGAATGGACGCTTTCTGGGACGGTATTTTTTCGAATCTGAGCCATTGTACTGGGCAATCAGCAATCTGGTCGAACCGCCAAAAGACAGGATAAAGTTTGATGTCAGCATGGTCATCGCATTTCTAGATGAACATCTTGCCATCTGCTCCAAATAGGAACGAGCGCGAATGGATGAGCAACTTTACGAGCAACTTTCCAATTATGCTGCTCTTGATGAGGTCTGTCCAAGCACTTTCGCTGAAGTCATTGTCATGACTCACCCCGGAACAATCTAGATTGACTCTTTAAGAAGATGCGGTATGCGACTCGCCTCCATCGACCAGGCTCGGGTCCCAAATCGAGTACTCATGAGTTGATTAGAATTAGCAATTCGAGACAATTCCGATTTCTACGGAATCCAGAAAGCGAAGCACTCATGCTCAAGCAACTGGAGGAGAATGGTGCTCTTATTGAACCCCTTATCAACTCCCTTTCTGCCGATGATGGACCCGGACAAGGAGGAAGAAAACGGACACGCTGTGTCTGAGACGATTCGATACCATTCAAGATGCCATGGATGCGTTTTGGTCGAAGGTGAGAAATGTCAATATCAGGGGCATGAAACTCCACAAAGTCGCCAAAGAAGATATGGACACCGCTTTATATTACATATTAGCGAGATCAAAGCCAGGTGTGGTTAAGGCATTTGCTTCAGAGCTGAAGAAAATTGTGGACGATATCGAAAAGTCGTGGAGCGTTCCAGCTCGTGGATTGACAGAAGGAGATTCTGGACAATGGAACTCAATTCCTCAACCAGCAAATCAAGTCGCTGAACAACGCAAGAAAGCCAAGAGACGTCCTGAACAACACGAAACTATCTCGCTACCCCAGCTCGAAAATCTTGAGATCAAAGGCGAGAAAGCACCTCCACGGAAAGCTATCAAGCAACAGAATTACACAATTCTGAACGGAATGTTTAATTCGAGTCCTGATTAACTACTAAGATTGTTGATTGGGACGCTTTCGTCACAGCAATGGCAGATGCGGGCTTTGCTGCAAGGCAGAGCAGTGGTTCAGCAGTCATTTTTGAACCTGATGATTGGGAAAGGGGGTGGCCTGGCAAAATCGTGTTTCACAAACCTCATCCTGTTGCTAAAATTGACTCTATTATGTTGAGATCGATGGGTAAACGGATGGAGAAGTGGTTTGGGTGGGATGCGGAGACTTTTGTTGTACATTAATAAGTCAACCAAAAATCTAGTAAAGTCTACCAATGTATCAAACAGGTAGCTGTACACTGCAAGGAAGGACCTACACGGTGAGTCTGCGATACGACAGCTTCAAGTTTCCAATTGGCATTGGAATGCTGTGTAATAAGTCAAAAGAGCCTACGCGAGGAGCAGAATCCTTCCTCCTTCTCCGGATGCGAGAACACTCAAAGTTTTATTATACTTTATATCCTGCATAGGGTCCCCAGAGCGGCAGCTTGCAAGCCTCCTGTGAATTGGTTCAGATGACAAAGTAGAAAGCTATGATAACATATCCCAAGAGAAGTCTACAAGATGACAGATAACGAGGGGCAGGGGAAGAAAAACCCGCCATCGCAACTCAATAGCAATCTCAACTTCATATTTCTTTCGAGCTTGGTAGGCAACGTAAACTTTCTTGGACAAAAGTAACTCTCTTTCGCAAGACTTGAGAAGTTCTGGAAATGTTTTGCCATTGACCTTTCAATGCAATCATCACTTGAATACTCTCACCTTCGGGCAATAGGAGTCGCATCATTGCTTAGTGGTTTACTCTTATATCCACTGCTACGATGTAGGTCATTTGGCCATCGTTTTCTTGTCACCCTGTTTTCCCTTCTTTCCCTTCCGTTATCCTTCACCAACCACAAAGAGAGCCCGCCCCCATTCAATCAATCTGGTATTGATCCTCCTCTTGGTAAACTCCAGCCTTCGAACTCCTTTTGTTGATGTCGAATCCCTTTTAACTTGCTCACCATGCGCTTATTTGGCATTCTCCTCCCAGCTTTTGCTGGCTTGACTGCTCTTCTCACCTTGGCCTCAGCTAAGCCCGTCCTTACAGCTGTCAAGTCACCTCCAGCTCGGGACATTGAGATAGTCGGACCTCCTCATCCACATCAAGAGCAGTTCTGTGGCGCTCTACCTCGCTCTACATTTCTCCAGCTCTACCTGTGCTAACACCTTTTTAGCCCTTTTCCGATTGCTGCGCCTTATGGGCCTGGCCAAAACGAGACGAGGACGGAATACTGAGAGCTTATCATGCAAAGGATGAGTTAGTCGAATTCGTTAAGGTCGAGCCAGTCTCAGCAAGAGTAACTGGTACATCTGCCAAATCACTCGACTCCGAGATGATTTCAGCTGGAGACCTCGAGCTGGTTGGACCTCCTCATCTTGTCAAGCAACAGGTTTGTTGCACGCCAGGCTGCAAGTGGTGTGTGAGTAATTCTTGCCACGACATGGGCTGTTCTCTTTCCGTAGTATGTCTGACTCCCTCGCTTTTTCCTCTACCTTGGAGACTACAGAAAGGTGACTCGATTCTTAGCCATGGAACAGTTGTTGTTCCCTTGAGGTGCGGGTAGGAAAGCGAGACGAAGAGGGACTGGCCGAGGCATACAGTCAAGACGGCGAGTTAGTGACATGGGTGGGTGCGGCTCAATTCTCAGAAAGAGATGTCCAGATCGTTGGACCTTCACCTCTTGCGAAACGTCTCTGCTGCACAAGTGACTGCGAGTCCTGTGTTGGCTCTTGCGAGACGGTCGGTTGTCCGATATGGGTACGTAGATTTTGGTTTAAACTCCGCCTTGGCTTACTGTATTAGCCCTGGACCCATTGCTGCATGCCCCCAATTTTCGGAAAGTGAGACGACACTACACAAGCCGGCAATCAGAAAAGACAATTGCGGGAATCTATTGAGGAGAACCAAATCTTAGATAGAGACGTGGAGATGGTTGGGCCTCCCCACCCTGTTAAAGAAGAGCACTGTTGCACCGCTGGCTGCGGTTCCTGTCTCTCCGAGTCTTGCCGCTTCATTGGTTGTCAATTGCCATGGGTATTTTGAGCTCACTCAAACACAACAGAGACTAATTCGTCTAGCCGTGGACCAATTGTTGTGCCTTGTGGGTCTGGCCACGAAAGCGGGATGGAACTGATCAAGCTTTTAACACGAAAGGCGAGTTGGTCCAGTTTGTTGATACTTTCGAGCCGCTTTCAAACAGAGATGTCGACTGGGCTGGGCCTCCTCCCCCTCATGTGGAACAGTTTTGCTGCTCAATTGGTTGCAGGACTTGTGGCGATGCTCATTGCGAGGATACCAGAGTGTATTCCGTAAGCGAGATTTCTTCTTCATCTCTACAACTCCCGGCATACTGACATTATTATCAGCCATTCAGCAGTTGTTGCACCCTCGAATTCACTCGGAAAGGTACAATACTGTTGCACAATTGGTTGTCGCCAATGCAGCAGCCAGGAATGTCCGGATGTGGAATGTGCCGTAAGTGGATCTCTTGGCCTCTCCTTGTTTTGAACTTTACGTATACTGATCTTTTCCCAGCCTTGGATGAGATGGTGTGCCCTATGGGTCTGGCCACGGAAGCGAGACGAGCGAAAGGTAGACAGAACATCCCAGGCTTATAATGACAAGGGCGAAATGGTTCAGTTTGTTGACGTGATCGAGCCAAGCTCTATCTGAGGGGAAGAGGAAACAAAGCTGGTCTAGACCAAGCTCACCACACTCAGAATGGGTACTGGTCTGAGATTTTCAGGAGAGTTTGGGAATAAGTGGATGCAGTGTGGCAGAACTGGAGGTTGTATCTCGGCTACCACCCAACTTGGAAAGTGGTAACTATCTGGAGATCGGTAGCTGGCGTTAGGGGGTTGATTTCGTATGACTGAGGCAATGGCTTTGGCGGTAGATTTAGATAGCAAGTCTTTGGGAAGGTAAAGGATGAGGAAGCGCAAATCAACTAACAGATATCAACCAACTTTCTAAAAATTGGAAGTTGGAGTTGTGAGAACATCTCAAGAAAGCTCGTGACTGCATCATTTGGATTGGCATTCTTTCCAAGCTTGATTCACACGGTAATTCAGTAACGTAGGCTTTGGCGCCTTGTTATTTTTCAACACAACGACTCTTTGTACTCTTGATTTTAAAGCTTCTAGATATTGAGTCTGAGTCTCCACAGCCCTAAATCTTAGTCTGAGCTTGAAAGATTTCGTACATATGGAGGTAGAGCTAGTCGCTCCTCTCTCCCTTGCCCATCATGTTGCCTATGATCAACTAGTGCGCGGTGACCTAGCCCAGCGTGTGCCTGTTCCTCACGTGGATGGAACCCGCTAAGAATGTTTGTCCTAATAGCCTCGAGGCTATCAAGCACAAAGTCTCCAACATGTATTGTCCGTTTGACATCCTTATTGCCCTTGCCTTCGGGTGTCTCCATGCCTCAAAAATCCCTGGGTCTCCCTCACCGTCAATTCCATGTTGTTTACAATCATGCCCAAATTCCAACGTGTTTCTCGATCGCTTGTGTTTTGTCGGAATGTCACGGAAGTGTACCTTGAAGCCCACTCGGAGATCGACGTGGTTCCTTCGGTTGTTGGGAGACGGCTGATGAAATCTAGAACGGCAGCCTCACTCAGGGCTTTCTGAGGATGGTGAAAGAAGTTGCTAGAAGGCACTGTTGCGAGGCAACCAAACAAATCAAAAAAGAACATAAGTTGTGCGGGTTAGGTCTCTAATCGAATTTCTCGGTTGTCTATTTCCAGATTTGGATTCAAGAGTATGGTGTGTGGAGCTGGCTCTTGCTGAGGACTCGGCTGCGTTCTAGGCTGCCTGTTGGTTTTGTCTTGATATGTCGATGGGAGAATGCTCTCGCTCTGAGGTTGGTCTCTTGTTATTTGGGATTTGGTTAGATGGTTGTCTGCAGGGGACGACAAACCATAGATGTGTAGACCTTCAGACCTATATATTTTAATATTTTGCTGTGAATAAAAAGTATATAGTCACGTATGATAGCTTTCATATCAAGTCTAGACTTTTGGCTTTAATGTGATTTGTATTCCAGCAGCACCGAGAAAGGAAGTCATCCCATTCAATGCTTACCGTTAATATTTGCCCAACTCGTTGCACGTCAACCACGAACACTTCAAAGCTGCAGCTGCACCTCTATATAAAAACGATTCCACACAATTCAGTATGGAGAGTCGGTAATATTCAATTAGTTCGTGTACATAATCTCCCTTTTAGATAGGCTCGTTTTTCGAAGTTCCTGAAGTTCCGCTTGAGCCCGGAGCCAAGCGAGCACAACCCCTCTTTCCAAACGGAGCAACTAAACGAAATATGGCATCATACAGAGATGTAAGAGACGGGGAAAGTTAATCGCCGAATTTCCGTGATGATTGAGCACGATTTGTAAAGAATATTTAAGGTTGTACGGTCAATTTGTATTGGTAATCTAGTCACGGAGGGAAGTCAGGCCGCACACACGATAAGTCTCCGAGGGCTCGGAGTAATATATCTTCGGTCATTTCGCTTTCCCACACCTCCACGAGCTGTCTATATTACTTGCACAAACCAAGAACGGCATTTCAGGATGTCTCGACTCGCACTGCGCATCAAAGCTTTTTTCTTTCGCACTGTGCAATCCATTATCGCACACCTTGACCTCTACCTATCTCATCCTCTTCCACAAAAAGTCTCTTTCACTTGCAAAATCCCTTCAACAGTCTCGTCGGTTCCTGGTTCATTTGACCTCCTCTTCTATGCCCCTTCCTCCTACAGCAAAACGCCAAGTCCCAAGAAGCATCCATTGCTCATCAACTTTCACGGCGGCGGCTTCACTATTGGTCATGCCTACGATGATGCACGATGGGCAACAGCAGTGACATCTCAGACCTCGGCCGTCTTCGCCAGCGTGGAATACCGTCTAGCACCCGAATACCCCTTTCCTATTGGCATTGAAGACTGCGTGTCCGCGGTCCTCTGGCTGTGGAAACACGCAGACGAATACAATCTCGATATTTCCAAGACGGCATTCTCAGGCTTCAGTGCTGGTGGTAATTTCGTCTATGCTGTTTCCATCCGGCTAAACCAGGAGTTGGAGCGACTAAAAAAAGAAAACAAACTCGATGGATTGAAGGAAGGAAAACTGGTTAACTTGGTGGTGTTTTATGGGAGCACGGATTATACGGAATCCCGCGCAGAAAAGGACGCTTCAAATCCGAACCTCATTCCGGTCATCCCGCCGCTCCTTCTCAAGCTGTTCGACGAGTCGTATCTTTACCTAAACCCGGATAAGACTTCACCCCTACTTAGTCCCGGTCTTGCCTCAGATCAACTCCTCAGAGACGCGTTCCCGGAGTCATTGGTAATGATAAACTGTGCCGGCGACCAGTTGTTGGCTGAAAGCGAGATTTTCAGGAAGAGACTGAAGGAATTAGGAAAGCAGGTTGACGGATATGTTGTAGAGGGTGTTGGTCATGGATGGGATAAAAGCCCCTCGTTCAAGAGAGGAAACGTGAAGAGAGACGAGGCGTACACACTTGCAGTGAAAAGTCTGGAAGGAGTGTGGACTTCAGTCTGAGTGAATAAGAGAGGTATTCCCGTAGCTTTTCCCCCTTCATCGGCGTTCCACATCTCCACGTCTAACCGAATATTCGAATATACTTCTTTAACATGCACTCCAAACGACCTCCACCAAGCATTCCCGCTCCTAGCCACACCCGCAAACTATAGCTTGCACAACTTACGCTTGCCAGAACTCTTTCCCATGCCAATGCGAACTAACAATATCCTTACCGAGTTCCTGAATAGCACTGTCCGGTAGGCCCCTACTCTTCACAGCAGCGGACGAGAACGCCCCAAAGGCTCGCGTCGCCAGGCCGCCAACCAAGAGGCCATTGATCGCCAATGGGGTAGACCACGGGTCTTTGGCAATGTGTATCCAGTTAACGCTAGATTGCCCGCGTTGGAGATTAAGGCACTCATGCGGACGATCATTGTCGAATCGAAGAGAGCACCAACCTTTTCGCCCATGCCCGGCAGCAACATCAGAAGGGCGCCCACGAAGAGCAGGATGATTTGTAGCGCTTCCCCGTCCACCTCCTTCTGTCTGATACCATCTACGCTCTTCATGGAGGCGGCAGAAGCAGCCACGCTGTCTACGCTCATCGATGTGCCGTTCACAACGTTTGCATTCTGCCATTCTCGCGAGTCGCCGTTGAATAAGTTGAACGAAGATAAGAACGCCGTATCGCTTAGCCAGTTAATTATAGCAGTATCGTCGCCCAAGTTGTTCTTGATAGCTTCTGCAGGGTCTGGTATCTTCGTGTCGCCAGAGATTTCGTAGAAGTGCTGTTTGCCATAGTTCTCGCATTCTTTGTTTACCAGCTGGGGCAAGGAGCAAATGCATGGACCATTGGAATGATCCAACTTTGATCGACACTGTACGTCTGCTCCATGAAGCCTAGCCATGCGTCCATGTCGTTGGCAAAGTAATGGATGCTGTAGCCATACCCGTCGGCAAGTGGGCCAGTGGTTAGGCGGACATCTTGGGCCAGTTTTGTTGGTGTAGACCGTGGAACCGTTATTCCTGTCCATAGGAACGCTGTAAACACAGGTAAATTACTTGGGCAAGTCCTCGCTATTGTAAAATTTCTCGATTTGGGCGGGCGCGGAGCTCTTTACCGCTTTGGCGGAAGATTTGAAGAGACCAGACAGAATAGCAGTTGGCCATCAAATCATTGTAGGTTGCGAGAGAATCGTGCAAGGCCCCGCCATTCCAGAGATGAGATATAGGTTGGCACAGTACGGAGAGATGTTGTTGTTGATAACAGCGTCGACACTTGCATACTTGTCAAAGTCGAGGCAGTCGGGGATGGGGTGCATAGTCGGGATCACGACCGGGACGGGAGAGGATGCATCAAACACAGAAATTTGAGATCACTGAAGTAGTTTTAGTCGTTTTAATCCTGATATGGGCATAGCCGAGCACTTACAGCTGGGTGACCCGTTATGGCCAAATTGTCGGAAGCTAATGTCCCATTGACGCCGTTCACAATGGAGTATCTGACGCCAATCGTGATCAAGTGCTCCAGGCACACTTTCTTGTAGTAGCGCCAGTCAGTGCTTCCTGGCAAGAGTGGCCATCGACTTCAAAAGGCGATGTATCAATTAGTCTCCTGGACCTGCAGTGCACCGCCAGCCAGCTTCCTCGCCGTCGACTTCCCCACTCACGCTTTCAACGCTCAAACCTTCAGACAATGCTTGCCTCTGCTGATCTTATTTTCTACAGCGCATCCAAATAACAAACCCCTCGGCGCACAACACCCCATTCACCAAGCACCTCAACCAAACGTAGGTGCTAGGAACCAACAAGCAAAGACAGCAGGCAGCACCTCCGAGACTTGTCCACTTCCCTCCCAGTCCAAAACACGCCCCAATCGCCACTCCTTACGCGTACATCGACAACACGCCCCCTCGCTCAAACTTCCCCCAAAAATCTTGACAAACACGCCAACACTAACTTCTAGACTCAGCAACTCTTCCCCTTCACGGTACCGTCAGACGGCGGGAGAGTTTCCCTGTTTCGCATTGCTATGTGCTGGCTCCAATTTGGGTGTAGTTGGCGCAACAGAAGACGAGAGAGTGCTTGAGGGGGGGATGGGATGTGGATATTCTGGGTACCACTCTTGAGAGTTGTTCTCCTTTCTCTTATGAGAGATGGAGTGCTGTGTTTCCATCTTATTTCGACTTGTGATGTCGTGTTGAGAAAACAAGACGGAAGTGAGGCTGGGTTTAGGTGAAGCGAAGTGAAATAGCAAGACGAAATCGAGGAGTCGGAAGGGGGCTTCGATGGAATATGGAATATTGGAATAGTAGCGGAGATTAAGTATGAAAGATGAGACGGGAATGAATGGATATAGCATTGAGATTCAATCAGGGGTTGAGGGTTGTTTCTTTGTGAAGAGGGGGTTTGGAATCAGTGAGAAGCCAGCACTTGCTGCATGGTTCGACGATAAATCATTCGACAAAAGAACAACGGAGAATCCAAAGTAAGAGGACTTGAAGATGTCATCTCAGAAACTCAAAGAGACTATGCAATCAAGTCATAAAAGAGCCTTCGTTTGTTTCACTTGGGTACTAGGGAAGGGATCACCAAGAGACATGATTCAGATACTTGAATGCTTTTTGCATTATTTTGGAGTACGTTTGCAGAGAGACCGTGAATCGCGTCCTTGCCAACTCTGCCTATCCATCCAGACCAGACTCCCGCTACAACCAGAAATGCAATCCTCGCTAGAGGCCACTGGAAAGCGTGCCATCAAACATTCACCGCTAGAGACTATCGTGGGTCTCTCAGCCAAAAGCGCTGAGCTTGGCTGGATATCCCGCCCGCTGCCATATCATCTGTGTATGCCAATCTATGAGCATTCTGTGATAAGCGGACGCGAGTATATATCGAGTGCTGTGGGCAAATGCCAGCCCCCTCGATTGCCCGAATCAACATCGTATACCATACAATGGACAGTGGAGCACGTAGTCTGCTACTGACTATCAAGCTCCAACCATGCCTGGACCGTAACTGTTTTGGCGCATCGGGGGATTTTGGAAGCTGTGACTTTGTGAAGTCTTTTTGTTGTTAGCCATGCAAGTCTGCAGGTATAGCATACTACCAACCTTCTTTGGACGCTTCCTGCTCCCGGCCCGATCTTCACCATCTGTGCCGGAATACCCAGTCTCTTGCGCATCGTCATCCACATACCCCTCACCATAACCCTCAAAGCTCGAGTCGCCATATGTCCGTTTCTTCAGGTTGCGTTTCGGACGTGGCGGGTCTGACTTGGCGGTTCGGGCGATGCTCGGATTTTGTGGGGCCCCAGCCTTGTTCCCGTTCTGCATGACTTTTGCAGATTCGGTTTGGGAAGGAGCAGAAACCAGCTCACCCAGAACTGCAGCGTTCCATGAAGTCTTCGGTATGATACCTCTCGCCATTGTGAAAGCCTTGCCCATGCTAGCCATCACGGTCTCTGGTAGACCCTTGCCAAATTCTTTTCCTCGTGTGAACTGTGCATCCCATTCCTCTTCGGGTGCAAGCATCATAGCCAGTAGTGTATCGGGCGCATCCATCTCCTTCTTGACCGAGTCAAAGGCGCCACTGACTCCATGTTCCTTGATATGATTCTTGTACGTCTTGCGCAGCTTGACCGCCTTTGATCCATCGGGGTTCGTTCGTGCAACAGACTTTGCAAGGTCTTCAAGAGAATACATAGCATATAAATCTTGTTTGAGATCTGGGAGGCGAGCAGGGTGGGCTGCGCATCAAGTCCGTGTTAACCAAATACTTCTGTAGATGATGTGCTGGGGACTCGAGTAGTACAAGACCTGGAATACAATACCAAGGGGAGAATGTAGGTCTTATGGAAGAGGGAGCCTTACGAGTTCTACAGAGAAGATATTTTTCACCGACGTCCAAATGGAGGTCGTCAATACTGGCTCTGCTATCCTCGACATGTACCTTCTTCTGATCTCGATCCCCGTTGTCTTCAACATCACGCTTACGCTTGTTAGAAACTTCCTCATGAAGAGCGTCCTGAAGCATAGCCGCCTCCAATGCGATATCTGAGTTGGAAGACATGCTGCCGTTGATGCTGTGTGCGGGTGTGGGGAGCGAGTGGGAGATGTGAGGTGAGGCTGATTGTTTTCGGGGCTGGTCGGCTGCGCTGGAGGAGGCTGTAGAAGGACTCTGGGGTGTCTGTGGGTGGTCGGAAGGCATAGCGTTCGTAGAGACGAGATTGTCAAAGATGTCGAGGGAAGGGTGATTGGGCGGACAAAGAGTCTGTCGACTGTTGTGCTCCGCGGCCAGGGGCGAAAGAACCGTGCAGGTTCGAAGAGCGATGTTTGCCAGATGCGCCGGCACCCGTCTCAAGCGATGGATAATCGAGGACCGTGTGTTCGACTCCGACTCCGACTCGCGGATCAAAAGGCAGCGTCCTCTCGATGATTCTCGATGGCCGAAGAGGGCGGAGGAAGGGTAGGTTGTTCCTAGGGCGACGGTCGCAAATCGCACCAGCACACCCACAACAGCGCTCCAGCTATATCAGATCCTGCTTCATCCACTTATCTCGGTCGATATCGGTGTCGCGATGTACTTTTTAAGGGGCCGGCGAGGGGTTCGCGATGTCGTCGGTGGTGGTGGTTGATCTGGATGAGGTTCAGTCTCTGGAGATCGGAGGCGCCGTCTTTGACGAGCCAGATAGAGCAAGGGTCGCACTAACGACACTAGGCAAGGATTCGCGAGGCGGGCACGTGACGCAATGTATAAATCTGGGCCGTGGACAAAGAAATGGAGTATCAATAAGAATTTACAAAGAGGCTAAGAAAATCGCCAATGTCTCGGCGTGAGTCTGATGTTATCAAAGAGGCTAGAATCAATAGAGCTGTGTGATGAGTCTACTCGGCCTTTCTCGTTGAGCCTCAGATTCTGTTGTGCTCTTTTTGGGTTAGCGTGATTCCGATAAAGTTCACTCCAAAAAAATCTCGGGTATCAAAATCTCGTGTTCGAGAAGAATACAAGCAGCTCTAAAACACAATGGCAAAGCGACAGCGCAGCTCAGAGGACGGCGATGCTATTGACGCCGTGGCCCCCGAAGATACACAATTCCACCCCTCCAAAAAGGCACGAAAAGAAACCAATGCTGGAGCTCGACGCACCCTCTTCGTCCGCTCCCTCCCAGCCATAGCAACCAGCGAAGCCCTTACCAAACTATTCTCCGAAAGCTACCCTCTCAAGCACGCAACCGTCGTCCTTGATACCGAAACCAAGCAATCGAAAGGATATGGCTTTGTAACATTCGCAGATGCGGAAGATGCACAAAAGGCAGCAGATGAGTTTAATGGGAAAATTTTCCTTGGGCGGAGGATGAAGATCGAGATTGCACAACCTAGATCAAGAGAAATTGTTGCAAATGATGGTATGGAAGGGAAGAGGAAGAGTACTATATCCGCAGAGGCTGCCGCGATTAAGAAGTCGCGAGAGGAGAAAATGGCTGAGGCGAAGAAACCGCCCAAGTTGATTATCCGAAATCTGCCATGGAGTGTGAAGACACCCGAGCAATTGGAAGCAATGTTTAGAAAGTTTGGGAAAGTTAAGCATTCTACGTTGCCAAAGGTCAAGGATAAGCAAGCTGGGTTTGGATTTGTGGTTATGAGGGGCAGAAAGAATGCTGAGAAGGCATTAGCTGCTATCAATGGCACGACGGTGGATGGCAGACAATTGGCTGTGGATTGGGCTGTTGAGAAAGAAGTTTGGGAAGGCCAATCGAAGCATGCAGGCGCAGAAGATGCGGATGAGAGCGATGCAGAGGATGGAGGCGCCAAAGTGTCCGACGAAGAGGAGCCTAACGAGGAGGACGACGTTGCAAATTTCATGAAAAACTTCGGAGATCAACTGGAGTCCGAGGAAGAAGACGATGAAGAAAATGAGGAGCTAGGCGAGAAGTCTGACGAGGAAGAACTCGGCGAAAACGAGGATGATGGTTTTAGTGATGTTGAAGACGAGGATATGTCTGACGAGGAACCAGTGGGAGAAAAGCCACAAAAGGTTTTGATTACCGACAACTCTACAACTCTCTTCATTCGTAATCTGCCCTTCACGACACTCGACCCCGACCTCAAAGAACACTTCAGTCAATTCGGCCCAGTCCGCTATGCACGAGTGGTCATGGATCGCGCGACAGACCGACCGAAAGGTACTGGTTTTGTCTGCTTCTTCAATTTTGAGGACGCAGATAATTGTTTCCGCCTTGCACCACGCTTCCAACCCAGCGGCGCCAATGCAACCAAGAAAGCCGACACGACCACCAAAGCCAAGCATTCCCTCCTCCAGGACGAAGGCGCTGACTCGTCCGGCCTCTACACCATCGAAGGGCGGGTTCTCCAAATCTCAAAAGCTGTGGAAAAAGAGAAAGCTGTCAAACTAACAGAAGATGGCACGAACTTCCGCACTGACCGAGACAAAGACAAGCGAAAGCTCTACCTCCTCTCTGAAGGGACGGTTGCCTCCGGCACACCCCTCTATGAAATGCTCGCTCCCTCCGAAGTAAAAATGCGAGAAGACTCCGCTATGCAGCGCAAGAAGCTCATCCAAAACAACCCTACTCTCCACCTTTCACTCACCCGTCTCTCAATCCGCAACCTTCCTCGAAACGTTAACTCTAAGGACCTGAAAGCCCTCGCCCGTGAAGCAGTCGTCGGATTCGCTAAAGATGTTAAAGGTGGACTTCGGGCTCAACTCTCCAAGGAGGAAGAAGCTCGCGGCGGTGACGAGATGCGTGAGGCTGAAAAGCAGCGAAAAGCCAAGGGCAAAGGCATCGTCCGCCAAGCCAAGATTGTCTTCGAAGGTCGCGAAGGAGCCAAAGTCTCCGAAGATTCTGGCGCTGGACGAAGCCGTGGGTACGGATTTGTGGAATATAGTTCTCATCGCTGGGCGCTTATGGGATTACGGTGGTTGAATGGCCATGCGGTCGAGAATGCAAGTGGCAAGAAGCAGAGACTTATTGTGGAGTTTGCGATTGAGAATGCGCAGGTTGTGCAGAGGAGGAAGGAGAGGGAGGAGAAGGCTAGAGTTAGGTCGAAGGAGGTACTGGAGGCAAGAGAGAAGGGGGAGTTGCCTGAGAAGACTGGGAAGAAAGTACTGAGCAAAAATTCGATCATGGCGAAGACGAGGAAGGGGATGAAGGGCAAGAAGGGGAGACCTGAGGAGGGCCCGAAGAAGTCATTTGATCGAGTCGCTCCAAAGAATGTCGATGGTGAAAAGAGAAGGCGTGATGGGGAGGTTGAACGCCCAAAAGGGAAAAAGTATCCGAAGGGGCCAAACTGGAACAAAAAGACTGTTCGAACCTCGAGGCCGAAAGTTGGCGAGCCGGAGGTGAATGAAAAGCAGACTAAGCGGACACAGATTATTCAGAAGAAGCGCATGGCAAGAAGGGATCGAAGACAGGGTGCTTAGTGCCGTCTGTCTGAGCGAGATACTATTGCTGTTCGAGCACATTTTCAGATACATCCTTGTTATACAATACAATCATGTCTCGATTCTTGAAGCTCCATTTCAACACCTTCTTTGGCTTTCACATATCCGGCCATTAGCAGCCACGCTCTCCATTCCTCACACTCGGCAGTGTGAAATTCTGAACTTCGATGACCAAGCGGTCCTCAACAGGATCATAGCCATAAAAGACTGAAAGAAATGAACGAAAGTGAGGTATTCGTAATCGAAGAAGTCATCTGTCAATGGAACGTATATATATGGTTCCCACTTGTCTCTCCATCGTTCTGCTGAGAGTTTCAGCTTTCAAGAAAGGTATCGAAGCATGAAGATCTCGGAGTTGTTCTCGTTGGGCCAACCGTCGCGTCGAAGTTCCATGAGACATGAAAATCCATTCCTCGTCCTGCCCAACCCTTCAATTGTGCTAACACGCCAAACTCTCCTTCCCATGTTTTTCCAATCGTCCCGTCTTTCTACTTCCTTGGCGGAACAACAATAAAATGAGCCATGCCTCCTCATTGCACTTGTTGATTTTTACTTCGTATACTCGTTGACATTAACAACAGTCTGTACCAACACGCTCTCTTGCTTCGCCCTCCGGTTCAGACCCACACTCGTTACAATGATCGCGCGACTCTTTCTAGCCGTTCTGTCTCTCTCTTTCTCCCAGATGTCAGTACCTCCCCCTCGCTCCATATCTCGAACTAACATGAAAACAGATGTCTGGCACAGACATCTTCGAACGCCGTCTCTGCAGCCATGAGCACAGCCTCTGCAGCCATGAGTACAGCCTCGGCAGCCACGAGTATAGTCCCGACCGCCATGAGTACAGCCTCTGCAGCCATGAGTACAGCCTCGGCAACCACGAGTATATCCTCTGCAGCCACGAGTACAGCCCTGACCGCCATGGGTACAGCCTCTGGCTGCGATTGGAACGACACAATGACCACGAGCACGGCTTGGTCTTGTAATTTGGCTGCTGGCTCTACCAGCACATCTCTGACTTTTCCTTCCTCTCCTTCTACCATTACGCCAACAAATGCAGTTTCGACACTGAGCACGATTTACACTCCAGGCGCTTCGAGCTTCACAGGTAAGGCGATCCTCCGTCTGCTTTCCGCTTGTGTTTCGACGCAATTGAATTCCTCATTTGGCCGTCCAGGTGTTCCGAGCCCACGAGAATCCATATCAATCCTAGCCTCGACGCCATCGAGCAGGAAGTCTTGAAGAGTTCTAGACAAATTTGGTTATTTTGATTTGCAACCCTCTTGCAAGCTCAGGTTCTAATATCTGTTATAGGCTCTCAGCCAACTGCGACCACCTCCTCTTCAACATCCTCCTCCACGATATCATGCCAGCCTTCACCCGCAGCACCGATTCCAGGGGGCACAATACAAAACTGCTGCCAGTACTACATCGTCCAGTCCGGCGATGTTTGTGATCTCATCGAACAAGCGTATGGCATCACGTTCGCAGATTTCCAGACTTTGAACACGGAAATCGCCAACAACTGTTCGAATTTGATTATAGGGAGCGCGTAAGTTTCGTCTTATGGGGTCGAAGCAGATTGTTAACTAACAAAAACAGGTACTGTGTGCTTGCTGGCCCGAGTGTTACGACGAGCACAGTCGCTGCGATGGGCAGTAGTAGTTCGATGTCCTTCGCTGCATTTCCGGAATCGTCTATCAGCTTCGATTCAGTATCTTCAGCCTTTTCGAGACCTCAAACTGTCAGCTCAACCGTTTCAGCTTCGTCTTCGTTAGGTTCCACCGGAATTGCCTCCAGCAGCTTCGGCTCAGTATCCTCGTCCTTGTCAGACCCACAAGTTACTAGTTTGTCAATGGGGTCTTCTCTTTTACCTAGTGTATTGTCTGCCACGTCTGGCTCCGCATCCGCGACTGCAACTCCTACTGCGTACACATACCTAGGCTGTTATACTGATTCCGATCCCCGAGCCCTGAGCGACTCATTTTATACTGATCCATCTATGACTATTGAATCCTGTGCAAACTTCTGTCAGGGTTATGTATACTTCGGCGTCGAGTCTAACGACCAATGTTTCTGTGGAGATATTATATCCTTGGCCGATGGCGCCGGTCTCCCTACTTCGGAGAGTAATTGCCAGGCAACTTGCATAGGAAACAATCTCGAACTTTGCGGCGGTTCTTGGAATATAGGTATATACTCGTACGGTTTAGGTACCTTGAGTTCAACCTCAGGACCTCTTAGCACTTCATCGTCATTTGCTGCCGGCTCTTCGAGCATTGCATTGGAAGCCTCGAGCATGAGTGATAGAGGTTCTTCAAGTCAGGCTGATAGCCCGAGTAGTACGATGAGCACGGTCGTTGCGATGAGTAGTAGCGGGTCGGTATCCTCGGCTGCATTTTCAGAATCATCTATATTATTTGCTGCCGGCTCTTCGAGCATTGCATCAGGAGCCTCGATTACGACCAGCACGGTCGCTGTAATGAGTAGCAGTAGTTCGATGTCTTTGGCTGCATTTTCAGAATCGTTTACCGGATCTTCGAGCATTATACAAGGAGCCTCGATTACGACAAGCACAGTCACTGTAATGAGTAGTAGTTCGATGTCCTTGGCTGCATTTTCAGAATCATCTACCGGCTCCTCGTTTATAACGAGCACGGCCGCTATAATAAGCAGTATTTCGATATCTTTAACTGCATTTTCAGAATCGTTTACCGGCTCTTCGAGTATTATATCGGGAGCCTCGATTACGAAGAGAACGGCCGCTGTAATGAGTAGTAGTTCAATGTCCTTGGATGCGTTTTCAGAATCGTCTACATCATTTGCTACCGGCTCTTCGAGTATTGCATCAGAAGCCTTGAGTATGAGTGACAGGAGTTCTTCAAGTCAAGTTGCTGGTACGAATGTAGCTGGTTCGTCCAGTGCTGCGACCTCGACCAGTCCAAGTACGCTCGAACTCTCCCTCCTTTCCTCTTCTTCTACTCAGTCAAGCGCAGTTGCGATCTCTTCGAGCGCTGTATCCGCCAACCAGATTTCCTCGTCTTCAATTTCTGGATCAGCAGACTCCACGCTACCGACCTCAACAGCAGGACAAAGCTCAAGCACCTTGACTTTACCGGGCAGCATGTCGACTTTACCTGACGGTGCACTGAGCACCACAACTCTATTATCAAACACGATCTCAGCAACTGCCTCCTCCATCCTTTCCTCTCAAGCCGGCACCCTTTCTTCGCTTCTCTCATCACCCCCATCTTCAACAATCTCTGCCTCATCATCAGCAACCCCAACAGCCTGCACAAAAACATACACCGTCGTCTCAGGCGATACATGCTTCGCTATCTGGACGGAATTTGGCATCGATGAAGCAACGCTCAGAGCTTGGAATCCGAGTCTGGATGTTAGTTGTTCTTTAGGTATTGGGGATGTGCTTTGTGTTAGCCATTCGCCACAATCGATGAGTGTGGCTTCAAGTTCGAACACAGCATCATCCACAAACCCCACAGGAACTCTCTCCTCTCCAACCCAGCTCTCTTCAACCCTCGCATCCAGCATGCCCAGCTCAATGCCGAACACCTCAATGTTCATCAGCTTCCCCAACACCAACACCTCCGCCCCAACCCGCCGCAAGACAAAACGAGACTCTGGCCTAGTCTTCCTCGTCCTCGAGTCTGACGGCACAGTGTCAATAACCAACTCATGCGCTAACGCGGTCGAGTTCTTCCTCTCGAACGGCACCTTGACCTCCAATGGCCTCCACGCGCAGGTCACGCTCGCCAACGTCACTGTCGGATCGGCAGAATTTACTTTTGGTCCTGACAATAGCTCGGATATCGAAACCACCTTTTCTGTTCCTGGTGACGTGCTGACTTGGAGTAATGGATTATTTACAAGCGGCCAAGCGATTTTTGCTTTCCCACTGTCCGGAGAGGGGCTCGTTGTTGTGGTGTTTAATGGAATAATACCAGCAGGATATGCGCAGATTACATTGAGTGATATGATCTTGGGTGGTGCGACAGCAAATTCTGGTAAGTATGCCCCTCATATGTCATTCTCAGATGCTAACAAATTCAGCTTGTGCTGCTCAGCCCAGCTCAACGTCTTCTGCCGCGCAAGCCTCGAGTTCTGGGGCGGCAACGTCTGTAACAGGAAGTTCAGCAATTCCGACTTTCTTAGTATCTTCACCCACGACAGCAATTATTGGAAGCGCGAGTTCTGGGGGTGAAACTACTTCAACGGGAAGTCTCAGCTCCGGTACAGGTGTAGGAGGTTCATCAACGATATCAGGTATGTCCAAAAAATACTTCCATATTGTTTTTAATCTCCTCTTGTCTTGCTCGTACATGGAAATCTTGCCACTCCTGGATCCCACACCGAATATTGCTGGGTTACAACAACATACGACAACAATTTCTGGCTCATCTGGAAAGCTTAACATACCGCTCAGCAAGCACACCAACCTGCCATTACTACTTAGACCTCCTTTCCAGAACCAACTTATTGACTTCCCATTTTAGGTTCGAGTTCTAGTGTGTCTGTGATTGGATCCATGGCCAATTTATTTTCTGGCAGCTCATCCCCTCAATACTCGATTTCAACTACGGAAATGCCCTCCGAGATCACATCAACAGTATACACAACCATCACGTACACAATCACTTCCTGCCACCCAACAGTCACAGACTGTCGCATAGGTCATCTCACGACCGACACAATTTCAGTCTACACAACAGTCTGTCCAGCAGACTCTACACCACAACCCACAGAACCGACATTTGTAATTGGAATCCTGGTTACAATTATCATCAACATCACTGTTGAAGTAGTTGTGAACGAGATCAGTGGGCTCACAGGTCTGTCCTCCTTTCAAGCTCTAGATACTAAACTGACATAGCCTTAGAAACATTCTTCGTCACGGAGACAATCCTCACCGAGATAGCGAGTTTATGTAATACCGCTACTGACGACGAACGTTCGTATTCTAAACATTCATTTCGTTGTGTGATGCTAACCGTTGTGGCTAGCATGCTATGCTTGCGCTCTCACCTCTCAAGGTTTTACATGTCCAAGTTCGGATGTCACAGCCACGAGGACCCTCTGTCGCAGCTCCCCTTCCAACGCCCCACTATGCAATACTCCACTTGTTATTCAGACTTGCTCAACTTGCTCGCCGATTACACTTAGCTCAGGCGCACCTCCAACAACATCATTATCAGAACCTAGGCTAACGGCTGTTCCACCTCCACAAAACAATCAAGAGATAGCTCCCTCGAGATCGCCGATTGATCTTAATGAGATACCAGTTGTCACTTCAACTCTATACGCGGTAGCCAACAATCCACCCCCGGCGCCGAATACTGAATCAGGATACGATTCTGAGACTAGCTTGCCACCACCGGTGCCGAGCTCAAGTGGGGGATTATCTCCGCCGATACAGCAGGGCGGTGCTGGTGCATTCAGTTCCGGCGTACTGGTTGTGTTGCTAGCCGTGTTAGGAGCTTTGGTAGATATTTGAGGTATCCGTACAGTAGAAGGTGGGAAAAGAGATTTCTTTGGTAGTTCTGACTTCATGTGTTTCTCCTCTTCTTGATATTGATTTCTGTTGGGGAGTTTAGTTTCGGTGAGTTAGTTACGTAGTCTAAGACCCGGAATAGAATTCGTTTCTTCCAACTCCCATCTTGCAACGTCGCATTTGAGGCGGATTGTTGTTCATCGTTACAGTCCCCACAATGGCAGTACATCCATCTCTTATCCAGATATTTATTCTACCAGATCCACCACGTGCGATCGATCTGTGCGTGGTACCGGCCTAAATAATGGGGGAGTCAGCAATTGCTCAATTGGGAATGTTTCGGGAGAGGACATTGATTTGAAAAAATCTCATGAAACAGTCGCAAATAGGAAAATGTTTCTCTCCCAACACCGGCGTCGGTTTGGTATTTGAACCTCCCCATCATTTGGGCTGTGTTGGAAATCGCCCAATCTACTCCATATCTCCGTCTAGCTCTGAGTGTCACCATTGGTCGGGGGAGAGGGCAGCAACCTCAATACGTGTTACATGTGGCTAGGTACCGACACCCTGGGACGTCAAATCTACTGTTCGAGAGACACCCGCAACCCATGGGGTTTGGATCAGGAGAGGAAGTCATTGCAGAGATTTACCTAAACCCGGAAAGATCTACTCAAGATGGAGTGGGTGTGCTGAATATTTCGGATGTCGCCACTTGAATGTGGCTTGCTTGAGTTTTCATGCCACTCGAAGCTTCCCTAGAAGATGATTAACAGTGAGGAGGTTCTGCATTGGTTGGTTCTCGACCTTCCAATTCCAAAATTTTACTGAAAGCAATCAGGGAACAAGTACCTGGCTGCCGACTCTCGAGAAACTCAAATTAAATCAATTAATGTTAATAAGCTCTGTAAGGTTGTGACCCGGTTATGGTCTCATCTGATCTAAGAGTGGGGCAATATGCAGCCTTCCAATCTTAAAATAGTAAAGTTCTGGCCGGGCACAGTGGGTTGGGAATGTATCAAAGTCAATACTTCAGAGCGTACAAGGGGGCTTGGGCGAGTACGACTCGCGAAATTTATACCGCGTAGTATTTCAATACGAGGTGGGTGCATAGGCTAAATTCAACCAATTCTCTTACAGTGCCGTGAAAAACCAGCGTGAGACGCGGTCGTGCGCACTCTCCCTCAGACTCACTTGATTTTGTAAACTTACCTTGATAACTTCTGAACCACGCAATTAAATAGTGCCAAATTTCGTAGAGTTATAGTAATTATATAGATCTTACATATTTTTAGTTCTATCATAGTTTAAATTTATGGTAAAGAAATTATACATAAATTGGTGAAAAGTAATCATTTTTAAGTGTTTTTGCTAGGCGTACACAAACCCCACCAAAAATCGACTAAAACACGGTTTCTTCGCTTTTACTCTACTACCTCTCCATAGAAATGCCTCCACACCTAATAAAGAATTATTTGTATATAGAAGTACCTTCTATTAGATGCGTCAAAGTCGAAATTAAAGGATAGTGGATTAAACTTCGAAAACCTACGGTTTTGAGCGTTTTCGGGCGATTTGGGGGTCGCAGGCATTTGGAACATACAAGTAAGAATACTAGCCCTTCGCCCGCTGAGACATTGCCACGCTAGTGGCCGCACGCGAATAAACCTTGTTCGGTTAGGATATAATTCAAGGAAAACTCGATTTCTTAATAATTTACTATCCAAGTTTTATAACTTATAACACTTAAGGTATAGAGTAATTACAATATGCGGTTTTGCTTTTTGAAGTCAGATTTATATTTAGATGTGTGGTCATTTAGAAATCAAAGTAAATAAGAAGAGTAAAGTATGTGTGGAGGATTGGATGCGAACGGCGCTGATTAGCGGATTCACGCTGGGTTTGCACGGCACTGCACCACTGCTGGTTCATCGCAAACACTTGTGAAGTCCGTGCCCCGGAATAAATATCGAGGAGATTATCTTTGTAAGTCTTTAACAACACAACAACTTCGAGAACGTTTTCCTTCCTCTAAAGTCTCAGACGACAATTGAGCCTACCAAAGTCCACTTCCGTCTTTGGACCTGAGTAGTCGCTGCTCTTACTTGAGCTGAGCCCTGAGTCCTAAGCACATTAGTAAGTTAGCTGGATCACGCTTAGGGGGATCCTTTCTGGCTCCCTCGAGAATCGGTTATAGTTTCTATATTATATATATAGAACTTTACAAATCCTGTTGCTTATAATATAGCTACCTCTTTGAGCCTATTAAGATATCGTAACGGTGACCATTCTTGCTCCCCTGTCACACTTATCAAGGGTCCTCGGAGCCGATTTGGATCCCCTCTAAGTCGCACGTGACTCGAGAAGGCTCGGGGCGTTAATTTGGCCGGGACTTCATAATCAGAAGAGATTTTCGTCATAGTGTTCATTAGTGGAAGGCGGCTCACACCCCCGAGCCAAGTAAGCACGCGTTTAGCCTTCGCAATATTCCAGCCATGCAACGGACCTGGATTGTATTCTCGAGAGTGTCTTCCTGGTTTGTGCAGACCGTATCAATCCAGAAAGAGAAGAGTGCAAGTACCCTGCCCCCGGCAGATCCTCGGCGCCATGACCTTTGCTGGGCTGTGATGAGTCCTGACTAAGCACCACCGAAATAATTTGGTGAATTGAAACTCTAGCCTCGCGAATTACGGCAAGCCGTTAGGCCCACTAGTGCCAATACACTTTCCACTTTCCACTTCTCAACCTTGCAGTTCTCGGTTTGCAGTTTTGGTTGTGCCGCACCCCACCAAAATCTCTCTCGCTTAAAGGCCTTCCACAGGCCTCATGCCCTACGCCCTATACCCCTACGCTCTAGGCCTTAAGCCCTAAAATTTTAGTGCTCTTCCCCTAAAATATAGCGACGTAGTCCCTATAATTATAGGGCTTTACGCCTGCCCCTGCCCCTCTTCTCCCCTCCTCTCCACTCCTCTCCCTCTTACTCCTTCCCTCTCTCTTCCTCTCTACTTTTAATTCGTACCTTCTCTTATTAATAATTATAATAAGAAGTACTTCTTAATAATAATAACTTTACTTTATAAAATAGCTTAAATAAGGGAAGGGAATAGAGGAGGAGGAGGATAAGTAAAAAGGGGGGGGGGGGGGGGGGGGGGCGAGTGCGAAGGTAGGCGCGAGGAGAGAGTCGCGAAAGGAGTCTTAATTTCTATTCTCGGTTTTTTTCGACTTTCGACTTTCGTGATTTTGGGCAGTAGGGCGGGCGATTTTGGTGGGGTGCGGCGTAGTAAAAACTCGCAAACCGCAAAGTGAGAACTGTAAAATGCTTTGGCACTAGTGAGCCTAACCGCTTTCCGTAGTTGGCACGAGATTGGTAGATAAGCGATTGGACCTGAGAAATGGCCCTTTCGCCAAGTCCTTTTGTATCTACGGGGAACGGGAGAGCAATAGCACGAAACAGAAGGCTGACGAGTCGGTAAGAAGAACCTGCTTGTGCAATGCCCTATTTGTTTCCGGCCTTACGTCCACGGCAAGCCCATGCAAATGTAGCGCGAGTGACAACTTTGCCCCAGCCAAGATATTCTGGACATATGTCTGGTGGAATAATTGATCTTGAGAAGACGTACTTTGATACCACGAGGATCATGGAGAGCGCTGCAGGAGAAACAAGCCTCACGGGGGTGATCTTGAACGACGAATTCGTGCTAGGGATGCTACTTCGACACGACAACCACGCCGATGTGTATTCTGTAAGCGCCATGTCTTCGCAAACAACATTGCTTGAAGCACGAGCATACTCCTTGGAGGCCCTTCCCGAGAAAGTACGGCGGTACCGACTGAGGAATATCAAGCGGTTGGCGAGTCGAACTGTGTTGGAGACTCGGTGGCACGGAATGGTTGTCATTGTATACAAGGCAGGCGGCTGTGAGCGTATTGAGGATTCTGGGGACAGCGTACCCCTGGGACCGTTACCGCTCGATGAGAAGCCGGGTGTGGTCGTCGCGAACAAGAAGCTTCAACAAAAGCCTAGTCGTCAACGGGAGAAGGCCAGAATCCGGCAATTTGAGCGGCGCAAATCCAGTCGACAAAGGAAACGCCAATCAAGGGCGGTTGAAGATCAAGCAAGTACAGCTATAGCGGTCGAGAAAGTAGCGACAGTGGAGGCAGAAAACGAGATACGGCAAACAACGGCGATTGAATGTCCAGCAGGCACATCTACGAATGATGAGAAAGCATTGACGAAGGAAGTAGATGAGGAGAACCCCATCCATACTCTATTACAGCATGCACAGAGTGATCAGCCACCGACTCGTAGGCACCTTGCGGCTCGATGTCGAAGAGCTCTGGAAAGAATCTTCGAGAATAATGAGAAGGAGCATGTGTTAGAGATTATGTATCGAGAGGTAAAACGCCTACGGCTGGAGCAAAAGAAACCGCTAGGACTGGTAGACAGACGAGACTCTAGCGCTACGATAAAAATACCAGAGAAAACATATCGTGGTTGGATCCGCCCAACTTCGGCTCAGGCTAGGAATGAGATTTTGGCTGGTATTTGCGGTGGAGTAGATTATGTTAACATGAGTTATCCGGATCCTTAGTGGGCCTGTCATCAGCCTGCCCGGAGTAGAAATATATGGAGATACAAAAACGAGGATAGAAGAAACCCCATTCTGCATGTCTAGAGTGAAAAGCTGTCGGAAAAGACGGCCATCTATGAAAGATTCGCAAGTTGTTGGACCAGCTGAGAGTCTATCTGCCTATTATGCAACCTCGTAGTTTTGATAAGATCTCTGGCGTTGATTTGGGACTTTCTAGGACCGCAATGTATATGCATCATCTCTATAGGAAGTATGATAATTTTCAAGCCTCGTTTGTGAAGCAGTCTATGTCACGATATAGATAGAAGCGCTTTCGCATTTGATTATTCCATATTAGAGATTTCTATGCGCAAGAAAAATAAGACTTCGGCAAAAGAAGTCCAAGTAGCGTAAGAATAATAAATAAAGATAGAATGGAGCGCTGTCGTAATATAAACTCATTAATCATTGCATCTCGATACGAACGTCCAAGTCAAGCGAATGACATAACCTCTCCGGTTCGGAGGGCTCAACACCCTCCATATAACAGTGACCCACCCCGCAATGCATATATTGTGATGTAACTACAGGCAATCATTGAAGAGCTCGATGTCGGACCACAACAGGATCCTAGCCGAATTTGGGCCTGAAAGGTCCTTTTGGGCGGAAAGGGAGTTACGGCCATCACGGGGCACAGCCACTGTAACCCGGAAACTTTTGAGTAGCTCCTCCGAGTCGATGATCTTAATAACCTTCCTGCAAACTCAATCCCTATAACCAATAAAGAAATGTTCCGATCCTATGCGAGCAATAAAATTGCTCCAGGCCTTGAAGTGTTGGCTGTCGGCGCGGCGTTGCTTTTCCTTCACGGCTCCAGCGAAGTCAATTCCGATCCCCAACTGAAATCCGATCATTCAACAAAGCATCGACTTGACTGTCTTCCCGGACAAAAAAGTGGATCTTCAGGCACTCCGACGATGAAGTTCGTCCCGCGTAGAGCAGAGCCTTATCAGGTACCCCAAACGGCGTTGATCTTTGATAGACGCAAACGACAAGTGGTCTGATAAGCCAGTCACGGCTCCTACGCAAGCACTCCTACAGACATTGTCCTTTCCCGGCTGTCTCAAATCCTTCCTTGCGCGGCCTTCCTCTCGGGCGTCGCCCACAACCTTCAAAGTGAACCTCGAAAGTCACTTTACTAATGTCGACTTTGTCACATAAACACACAAAGGGGAGATCTCCAGTACATGAAGATCTCCTAAAATGGTTCCGGAATTTGTCTTTTCGGGAAAACACACTTCCACAACGACAGCGAAAGACGGACGTCTTGTTGCACTGGTGTGCCTTAGAGGACTCTAGATGTCGTAGCAGAGTTCTCCTGTCTTTCGATTTGCGACAGTCCTTGCGACCGCAAGAGTTTGCCATGTCGGGGTGGATAGTTTTCAAGTGATCCCTAGTTGTTTACATAAGTAATACACGGCGTCAAATCCAACGTTAAGATGAAACTTACAAAAGTTGTTCGGAACCATTGAACAATTCTTGGCATAGTCCGCAGGTCTTGAAATTCAATCGGGACGGATTTGGTGCTTGCCCAGTAGCCACCAAAACCGGATTAAGCTGTGTAGACTCATTGGAGATGCTAGAATATGATTCGGGGGTAGATGACAGAGTAGTCGACGGAGCTTCGGGTGTGAGTGGCGAATTTTGGGCGGTGTTTTCAAAACCAGGACCATAAATCGCAGCGGAAAGATATGGGACGAGAGGGGGAGATAACAAATCTGTAGGTGAACTAAAGACCTCTCGATAATCAGAATTATCGTCGCGGTCGGTGACGGATGGCGTTTGCAAATCGAAGACTTGCTCGCTCAATCCAGCACACACTTCGGACGTCCTATCCTGATCATCTAAGAGGGCAGAGTTATTGCAGCAACCTATTTGAAGATGCCATTCAATGTCTTCGAGGAAGCCAGACTCATCTTGTTCTAAGTGATGATCATCGTGGTTCTCTTGAATGCTGGAGACGCCGAGACGGTGCCCGGCGCTGCAGCACTCCTTCCTCGAGTTTCACTACAATTCGCGTTTCGCTCGTGGCGTGGGGCCCGAGTTGTCGGATGGTCTGTATGCTACGGCGTTAGTTATAAGAGATAGCCTTGGAGATCAAGAGGAAGCGATATCAACGACTGCGCCAGATTTCAATACATGCCTTTCGAGGAACAACTTAAGCTATCCCGAGACGCCTCGTCGCAGCACGTTGCCGTCCCCCGCAAAGGGAGTCGAGTTAGTGTTGCGAACACTGAATAGAAGTAAAAGGGAGATTCGGGGCGGGAAGTAATGTTAACCATCGGTCGGTTCTAGCTGCTTAAATAGGACTAGCCGTCCCGGCGGATGCCGGGCCTTCGCCCTTCTGGGGCCAATTTTCTGATTCGCCAATTCAAATAGACTTGACTGCTTTGGACTTAGGAGGATCTATTCACGACTAGGAAGATCGAGCCTACTACAATGTCTACAAGTCGGCCCAACACTAATGCAAGGCAAAGGACAGGAGGTGTGTGGATTCAAACTCATTGGTTCTCGAAATTGGCCCTCTATTCTCTGCATGGAGGCGGCACCTCGGAAGTCTAACACACTGTCGAGTTTGCGATTTTGAGGTGCGAGCTGAGATAAGGCTCCCAGATCAAACCGAGGGCCATTTTACTGAATGGTGTTCTTGAACCCCGCACATTCTGTATATGGATTGTGGACAAATGCTTTTCCACTTTGTTGCTAGGCCTGCTTTTGTTCGCCTCCAATAGAACAATTGGCCTTGGATCAAGGTGCGGATGAGCAATCGATATCACCCTATCGTAGGGTTCAAAGCTTGTATGTAAAATCGGTTGAAAAGAGTCGTAATTTCCATGCCACGGGGTATCTATATAATGAGCCTGCGAGCACGGTATGCGGGACCGCTCACGAAGTTTCGTTGCTATTGATCCGACTTCCCTTCCCCCTCCACGAGTATCGAAAATTTCAATAACACCTTAGCAAAATCTGATACTCCTATCGTTCTCTATTTCGAAGCACCATGGGCTCTTCCAAAAATGAAAGGGATAGACTCAGGAACTGCGGGTTGGCCAGTGATCCTGGTAGCCCTGTAGGAAGTTCACAAAGCAGGCCCGACGTCCTGCCGCCAAAGGAGGGGATGTTTTCTGCCAGCAATTTTGAGGAGCGGCGTCAAAGTAAGTTGAAAATCATAACCTCCTTGACCCTTCAAATTACCGACTCACGGAAAAGGCCTCCACGAGGAAGGCGGCACAGATGACGCCAATCTGAATCATCCAATGACCCGCTGGATTTTGCAAGCAAAGGCAGACGAGCCATGGGTTATGTTCCATACATTGAGTGGCAAAAACAATTCCCAAACTCTTGAACCGGAGATGGAGGAGTTGGATGACAGCTGGATTATGAGACCTCAAACAGGTTCATTTCAATCTGGAAGAATTTCTAAGCTTTAGTACTAGCCTCGGCCAAGTTCTTAGATATTTGCAAAGCCTCCGTATTGATAATTAAATTCATAATTGTGTATTATGGAGAAGAAAGAGACTTTGAAATGATGGGAGCATTAGTCTCAGCGCTAAACTCGGCCGCAGTGAAGAGGCTCCCTGTTGTGAAATCACAGCGATGTGCCAGTCTGGATGCTCCTGCCGGAAGTTTCCCAAGGTGGTCTCACATCTAGTGAAGTAATTATTCATTTCGAGGAAACCGATTACAGAGGCCAATGAATTGGATGCGACAATGTTCGACAACATCTTTTGTGGAGGGGGGGAAGAGGCGAAGGAGAGGGAGCAGAGGAGGATGTTGGAGGCAGTGAGAATGGGTGTGGAAGAAGCGATTTGGTACTTATGATAAAGTGGAACGGCATCACAGACGTACACACCATCCAGTCTGTAGGCCAACTAATTCCATTCATCATCGGTATCGTGGGATTTCTGAGACTTTTGCGAGATATCCAAGTGGAGACAATCCAAGAGTATTTGTCCGTCTTAATAATGGTGAGTACTCCATTCACTAACTCTGTTTCGTCTGATACAGTGTGTCAAATAATTAGGTTTGATTTGATTAGACCCCCCTACTCAAATCAAATCAAGTCAAAATCAAGCTAATCAAATCATACTTAATTATAATCAAAGATAATCAAAGATAATTAATTAGATTTATCACGTGATTACGCACATGACTCTGGAGCTTCGGAAGCCGAGATAAGGCTAAAATAAGGTCTGGGCTAGCTGTATTTGGTATTGCTAAAGGCGCTCTTTACTAAACCAGGCCTAGTGCTAATTAGTAAGCGAAGCCAAAGGCGCTAGAACCTCCTTGATTTTCAGTGTTATAGTAGTAGTAAAGAGCTTGAATTGAGCTAAAGGCTATCTGCCAGGCTAAGGAAGCACTGGCCACATGCTAAGTAAGCACTGGCCACATGCTAAGTTACGTGTAATAGCACCACGTGACTGGTACCACATAACAAAAACTAGTTTGTTATTTTAGATTTAGACTAATTTTATACTCTTATATATGCTTTATAAATTTTATTTAAATTTTATTAATATAGCTATTAGTTATTTAATAATTTTTAGAAATGCCTAAGAAAGTATACTTTTGTATTATCACGTGATGATTATGATTAATTATAATTAATTATAATAAAAATCAAGCTAATCAAATCATACTTAATTATAATTAATTATAATTAATTCTAATTAATTAGCCTTGATTATTTTTTGACACACTGGTCTGATATCTAACTAAACAGAAATCAAATTTCAGTTTTGACCGTGACGGAACGTCAAATTCAGAACTTGTAACTCAAGTAAGCTGTAAATTAAGCTCTCTTTGTAGACAGTAACCAACGTATCAAGGTCGAGGCTGCAAATGTATCGCCAAAAGCTGGAATCGAAGAGAATTCTCAAGACCTGAGCGATCCTAAGACGATACGGACACCTCTAACAACTCTCCCAACGAGACTTCAATTCCTCGTTTTGAGATCTATTTGGCGAAACCTGGAGACCGTTAATAAACCTCCGAAGGGCGGCAATACTACGGAAGAAAAAGATCCTAACAGAGCTCTAGGTATTCAAGCCTCCAAGATCCTCACAACTCTCCCAACGAGATTTCAACTCCTCGTTTTGGTATTTATTTTGCGAAACCTGGGAGAGGAATTGAATAAAGCAAAGAATCTGATCAAGCAGTCTTCGGTTAGTGAGATGATCGCGAAGATTTGGAAAGCGGATAAGAAAGAGAAGAAGGTTTCGGCTCAGAAGATAAACGCGATTTTGGCATTGGACATATTGAGTCGTTTTAAAGGCGATAACTGGAAGGAATTCTTGGAGGAGTTGCACCGTGGAGGTGTGAATCCCCATGCTCTAGCTGTGAGGTGGTTCGACAAATATACGACGTTTTGGTAGGGGTATTTGAAAGAGAGGTGGAATATTCGTAAGAAGGAGGTTGAGAACCGCATGTCACCGGAAAGCGCTGCGGCAGTGGGTGGTGTGAGAGATTGAATTGCTCCTCATCAATCAATATACTCCCTCTCGATTCCACATCCCCATTCTCGTTTAACTCTTATAAATGTAACCACGCGCACCGTCCGATTTCCGAACTGACATCGCAAAACAGAAAGCCTTTCATCTTCAAACCCCCCGTTCCGCTATCCCGACCCGCTCATCAGCCAACCGAAGCACGGATGCGCCCGCGAAATAGATGCGCTAGCGCCTTGGGACCCAATTCGGCCCCTCACTCACTCCCTATGCGACGCCGCGTTATGCAGCACTGTGGGTGAGTAAGCTTACCACTATTTTTAGATTCGGAGTACTACAATTACGAGTACATTGGTTTGAAGGACAACACTTCGAAGTAGTTGCGTCTAAAGTAGGATACCTTAATATACTACAAGATCGCGTATGTGCCTTATTCATACTTCAAGTCAAAGCAGTCCGACTTGTACTACGATAATTCGGACTACTTTGGCTTAAAGTACATAAATCCGGCATGGTAGAACTTCGAGCAAGCTGAAAATTGGCACTACAACCCAAACTACTCCGGCTAATAATATAAAATTCCAGAGCATTCCTGCAATCTACTCTAGTAATCTCAGACGACAGTTTTTCCATTTTGCTTCAAATATAGCTACGTGCGAAACAGCTGTCAAAAACGCGATTTTTAAGCGAGAGTAAAAAAGTCGTGAACAGCTGGATTATGCTTAGAGGGATCCCATTCTAGCACCCTCTAGAATCGGTTATAGTTTCTATATTATCTATATATAGAATTTTGCAGATGCTATTACCTGTAGCATAGCCACCTCTCTAAGCCTATTAAGATATTACAACGATGGTCGTTCTCAGTCCCCTGTTACATTTATTAAGGGTCCTTGTTGGAGCTGATTAGGGTGCGCTTTTTTAACTGAAGGGGCCCGTACGACTTCAATCATATAGGAACTTTATCTAACTTGGATGCTATAGAGGGGCGAGGGCATATTCTGCTTAGAAAGAGCTAGGGTAACGCTGTTTTGCGAGAAGAATCTGCCTTGACATTAGAAAGATATTTTTAGAGGGATCCTGTTTGGGTTCCCTGGGAGCCGACTTAGCCCCCCTGAACACTATGGTATAGAGTTGATAACTCCTCTCGTACGGCAAACCAAATAGTAAGTAAATTATGATTAGTCACTAGATGGGAGAGCAGGAACGTGACTGAGTAACCTGAGTAGAGGGTGAGGCGAGGGTGAGTAGCGCCTGAGCAGAGCGGCGACGCTGACTAACCGCGTTTGAAGCGAATGTGAAGAAATGTCGTCTGAGACTTCCCATGAATTGATATCTAGCCGAGGACGTAGTCAGAACATATGACCTTCTAGGGGTCGAGGAGACGAAACATGGTGTGGGCATGCATAATCGAGATATTCCGAACGACCAAATGGTTATCATCAAGCATTGGGTGTTCTTGCATAATATATTTGTGACAGGCAGCATTTCGTTAGTCAAGATCTCTGTCGCATGCTTCCTTGTGCGGCTGGTGCTTCAGAAAGGGTACAAGATATTCTTATATTGCTTGATGGGTAAGTTGTTATGATCTTGAAGAAGCCATGGGATGCCATTGGATTCCAACAAATTATCTTGACACTAACTTTTGAATTGCATAGTGTTCCTGGTGGCCTTTACCCTCACATGCGTAGCAGTACGTTACAATTCTCGAAGAGCGACACTCTGAAGACACTTCACAAATACACTGCCTCACCCTTGTGTATCGAGCCAACTACTGATCTGTCTGCGAGTATAAAAAGAATCGTTGTTAACCTTTTCTTAGATACTTGTGTTCTCCTGTACTCCCGTTCGAGCTTCATGGGATAATGTCAAGGATGCCAAATGCCTTACCAGAAAGGAGTTTACCGACATTGTGGGTGGTGGAATCTGTCACTCACTCTCTATCAATTATAAAAGCTATATGCTGACGTCGGTTCTCTCTACAGGGATTGTTCAATTCTTGTGTTAATATTTCTACGTAAGTTGGTCGAACCCGGACGCCAGATTCCTAACATGCCTGCAACAGTGACATACTATTTGCCCCCCTCCCAGTTCCAATTATTTGGAAGCTAAATGCAAACCTCAGCACCAGATTATCATTGATCGGCGTGCTCAGCCTAGGATATGCGTGTGTTGAAAAATCCCCAGCCAATAATTCGAAATGACTAACTCAAAGCTGCCCAGTGCCTGCGCGGTGGCGATTGCCAAAGCAAACATACAAAGCCGCTATTATGATAACAGCGACTCATATCGCAAGGACACGTACTCAATATGCAATATCGTCGAGCTCTGCGCGGGCATTTTGGCCACTTCGCTTCCCGCTCTCCGTCCCCTTTTCCGCAGCCTCCTCGAAATCACCAAGACACGGGATGGAAGCCGAAACGGAGATGAAACTGGTGGTACGAGTGGCCTGGGAAATGGGTGTGCGAAAGGAAACTACTACATTCAGAGCCAGGGCATTGGATTGGATAACTTTCCTCATAGTGCCACCGAGGGGAAGTGCAACGCTAGGATATTGGCGAAGATTGCACGCAAGGGCGGTAGTAGATTGCACAGCGAGGAGGAGTTTCCCGTAAAAGAGGATTTCCCAACGGAGTTCCCTATGAAACCAAGCAGAGACGATGGCTCGTCTGCGGAGAACATTCTACAGCTGCAGGGGATAGAGAAAGGCGGCACGAAGGCGGTGAAGTTATCGTTATAGCGATTGTGATCAAGGAGGGAGACAACAGAGGACTATCATTTGAAAAATATAGTTTAGGTCTTGCACACGGTGGTTGCTTGCTTTTGTTCTTTTAGCTTTTATTGACCTGGTGTCACTATCGCTCATCTCTTATCTTGCCACAAATCTCCCTTCTCTGTACGCATCTACGTGTAATTCTGTGACTTCTGGAAGGTGTTATTGCTTCTCAATCCATGTCAGTTTCCCCTCTACCCCTGAGCCCCTATTTTCGGCGAGCCTCCGGCTCGCTTCGGATGTGCACATTTATTTCCAGCCGAGGTCTTAATCCCGGCACTACATGCGGGGACCCCACGTCTCAGACATCATCAATTCCTCCCTCTTGCCTTCTTCTTCTCTAATGCCTCTACAGGTATCAATTTAACGATGGCAAGGCTTGTGCGGAGTTTCAGGAAAATAATAGACAGCCGCCTGCGCCATGGACCGTCTCCAAGCCAGACGAGGACGTACCTCACGCAGTCGCAGAGAAGGAAAGCGACAACAGCAAGCGTCCCCAAGCTGAGCTTCCCTCTTATTGATCACCATTATGAGTACGAAACTCGATAGAATGGGTCACTCACAGGATGACCAGGCTGACAAATACAGTGCTATCGTGGTTGGGGCTGGGGGTGCCGGGTTGAGAGCTGCGGTTGGATTGGCTGAATCTGGGCTGGAGACGGCATGTATCAGCAAGCTGGTATGTTTGGAAACGTTTCGATCATTCCTTGCTTCTCTTCAGAACTTCAAACTTCAAGCCCATTATCTCGTTACTCTTAATTATTAATTATTGGGGTTGACTAATATCACGTGACTAATATTTTCAGTTTCCAACCCGTTCACATACCGTTGCTGCTCAAGGAGGCATAAATGCCGCTCTGGGCAACATGACTGAAGGTAAAACGATCTTTCACCCATACCATATGCTGCCACTCAACACTACTAGATGATTGGAGATGGCACATGCACGACACCGTAAAAGGCAGCGACTGGCTCGGCGACCAAGACGCAATCCACTACATGACCCGCGAAGCCTCCAAAGCAGTCTACGAGCTCGAAAACTATGGCATGGCATTCTCTCGGACTTCAGAAGGAAAAATCTACCAACGTGCTCTCGGTGGCCAATCTCTCAAATTCGGAGAAGGTGGCCAAGCCTACCGAACTGCCTGTGCGGAAGATAGAACCGGCCATGCTATGTTGCATACACTGTATGGACAGAGCTTGAAACATAAAACTAACTTCTTTATTGAGTATTTTGCATTGGATTTGTTGATGGTTGATGGTGCTTGCGCGGGTGTGTTGTGTTTGAGCATGGAAGATGGGACGTTGCATCGCATGTTTGCGAGAAATACAGTACTGGCGACAGGTGGTTATGGAAGGGCTTACTTTTCGTGCACTTCAGCGCATACGTCGACAGGAGATGGCAATGCTATGGTTGCGAGAGCGGGGCTGCCGAATCAGGATATGGAGTTCGTGCAGTTTCATCCCTCCGGGATTTATGGTGCTGGGGTGCTGATCACCGAGGGAGCGAGGGGAGAGGGAGGGTACTTGTTGAATGGGAATGGAGAGAGGTTTATGGAACGGTATGCCCCGACTGCCAAGGACCTTGCTTCGAGGGACGTGGTCTCGAGATCAATGAATATGGAAATCAAGGAGGGACGGGGATGTGGGCCGGAGAAGGACCACATACATCTCCAGCTATCTCACTTACCAGCGGAAGTGATTCATGAGAGATTGCCGGGAATTGCAGAAACAGCGAACATCTTCTCGGGTATTGACATAACGAGAGAACCGATTCCAGTTCTCCCAACTGTGCACTATTGCATGGGAGGTATACCGACAAACTATAAAGGTCAGGTTCTATCCGTGGCAGAGGATGGGAAGGAGAGGATCGTCGACGGCCTGTATGCCGCTGGTGAATCAGCTTGCGTCTCAGTTCACGGCGCGAATCGGCTGGGAGCAAATTCTCTCCTCGACATCGTCGTCTTCGGTCGAGCATCTGCGTTGCACATCGCCGAAAATAACGAAAAAGGGGCTTCTCACCTAAAAGTCCCAGATGACATTGGGAAGGAATCCCTGGGTGACCTGGAACGAATACGAACTGCTTCAGGCGATATCCCGAGTGCGAAGCTACGACTAGACATGCAGAAAGCAATGCAGACGGACGTAGCTGTGTTCCGAACAGAAGATTCGCTAGCAGCCGGAAACTTGGCAGTACAGCAAGTAGAGAGAGATTTTGCAGATCGACTGAGTGTCACGGATCGGAGTTTGATATGGAACAGCGATCTGATAGAGACGCTGGAAATGAGGAATCTATTGACGTGCGCCAGTCAAACGGCAAAGAGCGCGTTGGCTAGGACAGAAAGCAGGGGAAGTCATGCAAGGGAAGACTTCCCGGAACGAGATGATGGGACGTGGATGAAGCATACTTTGAGTTGGCAAAAGGAAGGGGAGGATGTGAGAATTGGGTATAGACCAGTTGTGATGACAACTTTAGATGAGACGGAATGTGCGACTGTGCCTCCGAAGAAGAGATCATATTAGAAATCAATGCAATTTAGACTGTAGATTTGGCTTTGACCATTCAAAGGGTCAGCACGTTCTGCCCTCAAACAGGTTATTGCTGTTGCTTCTCGTTGTTTGGGTGAGAACACCTCCACAAGATGCTTTGTGCCGTCTCCCACCATTACCTCACAACCATTGTCGATCTCTTGAACTTGGTTCCCCTGCTTTTGACTCGCTTCCCCTATCTTCTCCTCCGCGTTCAAATACCAAACCATAGATATCGCAGCCTCTCATTTGTAAATCCCGAGCCACAGTGAAGTCTTCCAATCTCCGCTCCTCGACCGCAAGCCTCAGGGAGGTTCAACGGTTTACTCGCCTTAGAAAAGCAAACACCTTCTGAAGCTTAACGGCCGGGAGAACCCCGTCTAATCAGAGTTCCTTCTGCCCTCGCATCCTCGGAAAACCAGGCCATAGGTCCATTCCAACCTGCAAATCACCTCCCTTCATCACTTCACCAGCCACACATTGTCCACAAACACGTTTCACAGTCTTGAAAATCATACGAGAATGACCTCACCGGGGCCGGGAATGAAATTGATAATATTATTGGCCAGAGCTCAGCTTTTGTTGGTCGCCGGACAGCTATCAAGCTGGATTATTGGTCGAGTTGGAATAGTGACAGAAAAGCTACCCCACCAAACCCCTGAACCTCGCTTCGTCGCTTGAACCCCTATTGCTTTTTCGCCTCGCGCGAGGGTCGGTGCAACGTCATCCCGCCACCGTTCAGCTGGGCTGAACCACTGAACCCAGAATACAAACAATTTTCCATGGTAAGGATAGTTAGCTATGACCACCAGTTCAGAATCAATTGTGCATCACATTCCACTAACAGACCCCGGAAATCTACCCGGCTCGTCAGGGCTGAAGTCAAGCTTCTGACAACCAGGGCACGGACTGCATTAGGAAGTTAAACGGGAACAAGCAAAATTTTTCACGGAGCGGAGCTGTCACTGCGATCGATAAGCAAATCAATTGTGGCTTTCGTGGGTCAGAAGTTGGGGAATGCTTGCGAGAAATCAATTATTGGTGAGGCGGGTGGCGACGCCGGGTTCAGCTTTGAGCCACTGTGGCAGCGATGCAGGGCTGAGGTGGGGTTGGAGGCTGTGCGGCTGAGACGAGGAGCGGGATTTCAATTGGCTCATCCGTTTTCTTTTTATTCGATGTCGCATTGTACTGTACTTTTCAGGGGCGCAAGGATCCAATGGATTTTAGAAAGGCGAATTTACTGGTTGCTTGGACTTGGTCAAGTGAGGGTTGAAGGGACATACTTGCACGGCCCGTGTTGGAGAGCGAATGGGAAAATTCAAGACGTTTCCGGCCGTTCGGTTGCGGGAAAGGAAGGGAGAGAAATCGTTGCACCTGTAATGATTGGACGAAGGTAACAATTAATGAGGCCGTCCTAATTAGCTCTTTGTGGTTTGTGATGAAGGGGGTATACCGGCAGACAGCTCATGTGAGTAGCAAATGGGAAAATTTGAGACATTTGATCTCGATAAGGCTGGCTGCGTGGCGAACGGATTTAAGTATGGGAAGGAAACCTTGAGATTGGCGAGTTGAGGGATAGGAAGAATTGGGAGGCGTGAATAATACGCATATGGTTGGTTGACCAGGGTTCTCCATGAGGTGCTGATCTTGACTCAAGATTCGCTCATCTTGAAGACACAACCGGCTTGGAACTGTAGGTTTCGTTTTGTGAGGGCTTAGATGGCTGCATTTTGTCCGTTGCAAGCTTGTTTTTCATGGTGGTTGAACGATAGAGTCTCGCTACATTGGTCGGCGCAGATGCTAGACGATCGCTTGCCTAGCATACACCATACATCCAATATTTTCGTCTTCTGATCCTCCCTGGACAACTAATCCTGTTGGGAGGCTGGGCAAGGTCGATGACTTCGATCTCCAGAGATGATGGGACAAGCACAATATATCTTCAGATCGAAGACCTTTGTTGTGTCCCGTGGGGGCGAGGCCACATTTTGAGAGAGACCTTGCAGAGCTGATGCTGTGTTTTCTAGCATTGAATCTGAAGCCTTGCAAATATTAATCACGGCATTTGCGTGACCCCTGCACGCGTAAAGAGCTGTGAAGGACAGTGTGGGGAGCGTTTGCACTCCCATCGATCCAGAACCCCGTGCCGCCAGAAGTCCGCATCGTGATGAATCAGTACCAGGTGTCCAAAGCGCCTTGCAAATAAGCATAATACCTTATTTGTGCCACTTCCGCTGTGTGCCATCTTGTCACACTGATAGCGATTTTAGTGACATCGTTACACTCGAAAGTTCCGCAGGGAGATAAGCAAAAGGAAATACAACAGAAGAATTCCAAATAATGACTACGGCCTAATGGTTGGCTGGACTTCTTGATCGACGAACTTGTGTACCATGACCATGTGGCTTTATTCGATGAAGGAATCCCCTAATGTGGAGAATGAATAAACGATCGTGAAGCAAGAAAACAGTCCACTGACCGAGATCAATCGCAATACGTTCTTTTTTGGGACAGCCTGGGCACCTGCCTTTCCCGGGAACCTCAAAGAATATTCGATCGATAATGTTCTGTATACATGTGAAAAGCCTTTTCGACGGATCTTTGAGCCACAGGCTGCTGTCCGTTGCCGATCGGCGGAGGCCGAAGCGCCAACGAGAGGCTTGAGTGCAGACTGCAGATTCTTCATCGCCGAGATAGTTCTAAGTTTGCATCAATTTTTCAAATCACCACGACACTCCACAGAATTTTGGGCAAAGCTGATTGGGAAGAGAGAAAAAATGACAAGTCGGAGACTACGAAATCGAGGATGCTCCAAGACGGTTGCCCTGGTAGGTTTCTTGATGTTGAACACACCGCGGACTGAGAAACGATTCCGAGTGGCCGCCCGCTCAGCCACCAACACTCGACAGTCGACGACTTCAGCTGGCGAGGGGTCGAGGCAAACGCACAGATCCCAACCTCGACGCCAAACATCAAATTTGTTTGGTATGATCGAATACGTTCATACATGCACAGCATAATGCCGGTCCCAGAGCTCGGAAACATGGTGCTGCAGCGCTAACAGTCCCTGAGTTTGGGAAGGGTCACCAAGCTTCCGGGAGGTAGCACAGCACCTTGCTTTAGGGGAGCTTCGTCCAATGCTTCCCTCGATCTCGCGTAGGGCGGGCGGGAAGTGTACTGGATCTGAGAATCGTCTCCACGTCAGTGGGCCGATGGATGCAGGAGTGACAAGAAGGAGATCTTGGGATGCGGGTGGCCGCAGATCAGGCGTAATTATCCCATATCCGAACGCCAAACAATATGCAGCTGTCCCGGATACTTGGAATGGGAGCGGATGCAGAGATACAACAGCTTCAGTACAGCGTAATCGGGCCAGGGCCGATTACCAGTGCATTCGTTCTCCCGGAAGCACCTCCCCATGCAGATCGGAAGAAGCACTAGATGGGGAAGTTATAGTGGTGAAGCTGGTGATCAGAAGGGGAAGTAAGAGGAGAGGAAGCGGCGGCACGAACAGTGACATATTAGGGGATCATCCGGGATTTGATATGTGAAATGAACCGGAAGGGGTTGAGTTTTGCCACGAGCTGACAGCCTCCTCCTATCATCTCGAGGAATAGTTGAGACACGAGGCTAATGGAGGCTCCGTCATCAGCACCCAAGGAATGGGGGCCAGGTGTCGACTGCAGTGGAATTGCTGCGCACTGTATGGGTGATCGCCATTGCGTCCTGCAGCCGGCCCAGCGGCGTGCACCGTTATGGGGGAGCTTCAGCTGCATGGAGCTGGCAGACGACGTCGGAGACAAAACCTAGGCCAGTGCAAGAGAGCCTGGTGGGCACAGGGGGGGGCAGAAGGATGCGGAAGAGCACAGTGAGTGGTCAGTTGGGACGCCAGCCGCTGGAGCCACTCGGTGCCACTGCCCCGTCGGCTGCGAACCCCTGCACCAAAGAGCCAGGCGAGCGTCCCGCCCAGCCCAACAGGGGGCCCGCAAGTCTGTACCGTAGTTCAGGCCAGGCGCGCCTCAAGCCTGAATTGGCGAGCATTTTCTTGATCTCTTTTCAGGGCCGGCCAGGTAGTGGGCATGCTCGCGTTTTCCTCCTCTGCTCTTGCCCCATACTGCAATCTACCAGACCCTCCCTCCCTTCCCAAGAGCTGCCCACTAGTCATGCCCATTCATACCGAAACATCGGCCAGTCCTTACTGGCTGGGCGGCTCCATCCACTCAGAGCGAGCAGCCCGGGTGTCCCAGATGCAACAATGCATGCCACAGTACACACACATCATCTAGGAAATTCGAGCTCGACTCAACCACGGCCCACCTCCCCTTCTGCCACTACCCTCCTCTAGATGCCAGATCGCTCGAGACAGTTATAAAGAGGGCGGCTTGCCACGCGCCGAGCTGTGGGTGAGATGACTCGATCTCATATTCCCAAGTGAAGTGTGGAGGAGCTCAACCCACATCGCTATTTCTACACTACGTACTTCCTTGAAGAAAGGAATAGCAAAAGCGCCTTACCCCACCATCATTATCCCCAATCTCTCCATCTCCTCAACAGCGTTGCGGCGACGTCAATGTCCCCAAGTGGCATCAACATAGTCTGTCTTTATTAGGTACGATGTCTTTATCCTTCCGAGGAGGACCAGCCTTGCTCGACCTAGCATGCAGCTAACATGGCTCCTGATGCAGAAGCAACATGGCTTTCAACACTCAGTCTGGGACTCCCCACACCTTTGGCACTCCTTCTCACGGTCACTACAGCCCTTCCTCGAGATCCGCACCTCAACCGCCAGAGAACCAGCAGTTCGACATCGTCGACTGGTATCCTAAATTCCAAAGCTGCCATCGATACTTCCTCGACCATGCGCAACACAGCGGGCCCGTCCAAGCTCTATCAGCCTTCATCAACATCCAACTTCCATACCAGAAACAAGCGAACCCCGTGCTCTCCGCTTCCTCTTCCTCTTCCTCTTCCTCTCCGCGCTCTGCGCGGCCCGAAATTCCTCACCTCCGCCAACCAAATCCCTTTGCCCAAGGCCAAAGCGCCGCACACGCACAGATTGTCTCTCTTATACCCTACATACGGCGGCTAGTAGCCACGGGGCACGATACGCCGGCGGTACTACACGGGTTCTTCGGTGATGATTGGGTGAGTGGAATTGGAGAACTTCACGAGATCGAACGACGGAACTATCTCTTCGCAGCAAAGAGCACTAGCTGGATGAAGGTCAAACAATCATACGACATGTCTCCAGAAGAGACCGTCCCCTTCCTGCGGCCTCTGCGGGATGCGTCCGAGAAGGAGATACAAGCTGCGGAAGCAGGGTGGAGTGAATGGTTGGCTATGCAGGACTGGATGCTTGGCCCGAGGGCGCCAGAGACAATGAACCGTTCATCCAGGGTGAAGAGAGAACAAGAGTGATATCTGACGGGCATGTGTTATGATTATGAATATTGGGATACCTACCGGGTTGGAGTTGGCTCTGTCTGGAAATGTTTGCGGGACAATCGTCCTTCTTGGCAGCGGAATAATTGCACAAGTCTCGAGTTCATAGTACTTTGGTCTCTTGCTCGCATAGTCCTGCAAATCCTTGTCGCTTGACAATTAACAAAGTTCCTTGAAACGCATAAGGCGGAAAATCTTCGACGGGGCTGAAGTGTGAGGCTGCGGGCAGCATTCTCGGCTGCTTGTCCGTCGCAACAACAACACCAAAACCTCTCCCTTACATCCCAACTCCGCCCCATCCTCCCACGACGCCTCTCAACTGCGAGCAACCATCCTAATCGTGATCGCGCAATGCGTATTTGCCTCTAATCCTCCTATATGTCCCCACGATGACCGCGCTCCAAGCATGGCAGAGCTTTTTCTCTCGCAGCCTCGCGACCCGTCTCGACCCTTCGGACTTCGAATCCTACGTCCAGATCCTCAGCACCAAGCACCCGCTGTCCGCGTCTCGAACTAGTGATTTGTTCTTACGGCCGACCGAAACCAATGCTATAAGCTTGGACCCGAGGGTTGTGCGGTATGTGCAGGTGCTGCTGGAGTTGAAATTGGTCTCTGTTCCCAGTGTTCTGAGGGCGTTATGGAAAGTCTCGAGCTTCAGGGACCAGAATGGACACCAAGATGGACAACAGAAGGTAGCAATTGGAGGAGAGACTGGAGAGAAGACAGCTGGGAAGACAAGGGATGATGGCAAAAGGTGGAATAATTCCTACATTGCGGAGGAAACTCTGTTCTACCGACTCACGAAGTATATCTCGTCCGGAACCGTACCGCACAATACGCAAGAGGCGGTGGAATTAGTAATGGTCTGTGTGCAATGGATGCGAACTGTGATCTCTGTTCAACACGCCGCGCAAGAGATGCTCGGTCTCGCGCAGACACACACGGCAGAGATGACGGCTCAGAACATGGCGCTGGGGACGCTGATCATTGCGGTCGTGGAAAACGGCCGAGTCCTTCACGCACTGGGAAAAGGCAGTGTGCCCAAACCCGTACGGAAAGAGCTGAAAGACACGCTGGCGAACTTCGTGCCGCTCTTGCTGCAGAGTAGTCCGCAAAGTGCTGCAAGGTTGGAACTCTTTAGGACGCAGACCATCCTAGCGATTGAGCCGGTGGACAAGAAAGAACGGGCGGCGGATAAGGAGATTGAGGAGATTTTGGAGGAGGGCATGGCGTTGGGGGTTGAGAGTATGGTTGTGGGTGATATGCCCACCATGAACTCGAGGGCGGGGCTGTACGTGTATTTGAATTCTCTGGTGAGTACACTCTACCCCTGACCGGACATCTTTTGACTTGTTACAGCTTGTGGGAAGACCGTTGATAGACGATAATGCTATTTTTGCGTATCTACATAATCGATATCAGGTGATTCACACCTCCCAGTCCACTGAAAAGTCCTGACATCAAAAGGGTGATATTCAATCAACTTTAATAGATCTTATCCTTGCCGCTTTCGATGTACTGGCAAACGCGACGTTCCGAAATGAACGCGCCAAATCTATCACTATTCTCAGATCATTCCTTATCAACAAGATACCTCTCCTCCTCGCCACACTCTCAGCATCATTATTCCCACCTCTCACATCAGAGTACTGTGTCACGGAAGCATTGGGCCATGTCGATACAAACGCCTTTCCAACATTGTCTGTGATGTTCGATGAGTCGAGTACGAATAATATGTTCTCGGACTCGGTACGGCAAGACTTCTGTTTTGCATGTTGTCTGCATGGCTTGATTGAGGAATCGAGCATCGAGACGCTCTTGGGTGATGTTCCGATGCAAAGCCTGCCGGCTGGTGGTAGGAGTCTGAAGGAAGACTTGGTTCAGCAATGTTTATCAGACCCTGAAAGGACTGAGGGGTTAATAGATGAGTTAGAGCGTATGGATGGGAATGTTGGTGCTGTTAGTCAGGCGATCACCGAGGTGAGTTGGTCAACGATTGTGCAGATCTTGAAATTGACCAAGGCAGGTTATCACACGATTGTGCGCCAACAAGGAGACCATGTCTCTGAAGAGTCTATGTAGTCAACTGGCGAGAAAACCATCGGCCCTCGATGTCATGCTTCTCTTCGATAAACCAATCTCAATTCTTCAGCCTCTCTGCGAGCTTCTGGATAATTGGCGCTATGATGAAGATCAGGGCGAGTATCAACCGGTCTACGAGGAGTTTGGCTTAATTCTACTGCTCGTCCTATCGTTTACACATCGATATGGCCTTTCAGTTGTTGATCTCGGCATTCGTACACAAGATTCCTTCGTTGCAAAACTTCTCAATCAAGGCCACCTCAGCCGAGCCATGGACGACCTCACAGAACAGGAGCAAAGCCACCTCGATGGATGGATTCGTGGCTTGTTCGAAGTTGGCACTCTCGGTGACGAACTTATGTCCTCATGCCCGCCTCAAGACTTCTATCTCCTTGTTCCAACACTGTTCCATCACATCGTCCTCGCATGCTCTACGAAAAACCTCACTGACGATGGCCTGAAGAGTGGCCTTGAATACCTCGTCGAACCATTCCTCATCCCCTCCCTCATTCCTGGAATCACCTGGCTCTCATCACACCTCTGGGAGTCTCGCGGCGATGCGAACGCGTGCGTCGCAATTCTCACCGCACTGGTAACCAACTCATCAAGTAACACGGAAGCATCACAAATGCTGACCGCCATCCTAAATATCGTTGCGAAGAATCTAGAGCACAGTCTCCGGTGGCTGCAACGAGCAGAACCCTCCCGACAAGACGTCGAGCCACTTTCGAAAGCTCTTCGGCCAAGCCTTGGTTGGGAACGTCGCGGTGCAAGCGACCACACGGAGCTTGAATCCTGGACATCTTCTCCTGGTGGCGGACTGGTCGTTGCTGTAAAGCAAACAATTGCAAATCTCGTCCAATGGAGCTTGAATCCCGGAATCAATATCAATCCTGCAAACTATACTCACCGGCAAATCCTCGTCGGAGTCAAGATGCTCAGCGCAAAACGGATCCTTGCGACTATTATTGAAGAAGTCAAATCCCAAACGGAAACCGGAAACGGCAGCATTGCCCTCGACGTAGCCAGTGCTTTGATCTGCGCTCCTGACCCTCAAAGTTGGGATAACGGAGCACCTGGTATTGACGTCCTGGGCACAGAACCCAGGCCTCTACAACGGCGCATGAACTTGCGTGAAGCGTTGAAGAATGAAGCAGAAGCTGCACCTAAGACACAGAAAAATGATGCTTTTCACGCCGAGACTGTCGTCAGGCTATATAGGAAAGTTGAAGCCCAGTTGCAGATGCCGCAGCAGACGTTAATGAGCCATGATGCGCTGGATATAAATCAAGCGCTCGATTCCGCTGCTTTGGATGGCGCGATGGCAGGAGTAGGGAGTCTGGATGGTATGGGTAGTAATAATGCACTAGGAATGGGGGATGGGATGGGCGATTCGGATTTGATGCATGGCTTAATGGGCTCCGGTGCGGATCTGCTCGATGGATTTGGACCTGGGGAGTTGGGTGATGGGTTGGGATTCTGAGTGCTCATTCTTATCTGCTATACCATTATTCTTTGGCCATAAAATCAATTCGGAGTTTGGTTGTTCAGGCTGGGAACCAGAATACTCTAGCCTTGGAAAAGAACAGTTCTGTCTCTTAAGACCATGGACTTCGAACCGCGAGTTGCAAACTTTGGGACCGAAGCCCGAGCCAGTCACATATTTCTCTCCTCTTATCCTTATTCTCTCATACACATCATCCGCACCCCCTCCCTCCCTTTCGGAGGTCAAAGCTCCAATTCTCGCATTACAGTTGAAAGTGTACCCCGGACCGCTGCGTTCGTAGGTGCGACGTCCGGAATTGGCAAGGCTACCTTGGCTCGCCTTGTAGCCATGAACGCCCAGATCAAAGTCTATGTCGTCGGGAGTATAGTGCAAAGCAGCATGCTTTCACCAATCAACTCCGAAAGTCAAACAACAGGGCGGATACAGACTTTCTGGAGGGCGAGGTATCGCTCATGGCTGAGGTGAAGAGAATATGCAACGAAATCAAGGCCAAGCCGTCAAGCCTATATGCTGTAATTCTCTCAACTGGATACACCCCTTGGGGTGGGCCCGAAGATTTGTCTCTCTTTCTGAATCATACCAAGAAAAGACTCCTCTCAAATTCGGCTCCCTGACTGGGTGCAGAAACAAGTGAAGGAATCGAGCTCTTCTCTGCATTTGCCTACTATGACCGCCTGCCCTTCGTCATCCATCTTTTACCGTTTCTCAACGCCTCGACCAACCATCCTCAAATGGTCAACTTAGGTCGTGCCGGCCTCGAAACCGCAAATCTCACCCCTTGGCGATCTTAACCTTCAGAAACCCAAACAAAGGTCAAACAACAACGCAGCGGCTAAGGTAGCTATAGCCATGCACCTGACATTATCTCATTTAACCGATGAGAGCCCCAGCATTATCTTCATCCTTATGAATCCAGGACTCGTGGTCACTAACATCTATAGCTAAGGCTATGATGGTAAGTGGTCCATGAAAGCATTCGTCAGTACCGTAAAGCCTGTAATGAGAAAGGTCCTGCTGTCAAAAGCGGATGTGGAAGAGCACAGTGTGTATTTGTTGACGAGCGCTAGATTCAGCAGGAACGGTGTGCCACCGAGAGGTGGGCTAAATTTCGGGGGAGTGTGCAGGCACATTCCTGATATTTCGGCTTGAAGGTGGTGAGAGTTGAGAGAATGAGAAGTGTGGGGATAATAGAGGATCTCAATACATTGCTAATGTGACAATGTTTCTTTTATTGGTAATTTAGAGGAGTACTTGAGTTATTATAGACGCACCTCTTTTCCACAGCACTCTGAAGCACATATATTTTTTGTAACGGAAACATTTCAAGATATTATCCTGTAACATGATCAAGGATGTGCAGTACATTCGAGATAAGCAAAATGCTCCTGAAACTTCCGCAGTTTCAACTCCAGGAGTGATATCTGCTGCGTAGCCAACTAGCTCTAGTAAGATTCAGTGGAGCCAAACGTTCAACGAAACACCCATACCGAGCTCGGATCCGGGTCATTTTCATGTTCAACAACATTTCGAATGCAAGTAATTAATTGCAAATTGTAATTCCCAACAAGCCAACATCCTCCTTTACCCCTCCAACATATACCCCTAGCTAATCGCGACAAAGAATCCAATCGGACATCCAAGTTCATCCCCCTCAGTCTGCAAATACGAAAACACCGTATCGGGGCTACACAACATTCCACTGACCCCCAAACTGCCGGGTGGCTCCGCACCACACCCGCCCACGTTGACTATATATGCATTGCCCGGGCTCATCACTGCCGGTGGTTGCGGCGGACTTGGTCCTGGAGGCGGTTGATGATTATACGTCGTCTCCTCCGTTGCTCCAGAGCCAAACGCATATCCCGTGAACGTAAAGTGTCCACCGCCATGGTACATATATGGACTAGATGTTTCCTCGTAGTCCGGGAACAGGAATTCGAGGGTACAAGTGTCTCCGGGTGCCGAAGGGGGGATGACGAGGTTGAAGATGGTGCAGAAGTTGTTGGGCGTGATGAGGGGTGTTTTGGTTGAGCCGAAGGCGATATCAGGCAAGTTGGCGCTGACGGGAACCATGAGGGTTGGAGCAATGTAGTTCAGGGGGAGTGTGCCGCCTTTGGGGCATGGTTTGCGACCGAGGCGGCGGGAGGAGACGACGGTGAGAGGGTGGACTGGAGATGCTGCGGTGCAGGCTACGAGAGCAGTGAGAATTGAGAGAATAAGTTTCATTGTGAACGAGCGAATATATTTTTTCTTGAGAAGGGAGGTTGTTGAGAGAAGGGGCAGCCAAGGCGGGACTTGGGAAGGAAAGGGGCTTTCTTTGTAACCTTACGTGCCAACCGGCAGTTTATGACGGGCTTTCCGAGGCCTGGCATATTCAACAACAGTTCATCTGAAGTTAATTACAATCTCTTGACCGGATCTGTAAGCCTTACAGGCGTTAAAGTGCGGTAACTCGCTCAGCCACGAATCAAGACATGCACCCTCACCATTTAAGCAATTAGTCGGTCAATACCCAGATAGAATCTTCCCAGTAGCACTTCCCTTGAACCTAATTCCAATAAAGACCGATCATCCACAGGTCTCGGACGGAAACCAACTTCCTGGGAGAACAACATTTCAGACTAAGGTAAGGCACCGGGTCGTTGCTCAGATCTCTTCCCTAAGTTGAGGTAAGGTAGCCGTGCGCCACTGTGATCGACAGTCCATTACCCCGCGCGAAGCAAACTACCAATAAAGTTAGAATTTGGATCATCGGAGCAACTTATCATTACTCTCCCCCCCGAAGAATAATTGCTAGTGGCCTCCACTGCCCCAGTTTCAGATGAGACACGATTTCTGAGTGATTCGAGTCCTAGTCAGCCATCTTGCACGGGGCAAAAATTGGTCTGTGTATCAATCCAAGGGTACAGGTAGAAGGTTCAAGAAGGCTTTCTGCCCTGGCAGTGGCTCTCAGCCAACTTAAAAGGCACTTTCTCACTGGTTAAATACCCTGGATTCCTACCCGCACCTATACCCAAAACATATACGCTAGCAATTATTCTTGGGGGGGAGAGTATCTGGCAGCTTGGCACAATGCCGACTAGCAGCTTCGGTTCGGCACGGCGACACGGATAAGCGTTGGGGAAACCCCGAAGCCGAGTTCGGATAGGTCGATCATGGAGAAGAGGATGTTGCAATTCCTTGTTCGATGAATACGCATGCATAAAAGGAAAGCCAATTGAGGGTTCCTCAAATGTCATTAAGTAACTAAGCCCCCTCCTGCTGACAGACAAGTCACAACAGATAAGCTGACCTGCTCATATTGCCACGAGAAAGTGATCACCAGACCACAGCAGTGATAAATAAGCAATGACTATTTTTAAGTTTCCGGGTACGTGATTTGCAATTAGCTGACAACTTTTGAACTCCAAACTTCCACCCCTCTGACGCAAATCAAATTATTATGCCTTCGTCATCCTCCTTTGAATTCGATCCTGCAGGCACATCCTGACGCTCAGCGCAGCTACCAACAACCCAATGAAAAACATAGGTATCAAATTCCACTTCCATCCTTCAATAACTCTCAGCCAATGGTGCAGATATTTGGCATCCTTGTCGCTGGTTATTGGCAGCGCGAGAAGAGCTTTGTGCCAATTCTCCGGCGTCCACTTCTGAAGTGGGTAAGCCTCCCCTTGGAATTGAACCGCAACAGCCTTGTCGATCTTCTGACCTTTCGTTTGGTTTGTGACAGCAAAAGTGTAGGCCATCGCAGAGAGTGTCAAAAGCCATGATAAGACAGTGAAGACCGTCCAGGTAATGAATAGCCCGGAAGGTTTTCGAGTCCGGCTCTGTGGTTTCGTTAGCAATCAAGTCTCTTCTCATTCTCAACAACTGAAATTACCCTTCGTTCTCGCCGTCGTTCATTCCATAAAACCAGAAAGCCGCAAAAGCAAACCAGTATTAGGGCGGTACCGGAAGCCCCGTTGCTTGTATGGCCCTCGTTCAACAGGAGACCCTTTGGTTTGGGGCCTATGAATGCAACTGCTCCGGTATCTGAGAGGAATGGATATTTGTTTGCGCCAGATCGATGTAAATACCCAACCATGCTACTTATGAGTGCCAGTTCAATTGCAGAGTCGATCATGAGCAGGACGAGAGCCCCGCCGAGAGGTAGCCATGACATTGTGACGATCGGTGTGTCGAAATCCAGCACAAAGGAGTACTTCTGCGGAAGACGAAGGGCAAGAAGTGGAGTTTCGAGCATCTATTGCGAGGAGATGAAGAGAAAATAACAAAATGCGGGTGGCAGCCATGTTTTGGGGGCTTTATGTGGCAGACGTGGCTGCGCATGCATATGCCTTGCCACTAGCAGTCAGCAGCCACGAGAGCTGGAGGGGCTGGGGTAAGCACTGTCAGCCCTGCAAGCCGGGTTCTTGATAAGCCCGGGGATGATTCTCGTAAATTACACAATCCCGTCCCGCTGCATACGTCTGTTCAAGGTAGTGCTTATTTGCTTAAATGAGCAGCAAATGAAACGACAAGCCTTTCAGGAGTGGGCCGATCTTGGGTTTGACAATCAGAAGATTAACCGTGTCGCAAAAACACTTGGGTAACCGACCAGTTTGCACACAAACACTGCGTTACTGATTTAGCTAATCACAACTATTATTAAATTTCAGCTGTTGTGAGGTAGTGATGTGGTGATGTGGAGACTCAGCCGAGCTGAAAGAGTCCAGTAAAAACGGACTGCCAAGCAATGCTCCCTGCGCAGCCATTACAATTTAATTTATGGCGGCCGCGATCGACAGCGAAATGAAGAGATTCTGTTTGCAGAATCCTCTCTATTTGTGGTACGGGTACACGCTTATTTGCTTGCATCAAACACATGGTATTGTTCAGCTCCCTTTGAAAAGGGGGGCAACTCGCCTTCAAGCGATGCAGCCGGTAAGCAGCGCACCGGGTTAACCTGTATGCGCCACCGGGTGAGTTACAGGGGTGCATGAAGACCTACCAGGTTAATTCTGCCTGATTTTTGACTGAAAGAAAATCGACTTTTCAGCCTCAGAATAGAACTAGTTCTATAAAGCTTTTATAATAGTTCATATAGTTTAGAAACGCTGTAGTTAGGGGGTTAGGGTGCGGGTTAGTAGGGTTCGCTGGGGGTCCGGGGGGCAGGGGGAGCCCCCTGCTTGGGAACACTTTAGAAATGGCTTTAATATAGTTAGAAAATAGTACTTGCGTTACTTACTATAAAGATATAGTTAATGCACAGCGAACAGGACACAGTGAAGCTATGTCCTGTTCGCTGTGCTATGTAGACAGGAAGTCAATGCCTTGACGAAAATTTCATCTGGTTACTTTGAAAATGGTTACTTTGAACCCCTGTACGAAAGCGTGCGGCGTTGAAAACCGTCCATCTGCCAAAATGCGAGGAGCACCAAAATCGCTACGTTTAGAAAATTACGCCAAATCTCAATGGAACGCCCGAAACTCTTCAAGGGTGCTTTACGTAATAAAAAAGAAGCAGATCTAACTTTGGCGAAATTTTTATAATAATAGAATATAATGCGGAATTATGAGAATTTTTGTAATGTGAGCATTAAAATTACGCCCGTCCTCGCTTATCGAGTTGGACGGATTTCAATGCCACGCGCTTTTGTAATCTTACCTGGTGGAGCACACGGGTTAACTAGCTACGTCGATGCAGCTTGAGCTCCTCTGGCTAGCTCCGTTCCCACAAGCGAATGCGCAAAGGTTTGAGAGCACAAAAGTTTTATCACAGCTAGAACTCGAGACAACAAGCAAAAAAAGGGAGGGGGGGCAAAAAATTCAACCATTTCTGAGCGACGCAGGGATCGAACCTGCAATCTCTTGATTCGTAGTCAAGCGCCTTGCCCTGAGTGTTGTTAGTATTGATCATGCGATCTGGTGCATGTAAACTTACATTGGGCCAGCCGCCCCGTTTTGGGTGAATGATGTCAAAAACATCTTATTTTAATTTATACGACAAGCTCCCAATATTAGTCAGAAATCTCGCCTAACGCCGCCTTCAACATCTCATGTATTGTACCTCCAATCTTACTTCAAAACACTTCACGCCGAAAGTTAAAAAGAAACGTCTTTTGTTTTGAAGACTCCCAAATTTTCTCTTCTTTGATTCTTAATCTGCCATTTGCACCAATTCCGAATTGTTGCACTCACTTGCCCGTCTTTCTGCACGTGCACGTGATCGGCAAAACAGAGCATGAGGGATTGCGGGGAAACTATGAAACATCAGACTCTCGATTTAAAAAGCGGAGGAATCAGTAACCTTCAATGCTAAACTATTATGCTTTTAAAAACCCCTCTAGTGAGCTCAAGCGTTGCGCACTTAGCTTAAGATACCGAAGAGGAACGAATTATCTGGAGAGAATAGATTTTATCGATAGGTCCCTTCTGCGATGGTAATACATTTATAAGTCATACCAAGCCAATGCCACAACATAACAAGTTTCAATAGCTGGAGACACGGTCATCAAACCGAGAAAAGTTTCGACTCTGACCAAGGCCTGAAACTTTTGCCTGTACCTCGTTGCTGCTTCGAGCTCGCTGTCAAGCACCAACGCCAAGTCCTTTTGATTCGCCGTCCACTGCTGCTCCCTCTCTAAGGAGCGTCCATGCCCAGTTTGCCTTGCGCTACATCTCCCCATCTTCGTGCTTGCCGTGCTCTTTCCCCGTCTGCCTGTGTCTTCCTCTCTGCATTCCACTTCTTCGGTTCTCTTCTCTTCTAATCTTAATGTGTGCGAACGAGTTCGATGGCCGATTCCTCACAAATTTCTATTCAACTAGTGCCGAACTGCTTGTTTGTTGCTATCCCACATACTTTCTTAACTGTACCTACATTTCTTCTCTCTTCGTCTGCATTTTCCTACTCTCCCCTATTCCTTTTCTCGGCACGCTCTTTTTTAAGTGCGTCCCGTTTCCCGCTGTGATTGATAGCGTAGACGTTTCTATTTTGCTCGTCGCCAAGTATTTCAAATGCTTCTCCTATCTGGACGCAGTTAGCAAGAAACTGGAACTGCGTTATTTTATTTGAAATCTCCAATGCCAGCTGGAACGCAGCAGTTGCGCTCAGGTCGCCACGATTTCTGTCTAGATGCTTATCGAAAGCTCACCGTTTGTATGCTGCTTTAATCTCTCTCTCTCTCCATACTCGACTCATTGATGCCGAGAATCTAGTAGTAATCGTGTTCTCTTTCTGACTCTATCTTGCTGTGTGTTTCCAAGGATCCATGTAAAAGTTGGTGCAATAAACAATAATAAGTCAAGCTTTGTCTTGTACTATTAGCACCTAATAGAAGCCCTGGATATGTCAGAAGATTTGTGGAAATCTTGCCTGAAATCGGATATAAAGACCACAATTTACTTTAGTAAAGCTGGACTCGATGTTCGATTGTTCTGCTAGGAAGTGTTGTCGATTTTGTGTCAAAATCAAGTCTTCAGCATATATCACGCCTCAGACTGTTCTAGTCAAAAGCCCATACAAGTTTTATTCAAGAACTACCTAAGTCCTAAAATCCTCCCGATTCGCTCATCTGAGTGACTCTCTCTCTCTCTCTCTTTCTCACAGAAAATATACGTTGAACCCCCCCGTTGATATATTCCCCATTTCCAGCCATAACCTCTGATGAATGTGGCGTTCGTGTTCGAATATAGAGAATTGTCTACTTTGTCATCTTATTCATACCTCGAACCATGTTTCAATAATTGCTGTGCTGCCCGCCGATGGAGTTCCAAGAAGAGCTCGAAGTCACCCACCCCGCTCAGGCTTGGCAGAAATACCTAATTTCTGGTCTCGATGCGTATCAATGCCAGAACCGTAAGGTATTAATACTATCGATGAAGTATCGTTTCCCGGAACCCAATTCACTCCTTTAATTACAATTAACTTTAGAACCACTTCTCTTATAAGAAAACTTTTGGTAGCGCAAATATTCTACTTAATTTAGGCTTTCTATTTAGCTACTTGTCTTATAGTTTAGACTAAAACTCGTCTCAATACGGCTACTTTAAGCAAAAAATTGCTTTTGGGATTTTCGTAAGGCTTGCTTATAATAAGCATTCCGATAAGAGATATAAATATAAGGGCTATTTTAAAATTAAGATATTATTAGCTTTTATTAATAATATTAAGTAATTCCTTTAATAGAAAGACTAGAAAATAAAGGAATTATATATAAATATATTATTATATAAATTAAATAATAAATAGAAGAGATAATTTAAGGCTAAGAACTAATTCGGTATTAATATGTATTGATCCTTGTAATACCTAACTAATACTATCCAGTATTAATACCTTATTAATACCAAAAGTATTTTTGCCAAGCCTGACCCCGCTCTTAGCCTTACGTCCAAGGTCGGTCAGGTACCTTAGACCATAATACCGTGTTAATTGGAATATATGCCTATCATCGATAATCCCACCTTGGTTATACGCCCACGTAATTATGTTGATTACGGCATCGAGCGGACGGATGCGGCCCTTCTTGTCAAGATTCCTTCTTTGTGCATTATTTGGTTGTCTAATAGATCGTCCTGTTGAATCGTCGAGTTCGGTCTTTGCTATGATGCAGTTCGAATTTTAATGAAATCTTGGGAATGTGGGGCTGGAACGGAAACTGCGAGCAAGATATAGACACGATTTCGGCTAGACTTTGTGTCCTAGGGTTATTGTAAAATAGAAACATAAATGATTGAGTAACAGCAGCCTAAGTCCAATCTCAAATCTTGCTCTTCCTGGATGGTCATACCTCACCACTCTGATTTTCCTTCTGCAAGGAGAATACCGTAGTAGAAGAATTCATTCAATCCTTCCGTGGGAAAATTCTGTTTATTTCAGGCTAGTTTAGCATTCAGTTCTAAAATGAATATTAAAAGAGACTCTAGGAGGGACTTTTCCTGGGCGACCTCTCACTCTACCGTGCGGAATCAACATTGCCCTCATAATCTTGTTGGCTGCCTGCATTCAACAACCGATACAGCCTTATACCCATCCTCTCAAAAGCTTCCTGAATATTTGCCATCTCCACCACCCTCTCCTCCAGTGCCTTCATTGATCCATTACCGATGATATCGGCGAAGTCGCAAGCAATCGAATTCACCGTGTCACGGAAATTCTCAATAGCTGCAAGAGCTTCGATTCGCTTAGGGCTGAGGCCAGAGTCGGTAAGGAGGTTAAATGATGCAGAGAGGTCTGCAACTGACTGTTTCCGGGAAGATTCTGGTGTTTTTGCTAATGGGTGGGGACCCTTGGCGCGTGCTGAGGTGAAACCTGGGATGAACGGTGAGAGGTCGTGGAGCTCCAGATCAGTGGAGGCAAAGTCTAGATGGTGCTTTAAGACTTGTTCCCGGAGCTCATGCTTGAGTTGGCCTAGGTCCTCAAGTGCTTCTTCTATCGTCTGAGTCATGTCTCGCACCCTTTCCTGCGGCCCATCCCCGACGTCCCGAGCAGCCGAAGATCTCTCAACAAACTTCAACTCTTCAGCCAAGCTCTGTCGAATATACCTTTCCAGAAGGTTAATAGCTTTCAGGGCGTCTCGTTGCAGCTGCATCGCCATGTCGCCAGGCCACATATGAAGTCTTTGTGCAAGATCTCGTAAACCAGCATCTCGTTTCATTGGCGGTACGTATTGGCTTGCTTCCTCGAGGAAGGTAGCTACCATGTATGCGTTGAGGAGAGAGTGATGGGAATGTGAACGTTGGTGGTATGCATCGGTGTCTGAAGATGCTTCAATGAACCGTTTGATTTTCATAGGAAGGCTACCTAGGCGGTAGGTTGGCACTGAGTTTGGCTTGGACGACATTTTGACTTGGATTGAACTTGTGTAAGATGTTCTGAGATAGTCTGGCAGTAAAAATGTTGTTTGTAGTTTAGATAGAGGGTTAGAGTAGGAGTCGAAAGCGCCCACGGACAAGTAAAATGGGCTGATATGAATCGGACAACTTATCTATACTCTACTTATGTGAATAATGATTCAATACTGAATACGAATATATTTTAGAATTATTAAAATATTCAAAGAAATACTTAATTCAAAAAAAAATTGTTGAAATTTTTGAAGTTTTTAGCTAAGATTAAGGCAAGGAATACTACTTATATATTATTCGAGTATAATAAACTATATTATTAAATAAGTATTTATACTTCAGAATTATATATCTGAATAGCTCTTAAACTGGGTAATAATAAAATGTTATTTATTAAAATACATCTTTACTAAGAATAGGACTCCATTCTGGAAGCTCTTTTATATAAGATTAGAAGAGTTCAATAACTTCATTCCCTCACTTAGACCCCAGATACCCCTTAATCTTCTGAACAATTGCGCTGTTGAGTATCCTCAAGATGCGTAATATTTCATCTTTCTCCACAATTATCCCCGCTCTGCCTATGAAACCCTTTGTCTGCACTGCAACGGCATCTTCTATCTCTTTTACTAATAGATCCAGCACCTTGAAAACGCTGTCCCCATCAAATGTGAAGAATCCCCAGCTTGCAGCCCAGCTTTTAAGCAGCGAGAAGGAAATCTGTCCTGAGGATTTCAACAAGTATTCCAAGAGAGCTGAGTTGAGCTCTAGGACTGTAGGAGGTCGGCCACGAATGCGACTCGGTGGACGATGGTTTGAATGAGAAAGCGCAGAACCTGGAAAGGAGCTTGGAATTTTAATAGAGCGGGAGAACTTGACTTGAGATTGTTTCAGTGTAGAGGGAAGTGGTTGGGAGGATTTAACTTGAGATAGTTGCTGCGTAGAGGGAAGTACGGATGCTGGAAAGTCGCCTGGAATTTGAATAGGTCTAGAGGACTTGGCTTCGGATTTTTTTGATGTAGAGAGCAGTGTCCCAGAGGGTTTAGTCTGAGATGGTTCCCGCGTAGAGGGAAGTACAGAGGCTGGAAAGGTGTCACGGCCTGGACAAGCTGTGGAAGTGGAATGTAGGTGTGTTTGTATATATTGTAAGGAATGATCGTGCCCTAAGGGCGGCGAAGAAGCTATATATATGCCTGTACGCAGCAAGTGACAAAAGGCTCCTGGAATTTTAAAAGATCCAGAAGTATTGAACTGAGATGGTTTCGGTCTAGAGGGAAGTTTCCCAGAGAATTCAGTTTGAGATAGCTGTTGTGTAGAGGGACGTACCGAAGCTGGGAAAGCACCTGGAATTTTCATCGGGCTAGAGGATTTAGGTTGAGATGGACTCTGCGCAGAGGGAAGTGTAGAGCCTGGAAAAGCACCGGGAATTCGAATCGGTGCGAAGGATTTAACTTACGATGGGTTTCGAGTTGATGTCTCCAGATGACACAGTTTTGACGCCAGACTTCCTTCACCTAGTGGCAGCTCATCTTCTAGATGGTGACCTTTGATCACCACCGGAATAGTAGATGCGGCAATCGAACTTGGAGGCAATGAAGTACTTGGACGTGTTGAAGACGTCGGTTTTGCGGAAGAGGCTGGCTGTTTTGAAGAGCTCGGGTTTGAAGAGGATGGCTTTGAAGTGGATGGCTTAGAGGTCATATTTAATGATGTAGCTAGCGAACCCGAATGTGCTGAAGATACTGGTCTTGAAGACACGTATAAGGACGGAGCGACCAAATACGATCTTTTCGAAGAACTTGGTCTTGAAATGGTCTGTGTATTCGAGAGAGTTGTTGAATGTGGACGCAATGCCGAGGTTGGTCTTAGAGAAGATTGTGATGAAGGGGGTATTTTTTATGACAATGGTGCCAAAACAGAGAAAGAAGATGGCACCGAAGGGAGTAGTTTGAATGAGGAAAAACTTGTTATCAAAAAAACCTGGCTTTGAAGACGTTGGTTTGTCCACGGTAATCAACCAAACTCCGGAAGAAAAGTGTTGACCAGGATGACTGAGAGGATGGCGACCAGGGGTCAGGTTTTTAAGACGATGGTTTCGAAGAGGGAGTTTCCGGTGACAATTTTGCTAGAGAAGAGAATGGATATGAAAGCCTAGATCAAGTTTCAGGAATAAAACTGAAAGGCTTTCGAGACGGCGCCTCTGAAACGATGTTCCTGAGTCGTTACTACAGTACATTTATTTTTTCTGAAAACGCTCAAAGATGAGGAGGAATGTGATGATATACCCCTGGTTTTGCGCTTGGGAATATATGAGAAGTAAGACAGGTGAGACTATACAGCGATAATGAGATTTAGAATAGCGAATGGTTCATTGCACTGGCTGCGTTAATTATTCTGACAGGCTAATATTACAAGTGAATGCCCTTCGATTTTCTCGGAGTTATCGATGTTTTATTCATCTTCATTATAGATAATAGACACTTTACTCGATGGAAAATTGACAACATTCACTCTGCCTCCACAAACGACCTATAATTACGTATTGGGTCTATTAATATTAAGGGATATATAAAAAGCTGTGTATATTGGGCTGAATGTCCGAGAAGTTGATTTCTTCAACTTCCTAGCCGCCCAGGAAAGTAAGAGTCCTCAAGATCGTCGCCCGCCTTCACTACTAGCTCTATTCTTCTAAATCCTTAATTTTGAAGATCTCTTTGAGTTCGATTACAGAGTGGTGGAGGGACTCCTTTTTATCCCCGAGGAACTTCTTTTCAGTCTCCAACTTCTCCATTAATAGTACAGTACAAAGTCCAACCTCGAACTCTTTCTTATTGAGGTCCTTGAAGAAACTGCTTCCCTACCCGTCGACTTCCGTACCACTAAAAGAATCTCTGTGAACCAATGTGGCTTTGTCATTGGTAACAGCATCCACCTGAAGAATCTCAGAGATCTTACTTGTCAACTCATGAATCCGCTTAATCGCCTTAGCCTTCGCCTGCTCTATATGTTGGAACTCAAAGGCATCCCGACTGCCATGAACCTTCCCTCTTTTATAACTCGCTCTCGTCGCTAGACTATGCTCCTCGCAGACTGCCGTAATCAGAATATCAGCCAACTGCTGCAAAACCTTCTCGCTCTCAGTCAACAGGCATCCATCAGGATGGAAATAGGAGTTAAACGGCTTCTGTGCAGCTTCTTTTACTTTCCAGTCGAAGAGGAGAGCTTTAATTTCCAGGAGCTGATCGAAGGAGAGGAGAGAGACTTGCTCGAGGATCAGGGCTGAGAATTGAGAGGCGACGGGGATGCTGATGTCGCGGGTTTTGCGGTAGGATCGGGATCTCTCAGCGAGGGAACGAAGGACGGCACAAAGGGTGTTGGTGCCGATAAGGAATCCTTCAGTTGCGGGGCTGAGGAGGAGATCTTTTGTGTTTCTGGTATTAGGCATTTTGGACGTATGATTTGATCTTGTGAGTTAAGATTTTACAGGGAGCAAATCTGTGGAACTTCGTTGAGAAGAAGGAAGATACAATGGAGAATCTGAAAAGGCACTATTTCTAGTCAACGATCTGGAGGAAGGTCCTAGGTTATAATAGAATGTTAAACATTTCTGGCGTAAATCATCTCCGTTCAATTGAGGGTACGATCTCTTGCAAGCGGTCACGGAACAGCTTTGTTCATATATTCACCCGAAAGCGAAGAGAAAGTATCAAGCGCGCCACTCTCACTACTAAATTCCATTACCATTATTTTGATGCGAAACTGCCGATGCGGCTTTGGTCTGATAGAGTCTGCAGCAACCAGAGCGAAATACCAAAGCAAGAAGGATGCGTGAAATATATCAGACTCCTTTGAGAGCACCTGTATAACTTGGGGAAGAAGGGACGGCGAAGATAGCTCTGGATTTCGTTGCGGAGCTAAGAGGAAGATTTCCCGAGGGAGGTCCAGAGGCATGGGCAGCTCACAGCCCTGTCGCGGAAGACGTACAATGGCTGAAAGAACAACAAGCTCCGGAAACTCAGTTCAAGTGGGATGCTTGTCGCTCGCTGTTTTATGAAACGCATTGACTTGCTGCACTGATGCGCTAACTCGGAGGACCTTTGGTGATCAGGAAGGGGGAGTGCGGAAAGGCTGTTGCTAAACTCGCAAGTGCCTCCTTATTTCATGGGCTAATGAAAATTCCAGCAGTCAAACATGAGAAACGATCGCTTCAGAGAGTGGCATAATGAAAAGCTGAGCTCAACATTGAGTAGTCATCCCAGAAACAAGCATCGAGGGCTAATAATCTTGTCCCAGAATGCAGGCTACATTACGAACGGCGCGGAAACACAACATAGGGAAGAGTTAGAATATTATTAAAGGCTGCAGGGGAGTTTCATAGGACTGAACTGGAGGCTAGCATACTGGGTATCGAACTTCTAGGATTAATTTTCACCTTGCACCTGCTTCATGCTTAAGCCTTCTTTGGATATGTGCTTGGATGACCATGCTTCTTCCCATACGCCTTAACCTTCGAATCAAGATCCATGCCAACAAAAATGTTGACAATACTCGCGAGCCAAGTCATAGCCGTGTCCACAAGATAGTTATTCTTCTGCGATGAGCCCCAGGCAGTCGCTCTCATTAAGGAACCCAGGAACGACACTGCAACCAAGTAATCGCCCCTCTCGAGTCCAGCAATTGCACTCGCAGCCGTTTCATCTGGCGTGTAGTTCTTGTCTGCCTCCTCCAAGATAAGCGTGATCTCAGGTTTCGTCTTGTTCTCTCTCTCCAACCCAGGACTGGAAATCGAACCAGGGAACACAGTATGAATCTTCACATCATCTCCGTAGAGCAGCATCTCCTGCACCAACGTGTCGCTCAAGCTCTTGATCGCAGCTTTAGAAGGCGAGTATGGAGCGTATCCCGCAACAGTATATACACCTGCAACTGAGCTTGTGAAGATCAGGTGCCGCGTGCTGCCTTTGCCAATGGAAGCAGGTTGTAGCCACTCATTCAATATTGCGTGTGCCATATCGTTGCAGGAGAAAAAGTTGACATCCATTTGCTGCCGCATTATTTCTGGGGATGTCTCGATGAAAAGGCCGGGAATGGAAGCGCCGGCGATGCACCACACGACATCTGGTGCCTGCCCCTTGTTCCACGCAATTGCTTCGGCGATGACTCGAGCGTTTCCACCAGGTTCGGAGAGGTCGGCAGAGATGTATTGAAACCGTTGGGTCGAGGGGTCGGCTGCTGAGGCCTGGTGGTATTGTCAGGGAGTGTGGGCATGAGGATGGGAGGAGCTTACCTTGACTTCTGCCAATGCTTCTTCCAGTCTCCCGACATTTCGAGACACGATTATGATGTTCGCTCCTTTCTGCGCGAGCTGCTTCGCGACACTCTTGCCCATTCCCTCGGAGGCGCCTGTGATGAGGACTGTCTGCAACGCGTCAGGCGAGGCTGGAGTAATTGGGAAAGGCTTTTCCTGCAGACTTACCTTGCCCTTGACATCGAACTTGTTCCCGCTGAAGAATCCCATGATGAATGGAAGGAGGACCGCGAGGCCGACGATAATGCTAGCAATGGTCCAGTAGTTGATGATGTCAGCCATGATGAAGGATGGAGGTGGTCGACGTGGAAATTGTTTGTTCGTTCCTGTCAGCCAATTTAAGGTGGAGCAGTGCTGGCTCGATAAGCGATAAGGATTTCAGGGGGAAAATTGTGGATCAATATCCCCCCCTTTCTCCTCCCACCTCTCTCACTTCATAAGAAATAGTTCAGAAGATTGGTATACGGAGAAGTTCTCTCCTTTCGAATAAACAGTAGCTCCTTTTCTTGCCAGTAATCGGAGAATCGGCGTACATTTTGTACAGGTACATCTTGGTTGCCGCATCCGTCAGCGCGAGGCGCAGTTGGCTCATGATTGCAGTTGAAGCACTACAGTGAAACTGCTATAAGGTACCAATATAAGGATATCCTCGACGTAAGGATACATCTGCTGGCCCCGCAGGGATTAATTTTGCTGTGCGCCACACCTCGTTATAAGGATACCTCGGTATATCCTTAGTTTTGGGGGACAATTTGGGTATCCTTATATCGAGCTTTCACTGTAGTTGCATCTTCCCCTCCACTTCTGCGGATCCACTTTTGTTTCTGTATGGTTCAAATATGTATGGAACTCCATCTCCCCTATCGATCTCGCAAAAGTGTCCTTTCCCGTGGTTGCAGCGACTCCTGGTTACTTTTTCGAGTGCTTTATCTCTACCACTCTAGCTTGAATTGAAACACTTAGCTTTCAGCTTATTCGAGCCATTGGTTTGCATACTGCGCAGTGCGGCTTCAACCTGGAGCAGTCAGACATTTTCGGCCTGTGCTCACTTCGCCGAAGCCGGCCGTTGACTCCATGTCAACTAATGAGAAGCCTCTGCAAGGGTTTTCCTCCCGCTGATAGGCTATTCAGCTGCCCGTGCCAAGGGTAAATAACTCGAACCATAAAAAGGCTCCACAAATGAACCCCCCAAGTTCGATGCATGCAGCTGAGTCAAGAGCTTGCGAACCCCCCTTTACTCATCACTACACTTCCTATACTTTAGCTATTGTACACTTGGTATGTGCTATAGTGGTATATAAAACCTCCACCCACACGAAATCTACTTCTTCTCATTCAAGTTCAAACACTCTTCTTACATTTACACGTTGATTTTTCACTCGTCATATATAAATCCAAAATGACAACCTCACAACCTCGCCCAAACCACTACGACCTCCTTGTCCTCGGTAGCGGCGAAGCAGGGAAATTTATCGCGTGGACACTTTCGTCCAAAACCGGTCAACGTTGCGCTGTCATCGAGCGCCGCTGGCTCGGCGGCTCTTGTCCTAACGTTGCCTGTCTGCCTAGCAAGAGCTTTGTCCATTCGGCGAACGTAGTGCACGATGCCAAGCATGGAAATTCCTATGGAATTCGCGACGCGGATGAGAGCGTGGAGATGGTTGCTGTGAGAGAGCGGAAGAGAGACATGGTGGATGGACTCATGGATATGCACGCTGGGAGATTTAAAAACTTTGGTGTGGAGTTGATCTGGGGTGAAGGCAAGTTTGTGGGGAAGAAGAGCATCGAGGTTACTGGAGAAAGCGGGAAGACGGTTTTGACTGCTGAGAAAGTGGTTGTGTGTACGGGGTCGAGAGCTAAGATCGATGATATTCCTGGCTTGAAAGCTGCGAAACCTCTCACGCATGTCGAGATCTTAGAGCTAGATGTTTTGCCGAGCCATCTCGTTGTACTTGGTGGTGGATATGTTGGTCTTGAGTTTGCACAGGCGATGAGGAGGCTTGGTGCACAGGTTACGGTGATTGAGAGGAATGCAAGGTTGCTGAAAAATGAGGATCAGGATATTGCTGATGTCATAGTCGGCGTGCTTAACAAGGAGGGAGTGAAGGTCTGCACCGGAACAACTATCCAGCAAGTATCTGGCGAATCTGGTACTTCCGTTACTCTCAAAGGCCTTGCCTCAGGGAAATCCTTCGAAGTCACCGGCTCCCATATCCTCTGTGCAATAGGGCGTCTCCCAAACACAGAAAACATCGGTCTCGAAGAATTCGGCATCCAGCTTACCGGAAAAGGCTTCATCGAAACCAACGAGAATCTGGAGACACCAAGCGAAGGCGTTTTCGCAGTAGGCGACTGTGCAGGCTCACCACACTTTACCCACATCGCCTTCGACGATTTCCGCATCGTCATCGACGTTCTCCTTCACAAACCTCTCCCACCGAATCGAAAATCATCACGCCAAGTCCCCTTCACGCTCTTCACCACTCCGGAACTAGCCCACGTCGGACTCCGTGAACACGAAGCCTCGAACCTTGGGATCAAATTCAGGACGGCGAAGCTGCCTATGGGCGGCTTCTTGAAGACGAGAACGCTTGGGGAGACAGCGGGCTTTGCAAAGGCGCTGATTGCGGAGGATGATACGATTGTGGGTTTTACGGCATTGGGCATTGGGGCTGGAGAGTTGTTGCCTGTCGTGCAGTTGGCGATGAAGAGGGGACTGCCGTATACGGATATCAGTGAGATGGTTATTACGCATCCGACGTTGAGTGAGGGGTTGGTGTTTTTGTTTTCGGGTGTGCCTGCGAAGGAGAATTAAAAGTTTGGGGTTGGTGTTGATTGGGAGGCTTCCATTTGGGAACACTTTATAGGTTAGATTGTCTAGCAAAGAATCAAGGCTACCAAAATCTGTTGTTTCCGATGTTGCATGCGAGAACTTTAAAAAGTTTGAATGAGCCATTGATCAAAGGATAATATTGACTAATTACGAATATTTCACTTCAGACATTTCAAACGTTTGACGTTTCCTATAGAAGTGGATGAATTGAGTCTGCAAATTATTCTCTCGTTTAGCCACTCAAATCAAGTTGAATGTCTGTATATCCACACCGCGTTGCCTCAAGGCTTCTGCTGTAAGCCTTGGATCGTTGATATGTGCATCGTTGAAAACTTGTTGCCCTTGCTTAGTTCGATATCTAACCGCAGCTCAACTCCAACACGTCATGGCATCTGAAATATTTGGCCTCCATCAACCTGCGCAACTTCTTTATCCATGGGCTTGTTGAGATGGACTCTCTCCTCATTCCTTAATCTCCCCTCAATCAACTGTTCACATTCTGCTCTCGTCATAATCCACCCTTGCCTCTTAGCAATGAAGAAAAACCCGCCAACAATAGCAAGTATACCAACAGCTACTCCAGCCACTGCACCACCAAGAGCCGCGGCAGACACACCTCCGTTAGTAGTATTTGACTGGCCCGGATCATTTTGCTGGGAACCTGATGATTGTTAGTGCTCTAATCGAAACTCAGTGTGAGAACATTGTGTACCACCGTCCTCTATCTTCCCGCCAGCACAAGTCGTGTTTGCATTAATCCCGCCATCCCTCTCATTGATTATTGTGAAGAAGTCCGAGTTGATGACTTCACCTCCCGTCCTGAATTCTAACGCATAATTACAGTTACTGTCCGGCCGGTCTGAGTAGTCGCCGTAGAGGTACATGTCATCACGCGATCGCCAGGCATAACTGCCATTGTTGGGGGTGCTTGCTAAAGGAATAGGTAATCAGCTCTTTGATCTACAATGCCAACGGCGGGACATGGAGTGTATCGGTATAAAGGAAGACTAGACATACCAGTTATGACGTGTACGAGCGTCATATTAGTTGTTGTTCCTTGCCTCAACGAAATTGTCACATTGTTCTCCGTCAAATGTGTCCATTCGATGTCGAAGTCGGCCTTTGCTACGATCGTGTCTCCAGAATTGGGTTTCGTGATAACTACTGCAGCGCGCTTGAATAGCCCCCATGATGAAACAGGAGAACTCCATAAGATAAGAGCAACTAGAGGGATGAGTTGTTGAGTACGCATCGCAAAGCTTTCGAGAAAACAAACACAAAACGAAGATTATGTCCTCCAGACAATACCATTCATTTATCTTGGAGTGCGGGAGAGGCCATTTCTAAAGTCCACAAGGAAGGATCAAATTAAGCCAAGGCCCACCCCCTCATTTCCGTACCTGAAATAGATAGCTTGGCTGCCAACAATGCATTTGTATGGATGGAAGGTGCCGCCCGACAAGTTGAAATGCGAGAAATGCGCCATCCGAAGTGCGAACCACCGATCACAGGTGGCGCGGGCAAAGGATTCATTTTCTTATGAAGTCTCAGCCTTGCAGGCTTGGATATAGAATGCAACGAGGTGGGTGGCCCAAGTCTGTCTGACCAGAGACTAAAGCGAACAGATTAAAAGATAAAATGCTTTCGTCAACCTTGGGACTACGAATTATTACTTTCAAGTCTGAGCTGAGGTTGGTTTGGAGGGTACCTTAAAATCGGGATTTAGATACCCCGCCGCTTATGTCGCCTAGTCTATGCCAAGGGTGCCAAGCAGTGTGTCAAAGAATTAATAGTCGGACTTGACGTCGCGCTAAAGCGGCCCTTCCCTTTAGTGGGGGAAAGCGAGATGTCCCGCACCAAATAAAATCCTTAATAACTTGAAATCTTAATCTTTTTAAATAATTCTAAGTAATAGAATTAAAAATATAAGCCTTATAAACTAAATACGATTCTTTAAATCTTAGAAAAAGATATAGATAAAGAGTTATTAAGGTTTTAGTAATAAAATTGCAAGAAATACAAAATTCATAAGAATTATTTATTTATAACCATTTTATAAATATTAGACTAATAACTTTTGCTTAATTATAATTTTTTATTCTTTTACTTAAAATTTTAGCCCTTAAATATATAACAGGTAACTATAAGATTGCGAATAAAACGTATTAATTAGATTTTCTATAGCTAGTTCCTAATATTGTTTTTTAGAAGGCAAAAAAGACTAGTATAGGATATCTCGCTTTCTCGGAACAACTCGCTTTCCCTAATTAAAGAAAAGGGCCCCTTTAATACAATATTAAATCCGACTATTAATTATATTAATTAGATTAATTAGATCAATTATAATTAGATTAGAATAGAATATAATTAATGTAATTCGGAATTTTTTTAATTAGATTAAAATAATTAATCTAATTAATATATTATATAACTATAATAAATTAACTTTTTTTTAATAATTATTAAATAAGTAAGGTATTTATTAAATAGTCCTAATAAAAATATAATAGGGCTTATATAATAATAGCTAAATACTAATTTTCTATAATAATAAACTAATTATTCTTTTTATAATTTTGGGGTTTTTTTATTTTATTTTTCTATTTTCTTTCTCTATTTCTATTATATTATACTAGTTATATAGTACTACTATACGTGAATTAGTATATAGCTAGTATTTTTAGTCCGGCAGATAGCCTTTAGCTTAATTTAAGCTCTTTATTACTACTATAATAATTATCTTATTATAATAATTTCTCTTCTTTTTTAGCTTCTTTTAATTTATCTTTAAATATTTCCTAGCTTTTTAAATAAATTATGATTTTACAAGTACTCTTATTAAGTCTATTATATAGTTTAAATATAATAAAAGTACTTTAAAAAAAGAATCTTTTACTAGTAACTAAAGAAGCTAGTATTTTTAAATATTTCCTAGTTATTAAAGCTAAAATAGAAAATCTAATAGCTTAATCTATATATATATTAGTATTAATATATTAAAAAACATTAAGGAAATATCGGGTAATTATTTAATAGAATTTAAATAAATTTTATTTATTTTTTATTTTAATTTTATTTTCTAAATAAGTTACTAATTTATATTTTATATTAGAGAACTTATTAGTAATATATATATCTAATATAAGATAAAGAATAATTATATTTATATCTAAATATAAAATTCGTTATTAATTTATTAAAAAATAATTAAAGGAATTATTTATATATTATAATTAGTTTTTAATCTATTATATATATTCGAAGATATATTATTAAATAAACTAATATAAGTTAATTCTTTTTATTTAATTCGAAAATTAAAAATAAAAGCTAAATATAAAGCTTTATTTTTATTATTTAAAATACTTATTTTAGAATAATATTTATAAATTCTTTATTTTAAATTTCTTTTTAAATTTTTTAAGTTTATTATATATTTTATATATCTCAAATATAATATAATTATTAGTTTACTAGTAATATATAATATTATTATATAAGTATAAAATATTATTTATATTAAGTTAATAAAGTTATTATTATTTAGAAATAAGAATTATAAAATTAATATATAATTTCTAAATTTATTAAATCTAATAAAGTCTCTTTCTAATTTATTAGTTAAATTACTTATATTTCGAGTTTTATAACTATATATATAATTCTTAAAAAATAGCTATACTAATATAAAAACTTCTTTAAAATATAAAAAAATAATATATTTCTCTAATCTAGTCTAATATTAGATTTTCTTAAATACTTTATATATTTATTTCTTATTTTATTTATATTTAATTATATTATATTTATATTAACTAAATATTTAAAAGGATTTATTAACTTTATTTTTATTATAAAATTAGTATCTAATTTAATAAAGTATTTATATAATAATTTCAAATTTATATAAATTATTAATAATAGTTCTATTTCTAATATTTTATTAATTATAGAATTAACTAAAGTATTTATATTAAAGCTATAAATTATATTATAAAGTTTTAAAATTAGAATACTTTTAGTAATTTTCTTATATTTAATATTTTTTATAGAAATAATTTAGAGGTTTTTATACTAGTATTTTTATATAAAAGTAATTTTAATAATATTTATATAAATAATATCTTTATTAAACTTGAAATTATAATTAAAAACGAGATATTTATATTTCTTAGCTAAGAATTTAGTTTTTTAAAGCTTTAATTACTTTATTTTTATAAAATTATTAGTTTTAATAAATAGAATATTATTAGTTTAAAGATTAATAATTTTAAAGAATTATAAATTAATTATTTTATAAAAAGCTTATTAATATAATAGAAATAATAAATTTTAAACTAGTAATTCTTAGCTTCTAATATATTATATAATAGTTTTATAATTTTTAAAATAATATAATTCTTTAGATTTAGCTTTTTAATAAATTTATAAAATAAATTAATATAAAAATTATAATTAAATAAAGTTATTAATTAAATATAAGCTTATAAAATATTATATAAATATAATTTTATAATATTTATTATTATAATAATAATACTAAGAATAATTCTTTAGCTATTATATTAATACTATATATTTCTTATTATTATTATAGGCCTAAATAACTAGTTTTAATTTCTTAAACTCTCTTTTTATATTCTTATTATTAATCTTATTAATAAACCATAAATTAAAAATATATATCTTTTTTAATATCTAAAATCTAGAAATAATTTTAATTTTTTTTTTTTAAAAAACTAATAACTTTAATTTATTAAGAATTCTTATATAGGTTATTATTCTATAAGAATATTATAATATTCGGGTTTTTATAAAAATATCTTTTATTATATTTTAGTAAAATAGCAAAAATAATAAAAGAAATTATATTTATATTACTTTTAGTTTTATTATAAAATTTAAAAATAAATTCAGGTTTAGAACTATTAGTAATAACTTTAATATTTTTTATATAAAAAAGCTTTATAGAAATTAAATAAAAAGTAGTATTACTATATAATAAAGCTAATATATAATTCTTTTTATTAATAGCTATTAGCTTATATGATTTATTTTAATTACTAATAAATAAATAACTAAAATAATAATATAAATATTATAATTCGATTTTTATAAAAAAGCAAGAATTATAAATAAAAAATTCGGAAATAAAGCTTTATAATATAGTATTTTAAATAAAAAAGAATATTTAAAATATTATATTACAAATATATAATATTTAATAAAAATAATAAAATAAATTCCTAGCTTATTTATATTAGCTAAACTAAATATAAATAAAGGTTTTATAAATATAATATAAAATTATATTTATCTAATTAGTATTTTTATTATAATAAATTTAATGAAAAATATATATCTAATAATAAATTAAATATTAATTTAATTTATAATAATATTATTAATTTATTATAAAGCTTGAAATTAATTAAAACTAGTAATTAAGAATCTGGAAACTCTAATATTAATTATAGCTTTATAAAAATAATAAATATTATATTTTAATATATTATTAATTCTTAATATTTAGATATTTTTTATTTATTTAATAGATTTTAAAATATAATTTTTATTTATTATCTAATATATAAATAAATAAAAAAATTATATTTATAAGAATAGTAATTATAGAAATAGTAAAAGCAAAAGTAATATAAATAGCTAAAAATCTTTTAATAGAAATAAAATAAAAATCTAAATAATATTTCTTTCTTTTATTTATTTTTATTAATAAAGCTTTAAAGTATTATTTTTTAATTTATTTTTATTATTTTTATTATTTTCTTTTTCTTTAATTTCAGTAATATATTATATATAAATATTATTAAAGTATTTATTAGAGTTATAAGAATTTCGAAATCTAAATTAGTAAATATTTCTATTTTCAAATTAATTCTTTTTAGTTTTTTATTTCTTTAATATATATTTTTATAAATAATATTCGAGCTTTTTATATATAAAATACAACTTTAAATTATAATTATTATAATTATAAGACTTGAAATAATTATTACGAGTTTTGAAATTAGAATTAGATTTATATTAATAATTTCGAAATAAATAATAATTTAAAAAGTTTTAAAATAATATTAATTTATTACTTCTTTTTATAAATAATAATAAATAATTAAAGTTTATTAAAATAATTCAAAACTATATATTAATAAGAAATAATAAGAAATAATAATTTTATTATATAAAAATTCGGTATTTTATAAAACAGAAATAAAGCTATATTATAGTTTATATAAATTATTAATTAATATTTAAATAAGTTCAAATATTAATTTTTTAAAATATTTAATTATTATAATTATTAAAATAGTAATATTTTATTTATCTGAATTTTAATAATAGAAACTAGAGCTTTTAAAAAAGTTATAAATAGTTATATAGGCCTTTTTATAAATATATTAAAAGAATTAATTATTATAAAAGTAGTTTTATACTAGTTTCTTTAATATAATAAAAAAAGCTTTTATTAGTATCTTTTCTAAAAGCTTTTTATATTAATAAATATTTTAAAAAAATTTATAATTAAAACTATTATTAGTTTTATTATATTTCTATATTTTAGAATATTTTTTTATTATTTCTTTAATAAGCTTTCTAGTAATAATAATAATAATAATAATAATAATAATAATAAT